TCCTAGGAGAGGAGGGAATAGAGATCAATAATAACTAGAGAAGAAGTGATGCAGCATCATGTGATCATCAAAACAATTGATCTCTTGCAAAACTGGTTCAACAAAGATTCGATTTAGTTTGGACCATCAATCCCATCACTAATATCATACTAAACAGCTCAAAAAAGAATAAAATGAAACCAAGTAATTATTTCTCCAAATTCCCCTGAGCTATAACCCATGTCTTGTGCATTGGACCTTTGGGTTATAACCCATATCTTGTACATTGTAAGAGGGGCACCAGCTGTGTTGTCGACACCCTCGGAAAGCGCGCCCACTTCTCGGAGTGTCATACGACGGTCGACGTGGTAGGAGCAGCCCGCCTCTACTATCGGAATGTCTGGCGACACCACGGGACCCCGGAGAAGTATGTTTCCAACCGCAGGTCGCAGTTCATCGCGGACTTCACCCGAGAGCTCTGGCGTCTAATCAGCATCAAGCCTGCCACGTCCACCGCGTACCACCCCCCAACGGACGGCCAGACAGAGCACGTCAACCAGGAGTTGGAGCAGTACCTGCGGATCTTCACCAACTACCAGCAGGACGACTCAGACAAGCTGATTCTGGCCGTGGAGTTCGCTTGCAACAACCACGTTCACTCCTCTACGCAACAAGTCCCATTCATGATGGACACGGGACGACTCTCGTGCATGGGCTTCGAACCTGGAGTCTGCTCTGCTATGGAGTCAGTAAACGAGTTCCGCAACCAGATCACCACTGGTGTTGCTGAAGCCAAGGCCACACTTACTAAGGCCAAAGAGGAGTACAAGCGCTACTACAACTAGAGACACACTTTGTCTCCGGAGTTTAAGGTTGGTAACCGTGTTTGGCTGAATGCCTCTAACATCAGGACAACTCGCCCCTCAGAAAAGTTCTCCCACCGCCGCCTTGGACTGTTCAAGATAGTCGCGGAGATTAGCAAAGGTGCCTACAAGCTCAACCTCCCTCCTGCTACTCAAAGCTCCACCCGGTCTTCCCCATCGTCAAGCTTGAGCTTGCCTAAGACGACCCCTTTGATGGACGCCCCGGCTACGACCAGCCCCCTCTGGACCTCGAGGATGGAGTCCCGGAGTGGAAAGTGCAGGAAATCCTGGACGCAAAGATGAGGTATAAACGGCTGAATTACTTCATCAGGTGGAGAGGCTATGACATGTCGCACGACCAGTGGGTCCGCTTTGATCATAGCTTTGCCTCAGTTGAGGAGTTCTATCGTAAGTACCCTGGCAAACCACAACACATTGCCTCTGCGACCTTCGACACAATACCCTTCTGGTTTATGCGTCGGGACACCACATTCAAAGGGGGGGTGATATCAGGGGAACCCCCCTTTTGGCCCCTCAGAGACGTGTCCGATTCCTGTTCCGACTCCGGTCCGGCCCTCCATCTCGCGTGCACAATCACCGATCTGTCAACACCCTCCCGACAGTCGCCCTGGGACCTTACCTACAACGCCGCCCAGGCCTTCTGTGCCCGACAGCAGCAGCTACAAGCAGTATATAGTCAGCTCCCTAGCAGGCAGACCCTTAGAGTTTCTTCTCTTTGAATCCTCCCCTGTGTTGAAATAAGCGATGATCCAAGTGCTGATGGGATCAAAGAGAGCGATAAGGGTTTGCAATCACACTCCAATGAAGGATCTGTGTGTTAGGGCAAATGATGCCCTACGCTGACTATCTATTGAGTTTATATACTAGTTGTACACTATTCTAGTATATTCTAAGTGAGTCTAGGAAAATCAGTTGGCATAAGTAGAATGTGCCAGAACATTCCGGCAAGTCACACATGTGACCATCACAACTTCAACACCCTGCTAGGTCAGCTTCATTTGTATTTGCTTACCAATGTTCATGCTTTGGATCCTCCCCTGCTAGGACCTTGATCTCAGGCCTCCGGGGTTGCCCTTACAATTGTGACCAAGGCCACACAATCTGACCTTCTCATACAATATACTTTGAAGTTTTGACTGGTGTAACTATCATTACCATTTATGTTATACCTACTAATTTAGGAACCTAGCTTAAAGTCTCAGACTGTGACAGCAGTTCATTATTAGCAATAGCAGCACTGAGAGACGTGAAAACTTAGAGATGTTGCAGAATTATTGGGGTATTTATTGTAGCATAGGGCATTTGGGGTCATCCCTTCATATCAGAATGTGCAGCCCACTGGGCTATACTAATATAAAAGGATAAGTGGAATTGGTAGGTGGATTGTGTTTATAGGCATGTGACTAGTCATCTCAAGTGTAATTCTGACAATTTCTGTAATGTTGAGAGGTAAAGAGCTGGGGAGTAGGCCTGAAGAGTGAAGGCTCAATAGCTCTAGCTTAATTGACACATCCATTTTATCTACGTCGCGTCAGTGCATTTCCAAAACGGGCGATTATGTAACAACACAGGATCCCGATTCCCCATCATGCATCATGTTACACCAGACTACATTGACATCGTTCCTTTATACCGCGTCACGGTGTCGTTGGTCAAACTCATTCTTCCCCAAATGACACTGTCGCAACTTCCAGTTCCACCTTCTGGGCGGGTCAGAAAAGGCCGTCTACGCCTTGACAAAAACAGCTTCACTGTGTTTTCTTCTAGATGCTGCCGGCGCGTCGTCAAATCAAATGTCTCCCCGAACAACTTACGAATCTGCGCGAGCGGACAGAGGGGGAGTACTAGTGGCAAGACACGCCGCAGATGGGAATGGAACCTAGAATCCCCTCAATGGCACTGCGCATCCCAAGCACATTACCACGTGTGTATCCGCCGGTTGACTCGGAGGCAAGCTCGGAGGATCTATCATCTGTTTGCATGGTGCTTGCTAGTGTACGACCTCCGGCCGCGGGCTGTGCAACAAAGCTACACAGAACTCTCCGGGGCCATACGTTACGTGCACACCTGGTGTCTTCGACTTCTCACGCAAGACCCACAGACCTCAATTACAATTCACGGCGGTCTTGACTTGACTCGTCAGCGCAAGCGCGCGTTGACGGTCAAATGTTTTGGATGAATTGCAATCAATCACTGGTAATATTTACGTACCAAACTTGACTCGCAATCGCGGGAAAGCCACGGTATAGATAATGCCCATGAATTCTCGCCTACTGGCCGCCGCTCGTTCTGATTCTCTTCAAACTGCCAACGATGAGGAAATTATACCTCACAAACATGAAATTTCGAGTTCACGATTTGGAGGAACTCGTAGTATTCATTGGACCCACAATGACGTCTTATGCGTGCGACGCACTTTTGGTGCTCGGAAGCTGTTGCGTCCCGGTCGCTGTAGAGCCAAAGTGCTGAACTACACAGTGGGGCACTGCCAGTGGTCCGCGGCCCTCTTCGAATAATCAGTGGTCGGACTCAAAGTATGCACCCCGTTCGAGTCATAGTATCCTTCAGGCCCGGGTTCAAGTTTCCACATGCGGAGAATCATAATGGAACCCTCTACAGCTTTGAATTGTTGACAATTGTAGTCTGAGTCCACGAACCACCTCGTGGTACGCATCCCACGTCTTGGGTCGGGCATCGAGATCCATTGGTGACTCTGCTTAGAGCTCACGGACTCGGACAAGATATACTTAGGTTGCCGACAAATCTATAAAATTCGATGCCAGCGACCACTTTGAGTTCAGTCTGCCCCTCCTCGCAATCTTCTTCCAAGCTCACTTTTGCCAGTGGTATGATATCCACATGCAGTACTGCTCGATTCTCATGACATACTCATGAAGAGATAAAGATTATCAGCATGTGTACAGGCTGTCCTTACTTCAAAACCCGCAAGTGGTGCACACACAAAATCCAATTTCCGGAGAGTTTCAAAGTTGTAAGCGACTGTCCTAGTTCAATAAACTTAAAGGATTCAAAATGTAAATGACTTATCATTTCAGTGGACCGACTGCGGCGTCCAATACTGCGCGAGTTCACAGATGCATAGAGGGACTCCGCCCCATAGATGTCTAGAGAAGGGGTGTTACGACAAAAGGTTTGCCACTAGTACTCTTGTGCAGATGTGAGCGAATAAACTGACCAGTTGCAATTGCATTTAGAGTTTATGATATGACTTTGCAGGAGGATGGACTAGGTTATCTAGGGGAAATCAAGGTCGGAGACAGCAGGTGCTCAACATGCTTCAAACGTTGAGCGCGCAAAGAAAGGTTGGACAAAGGATCACAATGATTGGTACCAATATGGCTTGAACTCCCATACAACTTGAAGTAGTTTGCTGACTGGATCATATATTTCTTGGAACCACATTTGTGGAAAATTGCTTGTGCACAGGAGACTGTTGTACCATTTGGCCTGCCAGTGGCCCGGGCACTTTTTTACTAGTATGTCTATGATTGTGATAACCTCCTCCCGGCTCCGAGTTCTGTGACAGCTATTATTAGCACTTGGGACTTATCAGCCGCAGAGTTGCCAGCGCCGGCGCGTGGGAACTGGTTGTTTAGTTCTGTTTAGTTCTCCGTAGTGATCCGACAGCCCGGTGCCAGATTACCCTGCAATGACTACTGTATCATGATCGTGACTGCTACTAACTTTTTCATCGGCTTCAAATCGCGTCATTGTAGGCTTCATGATCTTTCTAAATTCCCAGTCGACTTGCAAGTTCCTGGGTCAACAGCACCCCCAAGGCTCCAACTTGAATTCGAACTTGAACTTGAATCATGATGCACATCATACACCCTCCGCTGATCCGAGAGTTAATTAACAACTTGAACATCAAGTCAACATTACATATGTTTTTGTATCGGTTTACAGTTGATTTTATCCTTGCTCTGCTATGTTCAACCCTCGGTGAACTTTCAAGTTCCACAGCACATCCTCGATAAACTGCTGCTCTCAGTCCCAAGTTGGCCAACCACCACACCACCTCCGTTGTCCCGCTATCATAATCCTCACTCTGCTATCTCCGACCCTCGATGCACTCTCCACAGCACATCTTCAATAAACTGGCTAAATGTGCTGTTCTCAATCCACACCACCACCTCCGCCCACCCCACTACCATCGCGTCCACCAGCTGGCCACATCGCCAGTCCATCGTACGTATTCCGCATTCCCGCGAGATGATGAGCAGGAAAGTCGGAAAGGAAATAGGTCCAGGAAAAACTCTGCCGAAGAGTGGCGAAAAGCGGGTCGGTTGCGGCATTGGGGACGTGAGTGGAGGTATAGAGTGGTGGACGTTGCGAAGATAGATTGAGCTTGAGGAGCTCATCAGTTAACTTTTGGTGCACTTGCTGCATGGTTCCGTCGCGGTTCTCTTGGAACTCTCCGTCGCCGACTCTGATATTCGGACCAATATCCGCCCATCGACTTCTCGATCTCGCTCGCTATAGCCAATAACTCGGGACTTGCAAATGCTATATATGCTCCGCCAGATTTGGGGACGAATCCGTTTGTTCTCTTTGAGCCGCAGTCTGGGCCGAAGAAGAAGCTTCTGGGAGCTGTTCGCGAGGTAGGGGATATAGAGAACTTCATTTTACTTGTCTTTGAGCGTCGCCAGGTCGCGTCCAAGAAGTGGTATTGATATGAATGATATACACGAGGCGCTAGAGCCTGAGATCAATTCCCCAATCGAATGAGAGTGCTTGGGCGAGCAACCGTGTCGTGCCGGGGGGCGTCCGGGAAGGCTTCACTAGCCTCGTAGCGTTTACCATTGATTTTCAGACCGACGAGATGACCCGGTGTCCCGAGTAGCGTCTTAGTCGTAGCTAAGTAGAGAGTCAATACAACGGTGTGTTGAGTCAAATAATGACTTACACCATGCCCCCGCGTCCGGTTCATTCTGCCAATCACCCATGGTGCACCACATGAAAGTCACCCCATTCCTTTGCAACGAAGAAATGGCCAGTGGAACCAGAGGAGACTGTTCCTGCGCAATGTGGTATTGCCAGACGCCGGATATCATCGTCGAACGGTTGGCCCAGATGACACACATATAATTAGTGCCAGGGATGGGTATACCAGTGGTGTACCGGGGAATAGCCTTGGCATGTTCAGTGCCATAGTCAGCCTACGTCTAGTTAGTTTTTTGTCCGTGTGAAGGTTCAAGAGTTATACTCCAAGCATTCCCCAATTATCAGGGTCCTCAAAGGGGGCGGCGACGGCCAAGCTCTGCGACGGGGGAAGGGAGGGGGAGGGGTAGTTGCCAGCCATGTTATGGTGGCAGAAGATGAAAACAAATGACGCCACGTGACAAACAAATACAACAAACGAGCTTACGCCTTGTTACTCTTGAAGCTTTGTCAAGCATTAGTCAAGCAGGCCAGTATTGAAATTCTCGTGCGATTTTTGCATCGGCTTCAAAACCTTGTGGTCGAAGTCATTGTAGACTTCATGCTCTTTCCGAGTCAACTTGCAAGATTCTGAGTCAACAACTTGAACTTGAATCATGATGTCCCTCAAAATCATGTTTTTGTATCAGTCTACCGTTGATTTTATCCTCGCTCTGCTATCTCCAACCCTCGGTGGACTTCTGAGTTCCATAAACTGCTGCTCCGTTGTCCCGCTATCCCCGCTCTGCTATCCCCAACCCCCGATGCACTCTCCACAGCACATCCTCGATAAACTGGCTAAATGTGCTGTTCTCCGTCCCCACCACCACCTCCGCCCGCCCCACCACCATCGCGTCCACCAGCGGCACCAGAAACGGCCACATCGCCAATCCATCGTACGTGTTTCGCATTCCCGCGAGATGGTGAGCAGCAAAGTCGGAAAGGAAATAGGTACAGGGAAAACTTTGTCGAAGAGTGGCGAAAAGCGGGTCGGTTGCGGCATTGGGGACGTCCGTGGAGATGTACAGCGCCGGGCCGTGGCAGCGGGAAGAATGTTGCCAAGTTGTATTGCGCTCAAGGAGCTCGTTCGTCAACTTTTGGTGCACTTGCTGGATGGTCTGGTCGCGTTTCTCTTGAAACTCTCCGTCGCCGACTCTGATATGCGCGCCGAAGTAATACCCACCCATCGACTTGTGAATGTCGCTTGCTACGGCTAGCAGCTCTGGACTTGCAAATGCCATGCTACGCCGGACTTTGGTACGGATTCGCTTGTTCTCCTTGAGCCGCAGTCTGAGCCGGGAAGAGCCGAAGAGACTACCCAGCTGAAGAAGCTTATGGGAGCTGTTTGCGAGGTCGGGGATGTAGACAACTTCATCGTACTTGTGTTTGAGTGTCGCCAAGTCGCGGTTTGTGTCTAAGAAGCGGTATTGATATGGATGGGTGTCGTGGAAGTCCAGAATGTCAGTTGTGTCGAGATTCATGGCACTTGGCGAGAGTTTGTCGAGATAAATCACGTCCCAGCTGCTCAAATTGAAGAGCCAGGCGGGAGAGACATGCGTGAACGAGTCTTGGTCTAGACATTCTGGCGGGATGAAGCTAGAGCGAAGCTTGGGGCAATGTCGTAGTCCCGTCTTCTCTGCAAGCGCGAGGATGATTTGCAGCTTGTCGGAGCTCACATATCGAATGGGATTCGAGCCGAGACGCAAAGGCGGGACAAGCACAGTCCGGTTGGTCAGTTTACCAAGAATGAGCGCGTTTTCGAGTGCAATGCGTTGATTGTGGAGGCCACTATGCGGAAGATACGACAGGAACTTGGCGTCGGGGGAGAAGATGGAGGGAGCTTGTGGGAAAGAGCAGCAACTGGAAGCAACATCGGGCAAAACATTGGTGATTGATGACACGGAGTGGGAGCGAGTAGACGAGTAGTACCAGTAGCACGAGAGACATGAAGTGGACAGCAGGCACGCGACAAAAACCCAATAGTTGCCGATTCTGGTCAACATGATGATGGTTTTCTGTAGGAGTGTAACAGGGAGTCACAGTCACTCAACGTTCAACTTGAAAAACCAACTCTAAATCACAATAAGAGTTAGATTTCTTTGCAGACACTTGCATTACCATGCCGTACACACTCCAATGCACTGATAGCTACTCTAATTACCAACCGTTCAAGTTCTGTGCTATGTTAGAGTAGTTAGTACTGTAACGTTAACATAACAGGGAGTCGGGCGGGTCCCGGTGCCAGTGGGGGCTTCTGAATCAAGTTCAACTCTACGAGGCACTCAGGCCTCAGGCTCTCTTGCATCAACACACTCCAATTTGTACTTACTCCTGATTACCGACCGCTATTCCAAATGGTATCAAATTCAGCTTGTTGGCCTGAAACAGCTTTGAAGACCAAAGCAGTCCAGACCGCATCTTGAAACAACAGGTGCTATTTGGTGCTGACACCCTTGGCTTCCCAGAATCAAGCCAGCCGTCCTTCCACCAACGATTTGATTCTGAAAGCACTGATAAGTACAACTATACAAAAAGCAGCTATGCTATAATGAGTAGGGTAATCGAGAGAAGCAAATGCAGCGATATTAACCATGTGTATGCCGGAAAAAATGTCCTTCCCTTTGTTTTCCACCCGTCAAACGCCCAACGCGAAACTTAGGGAGTTCTCCGCCTCCTTATCGCGTTCAAGATCGTGCCACGCAAATGTTGCATTAGTCGGTGATGACGGAGTCGAGGTAGGCAAAAGGCCTAAAGAAACGCCGCCACTTGTACCGCCACGCCCACCGCTCCCTTCATCTTCCCGGACGTCAACGTCCATAGCGGACGGAGAATTACTGGTCTCCTCTCCGCCCACATTCTTCAGAAACTCTTCCCAAGCAGCATGATCTGCGTCAGGCATCGGCATGTCGAATCGCTCTGGTGAAGTTGGAGTCGTCGCAGCGAATTCTTGGCTTTGATGCCCGTTGGCCATGGCCATGTACATCGGATGTGGCCTCGCCCTTGGCATTGGCTGTCTCCTCTCCAACGTCCCTTTACTTGGGAACCCATCCACACTGCTAAATAAACCTTGTTCAGGTGTCTTCCCAGCCCATAACGCCCGTCGCACACGGTCGACTGCAGTGCCCTTCGCAAACGGGTTATTCACCGTCGCATTCGTTTCCGATATCGGGATGTCGGTGTAAACCGCACGAAGCAGTGGAACCCGTAGCGAGCTCAGTGGAGGCGGGGGGAGTTGAGGTAGCGCAATTTGTTGCGGACTCTGGGAGAAAAATGCCGATATTCGGCCATTATTTTCTTCCCCCGCAGCCGCTGGAGGTGGCGGAGGATCCACAACGAAAGACTGCGACTGATCATCGTCAATCTCGCCTTCTGCGTCAATTTCATCATCCGCATCCTCGTCTTCCCCACTGGCTTCTCCGTCACCATCGCTTTCTTCAAGCTCCCAGTCATAATACTCTTCGTCCATGAACATCAGTGCTTGCGGATGTGGTTTGCCCGTGGCACTGAAAAACTCGTCCGCTTCTCGGCTTACCAGCGAGCGGATGAGTGCAGGGCTGTATCTCGAGCGCCTATGAAAATGAATTAGCGACCAGCAAATGAAAATGCATCTTGACGCACATTTCCCAGACCCTAAACCGACAAGCAATCTTCCACACACCCCAGGAAGTATGCCAGTTTGACATTGGCTCAGGACCTAAATCCTCCATGTGGTATGGGTTCTCATATAATGCCTCTTGTGCCTGGTTCTGAGCGCTAGGAGCAGCACTCTCTGGAGCTGTAGTAACAGCAGCAGAATTATCAAGCGGTTGTTCCACGTTTGACGGTTCAGCGAGGGCAGGGGGATCCAATTGAACTGGCTCGACCGGTTCCGCCTGAGGTTCGAACGCCAACAACAACGGGCTGACACTGCTGGTTCTTGTCCTTCCCATTCGAATCATCCCATGACTCTGATTCTCCTCAGCCTGACGCCGTTCCCATTCATCTGCCTCGGCTCTCTCCCCTGCCTTTCGCCTTCTGAGCATGAGGGCATTCCACTCGATTGTGTGTGTATGGCGTTCGGAAAAGGTGCTATACGCGTTTGCATTTGGGTACCCAAAGGACTGCGACTGAGATGGTTGCTCCTGAGAAAGAGGCGGAGGCAGATTCTCCCGTTCTCGAGGTAATGTCCAGGCGGGAGAAACCGCCACAGGGCTGGCAGCGCTCAAGTCTAATTCTATGGGGGAACCGTCAGGAGCGGTAAATGTCGCAATTGAGCTGGGCTGTGCGGAGTCATCTGTTGCATCGCTACTCCAAGTTGAGTCAGCCGTGGGCGCTAATAGTGGCGCTGGTGCCGAAGTCGGTGCGACGAATGGTGATGGCGCAAAGTCTTCAGGAGAAAGTGCCCGTATCAGTGGTGGTAGTGAAGCGGCTATGGATATGGGGGAAGTCGGAGAGAGAGTCGGGGATGTAGGACTGGTTGGGATCGGAGTCGTAGTTATTAAAGGAGTAAGGGTGGATATTGAGGTGGGGAGGGTGGGAGGTGAGGCGGGACACGTCAAAGGAGGCGACGATGGATTGACTGCTGACAACACTGGACTGCTGGCGGGGGAAGTTTGGCTTCCGTTGCTTATCTTTCGTGTTGTTGTGGGTGGAGTTGCTGGAAAGGAATCTTAAGCATCATCATTCGAATGATAAGGCGAAGTGCACTCACCACGCAAAGGCATTTCAACGTCCACCTCCTCGACAGGCACACAAACCAGCTCCCTTTCTTTCTCCTTGCCCTTTTCTAAATCGATATCGACATCCAACTCCATTTCTATTGGCTCCATCTTCACCACAACTTTCTTCGTAGACCAAAGAACGTCAGTTCGTTCCCGCACTGGACTGACACCCATATCGATTTCATCTAAGCGACTGGGCGCAGGGCTTGTTCCTCGACTTGCGGTACCGTTGTTGGCGGAGAGGGAAAGAGTAGGCCGAAGGGTCATCGGGTTTTGATTTTGGGAGAGTGGTTTTGACGATGATGCGCTTGTCGTCGCTGAAGCCGCCGCCTGAGCATGTGAATGAGAAACAATTTCAATAACTGCAAAAAAAGAACTTACATTCGCCAACAACTGAGCTGTCCGCCTCGTCAACCTCCGCATCCCCAAGGGCGGTACCAACGTTTGCGCCTGCGCTTGTTGTTGCTGCCTGGTCTTGGCTTTCGTCGTCTTCTTCTTCGGGGTTTTACGGTCGGTGGTTTCAGCAAAAACAGGCTCGATGGGAAGCCCACTACTTCTCGTGTTATGAACGGGAACATGGCCGGGCGAGTCTGTCGGCTGGGGTGACGCAGTGGCTTTCGTTCTGCTCTTACGAGTCGGTGTTGGAGTCGGAGTCGACGAGTTTATGCTCTAATTGAATGGGGTTAGCGACAATCGACAATCCGGGTCACAAAAAAACCACAAGTCAAGGGAGGTTAAACAGTATGTACCTCGGCCGAATATCGTTCTCTTAACCGGGTTGACGCATTCCCGCTGGCACTGACTCTACTCTTCTTGACCACGCCATCCTCATGCAAATCCGGACTCTTTCGTTTCTTCGGCCGAGCAGATGACTGTTTGCCATTGGGAGTCGTGTTTGCCCGCGTGCTAGAGGATAGACCACCGCTTCCGTCAATGGAAAGAGAAAGAGCCTTGAGGCTGAGCCGCCGGGAGTGACGGGGCTCTGGGGCTGGAATACGCGAGGTCGATGCCACAGGGCTGAGCGTAGTCATCGTGGTTGCCTGTCACACCTATGTCACGGTCATTCGGAGAGTTTTCGTCATCGCTCTTGGCCCTTGTATTATTATTGTCTTCAGTGAACTAAGGCTTGAGGACGATACACGGGGTATATTATCTCGCAAAAAAAGTCCATTCAATGCTATTACTGATTCTTCTTCTCAACTGCATCAAAGCCCTTGGGAGGATCGACACGCAACGGGCTCTGGATGCTCCCGAGGGCATTGATACCGAGCATAATAATCGGAAGGAGAACAAAAAGCGTAATGATTAGAGCCGTAATCAGACCCGGAGTCAGCAGTTGATAGTGGGCCAAGATACCGCCTTTACTCGACGGACTAGGAGCAGCCCGCAAGTTTACAGGCGTGCTGCGCTTTGAGAGTGACGCGGAGCTGGTATATATGACAATATGGTGCGGGAAGAGGGTTGCAATTCGAGCAAGTTCAGTGGAGAGTATGTCGTCTAAAATAAGTAGATGCTTAATGGTAAATTTCATTGCAGAGAAGACACGCACCGTGTTTCAAAAGAGCTTCTTTGCGATCCTTCGCGAGCCCATCCAGAGGTGGGAATGTCAACGCCAACAAATGTTTTGCGCTCCCTGACAAAGACGAACCATATCCTGGCGCATAGGAGACATATTGAGAGTTACACCGAGCCGCAGTAGTCTCCAAGAGTTGTGGGACGTTGTGACCGTGGTTTGGTACATATGGTAGTTGGCGGGATGAAGGCGCCGATGCGAGGGAACGAGCCAGGTGGCTAGTCGGAGATAGAGAACGCAAATCTGAGGCGCGTAGCTGAAAATGCAGGTCAGTAGTGCTTCGTGAATAAGATGGAAAGTAATGCCTCGGGTTGGTCAATGAAGACTACCGCATCGTGCCCACAAATGTCTGTACTTGACAGCAAGGCATCCAAGGTAAACTTTGAAGGTAACGAATCCAATAAGGTCGAGCTATGAACCACGTCTCAGCATATATTTACGGTTGATATTCCACTAACCTGTGAGAGGACCACGAGATAACCGGAGCTGTGTTGGAGAAGGCCAAAGCAGCAGACAAGAGAGCTGAGAGAACGAATAACTTCATCGTCGTCTGAAGGCAGGTCACGCGTGACCCACACTTTCAGCCTTCCGAATTTGAGCGCAACTTGTGCTTCAAAAAATGAGCCTTTCCGCCCTTCTTCTTGGAAAACCCAAGAAAGTTGACTCGGAGCTGGATGCACTGTTTAAATCCAATGTCCGTCCCATTAGTCTGCTCTCGAAACAAGACTTGATGCAGTTTATAGCCCATTCCGCCACAAAATTCCAGCATCCCTGCTACATCAACCCAACCGCCAACAAAGAAGCGAAAAATCCAGGAATCTCATGGCGAAAAGAATACGAAACGAGCTAAATCCGGCAGCCCCATAAAATTGCCAGTCGAAACCAAGCCAACCAAGTCTTCGAAAAAGCCGAGAAAGTCTCCAACACCTGTACCCCAAAGCTCTCCGGAGCCTGACGACTCTGAGGACGATAACGATGATTTGGAAAATGCATACCTTCTTAAAAGTCAGAAAAGGCAACCCGACCAGTCCAACAGAGAAGATAGTAATAATTCAGATGCCGGCGGGTCTGAAGTCGAAGTCGACGATGAATCGGATGCACCTCCACCAACCCACGAATCACTCCTATCCTCTGCCAAACGCGTGCGTGTGAAAACCAGCAAAAAGAAGGATAAATTCGTGCCCGAAGACGAATCGGCAGCGCAGCGAAACGCTCGAACTCTGTTCGTTGGAGGGCTTCCAGTAGAAGTTGCAGAGAAGAAAGTAAGGCTTTGAAACTGTCCTTCCGCATTCTCACTCCCTACAGTCACTCAAAAAACAACTTTCACGACACATTCTCTCCTTCCTTCCACCACCCAGTCAAGGAAAAATCAAGATAGAATCCGTCCGCTTCCGCTCCGTAGCATACCAAAAGCCATCCAATGGGCCGACTTCCAACAAAGACGGGTCGAAACCTGCTCCCAACGCCAATGCCTCTGAGCATAGCAAGTCGCGGGCAGCCAAATGGCGAGACGATGCAACAAAAGAAGAAGAAAAGCCGAAGGAGTATCTCACGCCTGCTCAAAAGAAAAAGGTCATGTTTATCAAGGGGGAGTTCCACTCCGAAGGACGGGGCGTCAACGCCTACGTTGTTCTGGCACATCCAGTACAGCGAGACAATGATGTTGATATGGACGGGTCCGACCCTTATAATGCTGCTCTTGAGATCGCACGTGCAGCAAATTTCTCTTCATTCTTAGACGTTGCTATCCGTGTCGATGTTTGTGGCCAGCAACAACCAAATTCGAACTCACAATCCAATTTGGACGCCATCGGTGCCACGGGCGACCCGAAATTCTCCCTTTTCATTGGAAACCTGGAGTTTGGTTCGCAAGAGCGAGATGTGATGGAGTTTTTCGAAGGTGTGGTCGCTGGCGAGCGAGGACCAGCCCCTGACTCTGCCAACGACGAAACTAAACAAGCAGCAAGATGGGTTCAAAGCGTCCGCCTCATCCGCGACCCAGAAACACAACTCGGGAAAGGGTTTGGTTATGTGCGGTTTTCGGTCGGTTTACTCTTCCGCTCATGCTGCAATGCGCTCATCATCTTGATCACAGGACCGCGAATGCGTCGACGAGGTTCTCTCCCTTTCCAAGACGGACGAAGGGAAGAAGAAGCTCAAATTTGCGAAACGCGTCCTACGAGTCCAGCGATGCAGAGCTACCACAACGAAAAGCACTTCGTCTAAACCAGCATCCGACTCTGTTGTCCAGCCCATCATATCGCCAACCAGTAAAACGACTAAACGCGGGGATCCAACATTGGGCGAGCGACTTGTGCATCTCGGCAAAGAAGAGCGCAAGGCTGCGAAGAAAGCAGACAAAGATAGGGAGAGTAGGAGGGCGGAAAAGAAAATGAGAATGCGGATGAAGGTCAAGAGCCAAGTCCCTGGTGGATTTGGAGGCAAGGGAGCTGGGAAAAGTAGTGTGAAGAGCAAAGAACGAGAGCGGATTAGGAAAGTTAAGAAATAACAGTCTATATATTCATGCTGTTGCTACTAAAAAAATGATAGCTGTTCACGGGCTTCGACGCCCACGACTACATATCCTCGAAAACACCAGTTGTTCTGATTCCACTTTACGCCCGTAATCCACCTCTGGAGGCCACACTCGATTTGTTGCCAAGGACTGCAGCATAAAATCAACGTCTTCTGCGTCTGCAAGCAGATACGTCCTGCAAAATTCCGGGTCCAAATAGTTGCCAAAACGCACCCAAGTCACAAAACTGGTTTCCCTCTATGGCGCATGCACACAGTCCCCCTCATACCTTCATTTTGTACAACCCATTGACATCATGGCCATCTTCCTTCTCTGACGATGCCTGCCAAATCCCTCTGAGCCGAGCCGAAATCCCATATAACGCGCTTCAAAGGTTTGACCAACCCGATCATCGTCAAACTCAATACCGTTGAGCTTTGGTGTCGCAGATGCCGGCCCAAAGAACACCTGAGTCAAAACTTAAAAGAGTAAATCTTCTGTCCGATCTGTTGCTCATGGAGAGGCAACATTAGGCAGCCATGGATAATTCAAGCGGCCTATCCGGTTCACGTTTACAGCAACGAGCTTTGAGAAGCTGGGTATTGTTCGTAAAGCAGTGCTGAAAATTTGCCGGGAATGACGAGGGTTATATCCTGCGGGGCCAACTTTGAAAGTAACGATAACGATTTGGATTTCGAGCTCAGTGTGTAGACAGCACCAATCATGCAACGTAAATAAAGCAATAATACACTTGGTTTCAAGAAGTGGCTGGGAGAAAACCAATCGTCAGTTTGACTAGAGAGATTGCCACTAGCCAACGCACCAAAACCACTATTCATGCCTCATTTTGATTCAGCATTCAACCCCCCACTCGTGTTTATTGTTGTTTCTTCGTCTCCGGCTTTCCTTGGGCATTCTTAACACCAGCCTCAACTCCGGTCTGGCTGTATGGATTCGACGGCGCCTCGTAGGGTTTCTGGACGCGTTCCGAGCTAGGATCGACGCGGTGGACTTTGGGGTCTGTGGCCGGGGTCGAATCCACCTCTTTGGTATATGTGTCGGTTGTGTGGGATGCGCTGGTGCTTGACTTTGCTGCCGCGGATGTGGATGAGCTGGCGTAGCGTTTGGCAGCTGGGGCAGAAGAGCGGAGGAGGGCAGAGCGCATCATGGTTGGGTTGGGTTGGTCTAAGCCGTGTTAGTTCTTGGGCGCGAACTGGGCAGCTTGGGCGCACCTTATAGTATTGGGGCGGTAGATGGAGTAAGACGAAAGCCAAGGAAAAGCTTCGAGTTTAAGCTGGCGTCACACCGACTGTCAAATGAGGGTCAGACGACGTCATTGGCAGTGCGGCCATCACGGATGTGGCCATCACGGATGTGACCGTCACGCGACCGGCCAAGAACAGCTCTAGTACAGCTCTTCACAGAAACTGACAGGAATCATTGCCGCTCGCCGCCACGCCTGTCGTGCATTATTCTTCTCCCCCTCTACGTCGCTCCTCCTTCATTCACGCCCTGCACATTCCCCTTTCTTACGCTTCTTGCCTCTCCCCTCCTTCCTACCCAATACCCGTAGACGATGAAGCTACGCAACACGCTGCTTCCTGCACTCCTCGCGAGTATTCCAGCCACCATTGCCCTCCCCAAAATCACTCGAACGGGCCGCTACCTCTACGACGAGAACGGGACGAGGTTTTTCATCAAAGGTCTAGCCTACCAGACTCAGGGTACATGGTCATTCCAGTTTCACAAGCAGCGCTGACGAAGCCCGCCTCAGGCATTGTCATTCCTGGCCCCGACAACCCACTCGGAAATCCTTCTACCTGTGTGTTCTCTTTTGTCAAGTCGGCTCCTCTGACCATGTTGCTGCTTAGATGTGGACAATCTGGCTGATTCGGCTGCCTGCGCTCGCGACCTCCCCAACCTGCAAAAACTCGGAATCAATGCTATTCGGGCGTATTCTGTCGACTCCCGGCTTAACCACGACTCGTGTATGGCTGCGCTCAGTGGGGCGGGAATCTATGTCATGTAAGACCCTTCCGTTCCCTCGTCCGCAGTTCAGCTAAAATTACTTTTCTTAAGCCTGGACTTGACGCTTCGTGTGTTTTGTTCCGACTCTGTCCTTCTTTGACTGACCATTGTTAGCTCTCAATGGCTCCATTGATACTACCCTGCCTACCTGGAGCACGAATCTACTTAACCAGGTATGTTATCCTTGGCCCTGCCCAGCCCTCCTGACTGGTCGTAGTACATCGACACAATCAATCTTTTCAACAAATACGACAACATCCTTGCATACAACGTTGGCAATGAAGTTCTGACTGCTGACGCCACCAACGCCGCCCCCTTCCTCAAAGCTGCTGCCCGCGACACCAAAGCTTACCTTAACTCCATTGGATCCTCTGCGCTCATTGGCTATGCTGATATCGACGGAGCATCCTCGTTCCGTGATGCGGTGTCCGCCTACCTATCTTGCGACCCGTCTGGAAAGAACGACGGTAGCACCAGCATTGACTTATTCGGGCTTAACAACTAGTGCGTGCCTAACAGCTTTTGATTTATAAGGTCTCACTCTTCCCGCAGCGCATGGTGCGGCAATGCCCCCACAACCACCTACAACACGCTCAACGACGAGTTCAAAGACTATAACGTCGCGGCTTACTTCTCCGAGTATGGCTCAGAGAACTGCAATCCTGGTACACGGCCCTGGACCGAAGTCGGCACCCTCTTCGCTACTCCTATGAGCGATGTGTGGTCGGGAGGCATCGCATTCAGCTACTTCCCTGCTGCTGCGGGAGGCCATGAGTTTGGCATGGCGACTTTGTCGTCGGACAACAAGACTGTAACCACCAATGCCGACTTCGACAACCTTGTCTCCCAATACGGCAAACTGACCTCCCTGCCCACCACGCCCGCAAAGTCGTCTGTCCCTGCCTCAACTTTCGGGACGTGTCCCGCAGAGAACAATGCTTTGGAAGCGAGCACTACCATCCCGCCAACACCAAACACGGATGCCTGCACCTGTCTCCATAACAAGCTTCCGTGCTTGTTCAAGCCTGCGACCAGCGACTTCAATGTTGTCTTGGGCACGTTGACGGGGGTCGTCTGCAGCCTGCTTGGTCAAGTCGGAGGCAGTTGTGCGGATATTGGAACAAACGGGACCACTGGTGTGTATGGGACAGTTGCTAGCTGTGACCCTGGTGCGTTTATCTTTGCGACTTTGGCATTCAACAGTCTCATCTTTTTCCATTTAGCCACTCGTCTCTCTTATGCCTTCTCCCAATACTACGAGCTAACCGCTCGTGCGGCCACTTCTTGCGACTTCGCGGGCAATGCAACGCTCTCCGACTCGGTCAAGTCGTCGCCGGCCAACGTCGTTGCGCCAAGTTCAGCTGTCTCCCAATGTCTCACCAGCCCGAGCGCGGTTTTCACCCCCAAAGCGAGCTCTGGTGCCCCGGGTCCCTCGGGCAGTGCTGGCGGTGGAGGTGGAGGTAATGGTTCGGGCGGTAATGGAGGCAATGGTGGCGGGAATGGCGGAAGCAACAACACAAACGACGCTAGTGTCCCTATGCGGGTCGGGGTGGTTACCGTGATGATGGCCGTATTGGGTGGCGCTGCGTTCGTGCTTGCTTAAACGTGGGTCTCACCTTGATTGCTACTATTTCCCTACTACTACCGAATGGACGGACGCACATCGGACATGATAGATACGACTACTACTACCATATTCTTAGCTACAGCTCTGCGTGTACATATAGTTTTGTGCCTTGGCAGACATCCCATCGCTCGTTTTTCTCCTTACGGGGCTGTTAGGGACACTGAATCTAATTTGAAGGACTGTAAATTGGCTATGAAAACTGGTCGGCGTAAACGGAATGTTCTTTCAATAACCAAAAAGCATCGTATAGACACAGCGCAATGTAGAAAACAAACTAACGCGGCGAATGTAGAGAATATCCTAGTCGTAATACCTACTCACTGTGAAGTAAGCACCCATTCATGTCGCTGTCGCAAATGCAAGCAAAAAAGCAGCCGAGGCATGGCGTGACATCCATCTTGGCCTATTCCAAGTCCCAAACAAAGTTTTTTCAGGACGCTGCCTCCGAGCCAGCGGCACCTGGTCCCCCCTCCTCTTGGTGCGCCTCTTGTTAAGCCAGCAGCAGCAAACCCTCGAGCGGCAAAGCCTCCGCCACCTCGCCCACCACGTCCCCCACGGCCATTCGGACCACCGCCGCGGCCAGCTGGGCCGGACTCATTGTTGTTGCCTCCACCGAAACGCTGCTCACGATCAAGCGCCTGCTTAACTTCGGGGACCACATCTTTGATTTTCTGCAATATCCAAGTCAGTTTAGATTCTCTCGGGGGAAAAACAAGTCCACACGCACAGGAATGTGCTTGTCCAGGCCCGCACGCATCGCTTCTTCGTCGCCGAACTCGATATAACCCAGACGCATTGGTCTATTAGCAAAAGGAGGTGGTAGGTTAATTTTGGTGATCTAAATGATGAGTCAGGAATCAGGAAGGTTTCGAAGAAAAAATAGAATAAACGCACCCCCATCCTTGGCTTCGCCAAAGAACTCTTTGATATCAGCATCCGTTAGTGCCACAGCCGTAGGCCACTTCATGAATATCGTCCATGGGTTACGCGGTGGGCGATTTGTTTTTGGCGTTCGTGCCCCACCATCGGTAATGGGCGATTTAACGTCTTCAGGCTCGGGAGACTTGGCGGCGGCAGGAGTAGAAGTCGATGCATCTCCATTCTCAGTCTTGTCCTTCTCAGCCTGCGCCTTCTCAGCACGCTCTTTGTCTTTCCGCTCCTTTTTATCCTTCTTTTTTTGCTTTTCCCGTTCAGCTTTCTCAGCCGGAGTAAGTCCATTTGGCTTTGTAGCGGGTGTAGATGATGAAGAGTTGTCTTTGGAGGCGTCTGCTGCAGCTGCGCTTGAAAGCTGCGCGACAGGGACAGGAGTAGATGATTTCGAGGCCGCCGGTAAAGCGGACGTTTGCGAGTTGGGTGTGGTCACCGAAGCAGTTGCAGTACGACGATACGCGTAATTGAAGCCTAAGAGTGTCAGGCAACATCAAATAAAGAGCAACTAAAAGACGCACCCTGACTCTTGAGCTCGGCACTGACCCGGCCCTCCTTCACATCCAGTATCAGGGAACCATAAGCGGCATCACAGAGATTCCAGTTCCAGCAGTTTTTCCACGCAGGCTCGTCGGCAGACCCAGCGGTCGGTACTCGGTCAAGGACATGTAAGGCCTTGTCTAATAACACGCGTTGGTTTTCGTCGATGACTGCGTCAACCTGGGTCTTGACACTCTCCCAAACTTTGTCGAAAGCTTCCTTGCCCTGCGTGAGCTTTGTGCGGAATGCTTCAAAATCGCCTTGCACGCTGAACTCGTTGTAGGAGGTAGCATAACGGAAATGAAGGCCGGCCGAAATGGTCAAGTCGGCTTTGACGACCAGTGCGAGCTGGGCCATGATGCCTTCCCTGCCGGGGCTTGCGTGGGTGACGAGGAGTCTCGTTTCTGTGGGATCAAAGACACGTTGGGCAGTGTCGACGAGTTCTCCGATTTGGAGGGCAGTGGTCCACATTGTCCCCTGGCCACCAGCAATTGTCGCATGTCCGTCTCCATTGTCAAACATTTTATGGGGAACCAACGCGCCACCCAGGCCTAATAGTCGTAATTTGACGCCACCAAGGTCAAGGCAGCGTGTAGTGGCTTCGTCAAGAACGTGGAGGTTGTCGATTGCATATGCGCCAGACCTGAACTTTTCGAGGACCTGAACATCCTCACAGGCACCCCAAACGGTGAAAACCGGGATTTGCAGTTTTATTTGGCCGGAAAGAAGGACGGGGAACTCTGAAAGTAGCGAAATATTGACGGTCTGGCGGATGACAGCTGGCGGGTTGTCGGGGGCAAGGAGGTGAGTGCGTTGGGAGGTCGAAATGAGTGGCGAATACATCGTGAGATGTCGGAGGGTGCGGTCATTTATCCGTTCGAGTGAGGGAGCCTCAAAGAAGCCAAAATCGCCAGTATGGACAATGGCTTGTGCATTCGCGTCTCGAGCGAGGTCATTGAGAGCTGAAAGACGACCACGAATGTCTGCTATGCATAGAATCCGACCATGTGCGGTGTCGAGGACTTTTGTTTGGGTATTAACGCGCGGCGGCAACGGGGCGGCCGACATGGTGGTGGTGAAAGCAAAGATTTGCTGGTCACGCCCACACAAAGAAATTTGAAAGAAACGTTGGTCCTCTATTCAAAATTTATGCGACACATCGACCCTGAAGCCTAAACCCTATTAGGCAGACTTTGCAGACGATATACTGAACGCAAAACGGTGTAAACAAATGACAAGCGTGACGCCTTTTAGCTTTTGCTCTCATCCCGAACAACTTTACCGTCTACCACCGCCGTGTTATCTGAAGAACACGCTCAGCAAAGGTTGTCCGAGTTTGGTCTGTTGTCTACACTACTCCCTGTCACCTCCATCTCGTTGCGTGAGCGATGAACAACAAACTGGTGTGTGCCAAAATTTTGCTTACCGCATTATGTTCTGAGTCAATCCACCAAATCAGAAGCGACTACTCTTGAATCACTTCTTTCACTGGGAAAAAACCGTTCTCGCATGCCGTCGTCCCAAGACACCACATTTTTCAAGCAACGAAGCCTATCCAACCGTTGCTGCTAACACTGTCGGGCGAACTCTTTCTCCCCCTCCCTCTTCGGCGCATATTAAGGCTCCACTATCCCTTCTCCACCGTGCCTTGCGCATTCAGAACATCGCGCCCCACAAAAACATCAAGTCAATAACTGACCGAATCTTCAGTGGACCGCTTGAATACGCTCAGTTACAACAAGAAGGCTCAACACATTTCGTGACTCTGAGCTTCCTCAGCAGCGACTCTGCCTGGCTGTTCGCTCGCTCCCAGCTTACCGACCCTTTGAAGTTGGAACAACTCACAGGCTCAGATTTGGCGCGTTGGGAATGGCTACCGCCAACCCCACTCCCGCGCGAAACTGCCGATGCTATAGGCACCAAGCTCGCCAGGCGTACGCTGTGCATCTCATGGCATAAGTCCTCCCCGTATCCCACAACCCCTCAGATTCACACCCTTCGGAGAAAGTTATCGCGATTTGGACCTTTTGTGTGGTTCTGGCAATTCAACGATCGGCGTTTTGTCGTCGCCTATGCCGACATCCAAACCTCGATTTTTGTAGGCGTTTTCTCCTCTCAATATCTTGTCTTTGACCTATTTTACAGGCACGCAACAGACTGGAGGACGCCTTAGAGAATCAGGCCACAGTCAGGTACTTCCCTGATTGGACTGAGGTCTCCACATCGTATCGTAATAGTCTATGGAACTGGAGGATGGAACAACGTAAGATTTTCAAGGAACCAATCATTATCATTGACTCTTCCTTAGAACAGAGGGTGGGAAATAAGAGAGTACGCTCGTTCTCGTTACTTACAGTGTGAACATTCGTAGCTAATGCTTTCTAGGGGGTCACTCCGGAATGGCACTGGAACTAGATCTTTGCTCCGTTTTCTGAATGGAGACGATATTATTGACGTTGCTGGCTTCATTCACCAAATTGGGCCAATGGGGAACAAGCGTTAGCTGGCCAATCAGTGCTGTTCCATTCACAACAGAAACTGAACCCAAGTGTTGTGACCAAACGACGCGGAAGGCTTACAAGCTGTACGTATACGCTATACATGTGTCCTTATTCATGTAACATGTAGCCATTTTACTCTCCCTGTGCTTGTCTCCTTACTGCGATCATTCCAATCAAAATGACGGCTGACTCAGCACAACTTGGAATCGGCCATGGCCAACCGCACTCGCTGTACCAGGATAACATTCAAAAAGGCTAATAGCCTCTCATCACCTTTCAGATGAGCTCGCTTCCGAACCCTCCTGGAAATTGCTGCTCCTCAAGCGAAAATTTCAAGGTGAGTCTACAAGTCAGGTTACGCGCCACCCACATATGAATCATCAATAGGCCAGGGTGTAGCGACGCTTTCGGTCATGGGTCCACTGGTGCAGCAACTCCGTGATCGTCATGAACATTGAACAGGCAAGGAGGCCATCTTCCATCTTTGCTCGTCAAGTCATGCTCGTGATCCACAGCATTCTCTGGAACGCTTGATTAATTCAGGCTCGTACCCTACGTGTAGGACAAGCGTAGTAAAATAACTTTGGTGTTTTTCTGTAAAGACCGGACTGCCCACTCGAGACGAGTTTTTGTCAACAAAAAAAAAGTTTGGGCTAAGAAGCATTGTACATCGAGATAGAAAGGAAGGGTAAAAGTGTTGAACGAAGTGAAAGTACGTGAGAAGGATGTGGGCAGTTTGGGTTGTCAAAGGTCTGTCCAATGTCAATTGTGATACGGAAATGTTCGTGGCTCAGAAGTCTGTGGACAGATCAGCAACAGCTCTGTCTAGCGAAAGCATTCACCCACCAATGGGAGAGGTGAAGTTGTGGACCATCGGATGCACTTTGCCAGAGGGAATCTGACGGAGGTTGTGCTGCGAGAGATTGTTTTCGGTCAGCCGGTCGATTCCACCCATCTCGATGTCTCCGCCCCTGCGTCGATTGGGGCGCATGGCGGGCAGGCGTGGGAGTTCCAATGACTGTGCGTCCTCGAGCTCTTTCCCGCCGGCATATGGGGGCGTTGCGACCCGGTACGGGTCGGACGGAGGGAAGGTTAGGCTAACGCTGGGTTTCGTGATCTCTGGCGAGGCCTGCTGCGAGGACATGTAGGAGTTGCTGGAGTATCGGCCGTAGTCCTGGTCCAAGAATGTCGATTGGCTTGGGGCTCCACCATGGCGAATCCGTTTGCGGTCGCGAGCGGCGTCTTTGTTGGCGATCTCGCTTTTCACAGAGCGCGGGAAGAAAATCTGGCATCGTGAATTGAGTTTGGGCAGACAGTCGCAAGACAAGTGGTGACATACAACAAGCGTCAAGGACGAAGAGATACCGCAACCAAAGGCAGACGCCATGATCAATATGTCTAGAATAGGCTTCTTGTCAAACGACACGTTGCATAAAGATAGAACACACCAGTCCATAGCATGCTTTCGTTGATATGGTTATGTGGGCGAACGCCATCCACACCCAGAATGACCAATGGGATACACATGATGAAACGGAAGCAGACTCGAATCATCTAAGGGGTTTATTCCGTTGGGTATTCCAGAAAATGTTTGCGACATACGTTGAGTTCATGAAATTTCGTCAAACGGACGACAGTATCAGTGTCTACACCCTCGTTCTTCTGCGGGGACATCAGACTGACCGATGGACAAGGAAGAGCACATACCAGACTATTGAGGAATGCAGGGAACGCCCATCTATCGTGGTTGTCATGATAATCAAGCTGGGTAGACAAGATAACTCACAGTATGGGAGTGAACCAAAGGGTGAGCGACAGGCTACCGAGACTACCGGCCAAAAAGGTGTAGGCTTCACACTATAGACGCTGAATCAGAGATGAACAGCAAGCAAGCAATCGCGCACCTTCAACACATCCGAACGCGTGAGGATGGTCAACAGCGGCATATAGGTGATCGCGATAGCCGAGCCGATGACCCATGTTCGGAAGTACCAACTCCTGAACCAGTCTTGTTGTACGGAGCCCGAGTTGACTAAGAACAGCCAGAAACAAAGCTCTAAGCTTGTGTTAAGGGTACCAATAAGGTTAGGGAAGATATGACGGACCTTCGAGGTGGGTTATCCTATGACCATGAAATCAGTGCTTGATGTGGAGTAGCGTAGGCTGACGCACATTTCTAAGCTCCATGCTATGGAAAACGCGAGTAAGAAAGGGAATACTGCGCGTTGCTCCGCCTCCGGCCATAACTGAACAGGTTTTGGGATGACTGCCGCGCGTTAGTTTCTAAAAAAAGGCACCAATGGAGACTGACTATGGCCTTTGACATCGATGAATCCTTGCTGGTACTTGATGACTGGAATGAGTTTGAGATTGGCGGAGGGTATGAGACCAGTAGGACGCACTAGTGAAACCGAGAGAATACGCCAATATTAACGGTGTGCTTGTTAGATACGAGTACTGAGAAAGGATAAATCAGACTTTTGAACAGAAGATGCAGTATTGCTCACCGTCATGAGCCGCTTGAACGCTCCCGACGACCCTGTATTCCATCTGCATTCCCATGTTGGCTGTAACAAACTTGGTTCAATGGGAGTGCACACCGTAGACACTGGAATCGGTCGAAGGACCAGAGATGGAAGATAAGGAATGATAAAAGCTGCAAGGAGAGTGAGTACCCCTCGAAATAGCGGCAAGGAAACACGCACAATAGTGGATACTATAGCCCAAACAAGGTACGTCGCGGGAGAAGTGTGGGACATGGTAGAACGAAAGAAAAGAGGATTGCGGCTCGAGCCGGCGAGAAAGTGAAAAGGCAAGAATTAAACTGCTAGAGCTAACCTAGGAACACCGTTTGGACCGTTGACTTTATATGATCGCCATGTGCTTCACCGACATTGATAGGTTTTGATGTGGAGATGAAGGTGATGCAAGCGGAGCCTGGCTTGGTCGTCGCAATTTGCGTTTGCGTTGCCTTGCCCGCAACCTCGGAGCGTCATAAGGCTATGAAACATCGCTGACCTTCACCGCGTGGCTCCGAGTCGGACATTCAGGGGTAACAACAAGTAAGACAGAAATTTCCTTTTTGGCAAGCGTGGGAGCGAATACACATCCTGATGCCTCCCTCCATCGACGAGCAACAAGACGTTCTTCTCGCCTGCAGATACGGCGATCTCGACGATGTTAAACAGTTCATAACCGCATTCGGAGCCCAAGCTGCTGCCGAAGTCCGAGACGACAACGGTAACTCTGCACTGCACATGCTGTGTGGAAACGGGCATGAAGGTTATTATTCTCTCTTGCTTTTTGTCCCTCAAACATCTCAGCTTTATAGCACATTTCTAGACCTCCTCGACTATCTTCTGCCCATCCTCCCGTCCTCTCTACTGTCCGCCCAAAATAATGCACAGTCGACACCGCTTCACTGGGCAGCACTAAACTCGCATCTGAACATCGTAAAAAAACTAGTCGAGTTCCCGGGGGGGCCAGGAGTCGATTTAATTGACATAAAAAATGCGGCCGGACGATCTCCCCTTGCGGAGGCCGAGCTGACTGGTTGGGACGAGGGAGCGCAATGGCTGGTGCAGATGATGAAGCTGGATGATGGGGTCAAGGAGGGTGAGGGTGAGCCGGATGCCGAAGACGCACCACTTGAACCGGGGCAAAAAGTCGAGATCGAAATTCAAGATGCTGATGGTGAACTGGCCAAAATGACAATAGGAGGTCGGGAATGAATAAGTGAGTGATTTTTAGTTTACCAACTGAGTGCTCGACTAACAATCCGTCAGTGTTATCTTCTCTTCCGAGCTCAGGTTTGGGCTTGTTTCTTGGCTTGTTTTTGCAAGTACTACTCCATCCATTTACTTATTCGGACTGAAATGTTTGCCGCGGCCACGCGACTATTCGTGATTGCGTTGTGTTCATACATTCTGTCAAGATCTGTCCTTCCAAAATAATAGCACAACACGTCAGAACATCCTCTAACAAAGCTCTAACGATAGTTTCGTCAGTGGTGGAATTGGGGACAGTATCATATTTCAAAGGCCTGATAATCTATTCGGACTTGCTTGTGGGCTGAGTGATAGTGAGGCTTGTGCTTACTTGCAGTTTGGCTGGGAATTGTACTGGTCAGAAGATATCAACGACTACAAGCTCTGACCTTTACTGATGTGTCTTCAACTGTTCCATGATGTTCAATGGGTGCGCGGAGGTTGACTTGACTGGTGGAATGCTTCGGTGAAGGTCATTGGAAGCTTCTCTAAATTGACAAAGAGTTCAAGTCGTGCTGGTGGAATGATGGTAGTCTGAATAATACATATCATAGTTGCGACCTTGATTGAGGACATACTAGCTTGCTGGAATGCTTCAAGTGCTTGCCGAGACTGTAGCTGAAAGGGAGCTTGGAGGGTGGATTGGCTGCTTTGAATGTCGTTGTGCAATGCCAAGTCTGGGAAGGTTCAGAGGTCGTGGTGAACATGGCGAAAGTTTACCTGGTCGGGGTTGCGGAGCGAATATAGTCAGATTTTGAGCTGAACATTGTGCGTCGAGACTTCCTGTAGCACGATTTTCGGGCGTTTCGTTCCGACTCGGACCAAGAATATGTTGTTCCATAGCGTCAAGTGATAGTGAGTGACTGCCATTTCGACGTGAGGAAGGGAGCAAAAGAGTGGACTGTTGCAAGTCCTCGGCAAAGTACAAGCGAGAGGAAAAGGGCTCAGTAGACGGAGGAGGGGAGCGCAACGCGTATTTGCGGAGGGCTACAGTCGCAGAACTATCTTCCTGGGGGGAGTTGGAGGCGACTGGAGAGAAAGGCAAGAAACTTGGAACGCAAGCGGAGTTTGAGGCAAGTTCGGGATATTCTGCATCCACTGCGGGGGGTTGGATTGGATATATCAAGGAATCGCGCAAGATATTATTCGTGACAAAACGTGAATGTCTGGTTGCGTAGGTTTCGTGATTATTCTTCGAGTTTATGAATGAGTGTGGGTCTACGTTCTCGGCATTTTCGTCGTAGCCTGACGAGGGAGTAGATGTCCGCTCGGGTGGGGAGCTGAATGGGCTGGGCGGCATGAAGAAGACGAAGATGTCACGACCTGTCACATCCACCCGTGACATCTTCCGCACCGCCAACCCGCCACATCGCGCAAAGCTGACCAGGAGTTGGCTCACCGATGGAATTCTTCTCCCAAACTTATGTAGCCCTTCGTGGACCCACTGGCGCGCCACAGACCGCCACAGACACCATTTCGCGGTTGAGCGATCGACTTTCGCCTGCAACTCTGTTGGCAGACCGTCGAGCAGCAGTTCAATCGCTCAAGGGACTGGCACGGGACTGGAAGGAAGATGTTGGAGAAAGGGCTCTTCATGGCCTACTTGAAGTACTCGCAAATGATGCCGAAGTCGATGCGGATATAGGAAAGGCTGCGCTGGAGACGCTAATCGTCCTATGTGACGTGGAGGAAAGTAAAGAGATTGGGTTCAAGCACACGGACGTTGTCCTCGAAACGGATAAAGCCATAAACACCCTCTTCACTCTCATGGCTGATACCAACTTCTATACGCGTTTCGCGTCGCTTCAGTTTCTCTCGACATTGCTGCAGAATAGACGGCCCGTTGTGCAGGCCTATTTCCTCAAAGCGCGTTCTGGATCATCGAGTATCATGTCCGTGTTAGAGGACAAACGCGAGATAATACGAAATGGTGAGTTATCCTACCTGTTGGATGAATTTAGACTAAAAACCTAAACAGAGGTCATTACTATGGTCCAGACATTAATATCCCAGAGTCCCGATATTCAAAAAGTGCTCGCTTTCGAGGGTGCCTTCGAGAAACTATTCAATATCGTTACCCAAGAGGGCGGAGTCGAAGGTGGGGTTGTACCTCAAGCAGCGTTGTCTTGTGTGGATGCTCTCCTGCGGTTCAATACCTCGAATCAGGTTTGCCGCAACTCTCTTGGCCTTTTGTTGTTCATTTTAACACCAGAGCTATTTCCGTGATACGCCTCTACCTCCTGTGCTTTGCACACTGCTCCTCTACCCCCCCAACCTTCCTGTGGATGAGAAGGCACCTCAAGAATTTGCGTTGCAGTATTGGGACGATCAAAAAACCGCCAATGCGTCTCTCATCGTCGCTATTATGGGCATGTTCATCGGTAGCTCCAAAGGGAACAGTGTAGGTCCAACTGGCCGATTTGCACGAAAACCTAAATCTTCTCTAGAGTCATGAACTTTCATCTTACACGCGATGCCTCATCGAAATGGCTTTGGCCTCGAATGCACCAACCCCGCTCAAGACACAGGCATACTCTTTCGCTTGTTTTTTCTGTGCTACTAGACTGACAGATGCCCTGTAGGCTCTTAAACTACTCCCCTCCAACTTGACCTTTCCGCTCTCGGAGCTGCGACTGACTCCGTACATGCCGGTTCCAGAGACCAATGGCGACGAATGGGATCGTTTGGAGGAGGCCTCTGCCCTAGACGTGCTTGTGGAACTTGCTTTGCACGGCGAATATAACGGCTTGGACAGCGAGAAGCGTCTCAAGGATGCACTCGAGTTGCGAATAGCGGCTGTTAACGTTTTTGAGGTAATGGATTCACATATCCTCCTGTCATTAACGCAAGGTGCCCATAGAATTTTGTACGACAAGAAGACATCCGGCTGGCGATCCTACACGGAATGCTTCCTGTGGAAGGCTCTGGTATTGTTACCTGTTTTTTGTGGTAATGCCTAACTTGGCACTAGGACCTTCAGATGGGCCTTCACTGCTCCACGCCCTTGCCCTTCCGCCGGATACCAGCACAAATGTCGACCGATCAGCATCAACCACCACCCAGATCGCCGCCTTCCTCTTTGCCCATTTACTTCGTTCCTCTGTTCGCGCCAAAACGCTTGCTCGGTCAATCAAGCCCCCAAATCTTATAGAACCGTCCGGGGGTAGCTTTTTTGTTCCAGCAGATGGAGGCCCACCGCCCGAGACGGCGCCAGCAGAGGAAGAAGACGATCCACCACAAGCTCTACTGCCCTTACTTCGCGAGCACCTATCGCTTGCTGCTTTGGCGCGAGCACGTGCGAACACGGATGCTGACCCTAGAGAAGCAAGAGAATGGGATCGGTTTATTGCGGCCCATCTCTGTTTGCTGGCACAATGGTTATGGGACGAGCCAGCTGCAGTGCGCGACTTCTTGGATACCGGGGGGCTTAGTGTGGTATGTTAAGAATATTTTATCTTGAAACTCTAATCAACTTGGCAAGCTCGTGGACGCGATTAATCAGACCACAGAAGGCGACGCCCTTGTTCCCGGTCTTTGCGCTTTTCTTCTTGGAGTGTGTTACGAATTCAATCGCGAACCCGGCGAAATAACACGGTTCGTTGTTTTTCTCTGATGACTAGATTCAGCATTCATCGCTATTGCAGAACAACAATACACCCTATTCTCCATCTGCTGGGCGTTGAAACTCTTGTGGGGCGGATAACCCGGCTACGCGAGGATGAGCGATTCCGCACTGTTGGCCCCGATTCGGTCGTTCTGCCCTACCCGACCTCACAACTTGCACCCACCGTCCCGATTCTGAAGGCCGCGCTCCCAGAGAAGGACAAGGAGGGCGAGATCTGGTTCGACTGGGCATTTGTCGACTTTTGGAAGTCCAATTACTGTCAGTCCCCATCCCCGATTCCGAGGCATCCCTCCCTTATTTCCGTTTACCAGACACCGTCCAGCGAGGACTCTCGACAGAGCCGGATCAGATGACCGCGTCCTCATCTGGACAAAGTGCTGAGACTGCCATGCTGATTGGCTCGCTCCGGGAGGCCATTCGAAGTCAAACGCAGGAGATTGAAACGCTACAACGGCAACTCAAGGAAAAGAGCGGTGCCCCGCCTCCACCACCACCACCGGCCCCGACACAGCCTTCCGGGCCAAGCCCAGAAGAGGTTGGTCTGAGACTAGCCCGGTTACTATGTCCGTTAACACATTTTGTGCAGTTCCAAGCCCTCCAAAACCGGGTCTCGGAGTTAACATCCCAAGTAACGAGTCTTACGTCGCAATTAGAAGATTCAGAAACAAAGCGAAAGGACGTGGAGAAAGAGCAGGAGGATTTGCTGGTGCTGCTTGACGAAGTTACGGCCAAACGGAAAACAGATAAAGCGAGACTAGCCGCTGCAGGAATGGAGGTTTCGGACGATGAGGGAGATGATGATGATGATGAAGACTAAGATCCATGTCTGCTTACCTTTCGGGCTAATGAAACTTTTGACCAGTCATTGACGATTAAGCGTGGAATTTTATGCTACCGTGGAGTATTAAGGGGACTTCGTGATAAATGAATGCGTGGGGGTGTTTCCGTTCGTGGTCATTTCTCCGTCTGTGGTTTCCGTCCGTCGTCATTTTTTGTTGTCATAATGCCTAGATCGCCAGCCCAACCTGGTCCCCCTCTTTCTGGAGTTCGTATTCCTGCCAAAGACTAGAGCGTGTACTATCGTGAGCCAAAAGTCTGACAAACTGGGTCACATTCCAGACGTCTTGGAAGTTGCTCGCAAGCCCCAGACTGATGCGTACGACACCCAGTTCGTGTCCGATAGTGCGAGTGAATTCTGCAAGGCTTACGCCATCAGAGAGCCGATTCATCTCTTCCTGGTAGCCCAGAAGTGCTGCCGCGCCACCAGGATTGCACATGCACCCCGTGCGTAAAGAAATGTTCACACTGGTTGCAGCATGCTCGATGAAGGAAAGCGGCAACATCTTGCCAGAGGGCTGTTGCGGCAAAGTTAGCTTCAAATTGTTGTCGCAAATCGAGATGACCCACGGAAAGAAACACGAGGGAAATGAGCGATCCCGTATCGGCCTGTTCTCCCACAAATCCAAGTCTCCGGCTCGGCGTTGCGGACAGGATTCTCACAACCGGGGTGTTGGTAAATTCGTGGTGGAGTTGTGACAGTGTCGAAAGGAGATAGTGCATCAAGCACGAAAGGCGGAGTGGAAGAAATGGCAGGTATGCAGATAGAAAACGCAGTCCGTTAGTCACGGATGGCAGGAGAAGATAGTTGATCGTGCCGTCCTAAGTAGGAATAAGTAAAACAACTGAATCGAATCAAGCCTGAACTCTACCTCAAACTGTTCGTGGAGCACCGTAGAGCGCGTCCTAACCGAGCCAGGGACCTGGACGATGTCGACCGTCCCCCCAGCGAACCAAGGCCGTTCCAGCTTTGCCAAGAACGACTTCTTGATGACTAGAGCGCCAATACCCGTTGGGTAGCCAAACATCTTGTAGAATGAAATTGCCATAGCATCAATAGAGGAGCCCGTCAAGCATATCGAAGAGCTCGCGGCAAGTGCTGCCGCATCGAGAAGAGTGTAGTAGCCTAACGATTTGGCGTATTCGAGTACCGACAGTGGTGCTTTCGTGTTGGTGATGTTGGATTGTCCGGTCAGCGCGAACAGCGATGGCACAGTATTCTTCGCTCGTGGTCTATTTCGCAGTAAGATGTTCTGAGAACGCGTCAAACACGAGAAAAACGCGTCATTGAAAGCACTGTACCTTTGCTGTGGGTGGGTCAAAGCCACCAGTAGATGTCGCGGGAATGTAGGAAACCCGTGCTCCTCGAGAGGCGGCGAATTCTCGGATTCCGTGGACGCTATTGTGGGAGTCGCACGCGAGGACGTAGGAGCCCCCACCAGAAAATGGAAATGCTTCGCCAACAAGCTTCAAAGCCCCGGTTGCGTTCGATGTGAAGATGACGGCATAATCCTCCGAGGACGCGTGAAAGAAGGAGAGGACAGCCGAGCGCGCTTCATCGGCACACTTTAAAGATAACTTTGAACTACATCGAACCCATTAGCATTTTTGTCAATCAGACTCGCGACCTAACCTGTTGCTGACCGAATGGGTGTTGCCTAGCACGGTCTGACTAAGAAATTCGGTGTGGGCGTAGAGCAGGCTGTCTGGATGTAGCGCGCCCCCCATATAATCGACGTATGTTTCGCCTTTTAGTCGCCGGTAATCATTTCGACGAAGAGTGTCAAGAATCCAAGTTAAGCGATATTCTGAGCTGGGGTGAGTATTGGTCCATGGATAAAGCATTTCGACGCACCAGGGAATACGGCGAGAAAGTGCTTGTAGTCGGCAAGAGCGTCAGTTGGAATACTATCATGGCCCGGAGCGTAGGTCGGAAGCGGGAGCCATTTCGGAGATGGCGGTGGCGAGTCATGATTGTCGGCCTTCTCCCGCTCCTGGCTTTTGTAGCGTGCCTTTGAATTGAATATGCTGCTCGAGTCGTCATCAGACGCGACTGTATCGAGAGCAACCTTGGCTGTTGATGTGCAAGGGATAGGTATGCGAAAGGATTTCCGGTGGGAGGAGGGAGCATGACCCATGGCGAGGCAGCGGTGTTACGGCGAGGTGGGGGCCTTATAAGCCCTCACACGAAAGTACATCGACTCGATATTGATGGTTCTCGTCAGACCTTGAGTTGATCTCTAACGCGCTGAAATAAATAATTGGTAACGATGCGCGCCGAAAGCGCGTAAGAAATGGAGACAATTACTATTTTGGGAAGCGGTTTTTCCACGAAAACTCCGTGGTCATTTTTTGATCGGAATTGATCCCGCGGCTGAGCGTTATCGAGTGCACTGGAAAACAGCTGGATCTGGTGCTAGCATATCAGAATGCGGCGGATGCGCCTATTCATGAAACGCGCTCGGGTTTGTGGCAAGTCTCTGAATGTGGAGCTGTCTTTTCCAGTGCTGTGGACCCGCCGGCGGTTTATAATTTTAACGCAGCATAAGCCACTCTCCTGCTGCATATCCAAGACTCCTTGGAGCCAAATTGAATGCACCGCGGTAAAGATGCCTGCTCAAGAATACTTGGTGTGACTCGGATTGTGATGCGAGGCCGATTTATGCCGCTAAGTGGGTCGCAGAGATATGACTTGATTTAGCAGTCCTGGGGACCTGGACAAGTAGAATTCCGGTAAACAGTAACCGGTAAAGCCACCGATATGAAAACGAAGCAAACGCCGCTCATGGGGCGGTGATATACTTCCAGGTTTGGTTGTTTGGGACGGGCCTCGGTCGGAATACTCAGTCTCTGACAGATTGTTGTCGTTCAAGCTGTACTAGTAGGTAAATATGACCTGAGAGAGTGGGGCGAGCCCAGTCACAAGTTTAAGATGATTTTGATATATTCAAAGGATTCCTAGTACTTTTACTTTTTCTGTCAAATGAGTGGATAACATTAGCAATAAGGATAAAAAATGAGGTCTAGATCATCAACTCAGAGTCCTTTTCTTCTTGCGTCGCATGCCAGCTCTTGTACGCGTCCAAGAGCTTCGTGTATCTCTCTTCACTGGCGAGAAGCTTGGCAAATTGGATCACGTTCCAGATGTCTTGGAAGTTGCTCGCAAGGCCGAGGCTAATGCGGACGACGCCCAGCTCGTGTCCGATGGTACAGGTCAAGTCCGCGAGGGTGGCTCCGGGAGAGAGTTTTTGCATTGCGACCTCGTACCCCAGCAGAGCTGCCGCCCCGCCCGGATTGCACATGCAGCCAGTGCGAAGAGAAATGTTGACGCTAGTTGCCGCATGCTCGATGAAAGAAAGCGGCTCCATTTTGCCGGTGGGCTGCGCGGGCGATTAGTCACTGTTTAAAGCGCTGGGTTAAGTACTGACGGAGAGAAACACGAGAGAGATCAGCGCGCCCGTCTCGGCTTGTTCGCCCACTGAGCTAAGCTTCCGACTCGGAGTTGCGGACAGGATTTGCGCAACTGGAGCATCGACCGACTCGTGGCGAAGTCTTGTCAAGTGCCAGACGAGATAATGTACCAAGCACGACAGGCGCAGAGGGAGAAATGGTAGATATGCAGACAGGAACCGCAGTCCGTTCGTTATGGCCGGGAGTTGCAAGTAATTAATGGTGCCATCCTATTGAACTGGGTAAGCGACAGCAAGTGGGGCGATGGAAGAGACCTACCTCAAACTGTTCGTGCAATACCGTAGAGCGCGTCATGACCGAGCCTGGGACCTGAACGATGTCGACAGTCCCACCAGCAAACCAAGGCCGCTTTAGCTCGGAGAGAAATGAGTTCTTGACAACCAGAGCACCGATACCCGTTGGGTAGCCGAACATCTTATAGAAGGAGACCGCCATTGCATCCACTGCCAAGTCCGTCAAAGATATTGAAGAGCTTGCGGCCAATGCTGCGGCATCAAGGAGGGTGTAGTAGCCCAGTGACTTCGCATATTCGAGTACCGACAGTGGTGTTTTGGCGTTGGTCACATTGGATTGTCCGGTCAGCGCGAACAACGACGGTTGATGCCTTGGCCTATTTTGTAGCAATATGTCCTGAACACATCAGCATAAACAACACGGCCGTAAAAACGCTACACACCTTGGCTATAGATAGCTCAAAACCACCTGTAGACGTGGCAGGGATATAAGAGACCGCTGATCCTCCTGATGCAGCAAATTCTCGGATTCCATGGACGCTATTGTGGGAGTCGGCCGCGAGAACGTAGGAGCCGCCGGCAGAAAAGGGAAACGATTCGCCGACAAGTTTCAAGGCCCCGGTAGCGTTCGGGGTAAATATGACAGAGTATTCGTCTGAAGAAGCGTGGAAGAAGGAGAGGACGGCCGCACGCGCTTCGTCGGCACATTTTAAAGAGAGTTTTGAGCTATATAGAACTTGAGAGCGTGTTTCTCTATCTGGTTCGCGGCAACCCACCTGTTACTGACGGAATGAGTGTTGCCTAGCACGCTCTGACTGAGGAAGTCGGTGTGAGCGTAGACGAGGCTGTCCGGATGAAGAGCGCCGCCCATATAGTCAACATAAGTTTCCTTTTTGAGTCGAGAATAATCGGTCCGACGGAGAGTGTCAACAATCCAGGTCAGGCGGTACTCTGTGATACATTCAATGCACGTTCTCAGCATCTGAACTTTCAGCACACCGGGGAATATAGCGAGGAAATGCTTGTACTCGGCAAGTGCATCACTTGACAGATCATCGTGGCCAGGAACATAGGCCCGACTTGTGGGGGCTTTCGGACGTGGCAGCGGTGGGGTGTAATCTGCCTTCTCGTCCCATTTTTCGTTTTCAATGATTAAGTCGTCGCCATCAGACGCGGCAACTGGGACTTGAACGAGGGATGTTTGAGTTGAAGTTTTGCGTTGAGAGGATAGTGCCGAGCCCATGACAAGTGAGGTGCGGCATTCTGGGAAAGGAGCGCCTTTATGAGGCTTAGACAAAAGTTACCGACTCTTGGAGTCACGGTTCTGGTTGAGCGGCCCAGGATCAGTGACCCGATGATGGATGCATCGATATTACTTGATCCGACTGGGGGACATGTGTTGTCGTGCGTTGTGCACGACCATGCTGATCCCCTGCCGACGCAGTATCGGATCTGTCGTCATTGACATGTGAACTTCCCACACGTTACTGCTTCTCTTCAAAAAAACTGAACCTAACTTGGTCATGAACAGCCGGTGCAACTCATAAGCGCTTGCGTCGACCTCGGGGCCAGTCTGCTCAATTCCCATCAAGAAACGTTTGAAGACCACAGCGGAAACTCGTGAGCCGCATGATACAGCCATCACAACGATCAGCCCATTCGGAATGTTTGTGCCCAAGCATGGAGAAAGCTTGGTGCAAGCACCCTGAACTATTCGCCGAAGGACAAAGCGTCGGTAGTGTCATGGTATAGATGGCCTACAATTCATCAATCGCGGATCAACAGATAGGCAGCAGCAACAGTAAGTCGCACGCCTGCAAACCGTTGCAAAATTTCCATGCAATCCACAATTCCACAAGGACATAAACACAGCCGGATGTGCAGTTTAGGTTCCGTGAGCGAAGATTTTCCAGGCCAAGAACCAGAGGTCGGAGACCGTATCGAGCGCAACGCACTCATCCCTGGATTCGTCAAACTTCACGGCATTCTGCTCGGGTTTGTGGAAAGTCTAAACCCTCCGATGACTTATCAGATGAACGACCACGTAGCGAAACTTGTCGGACAATCACTCACCGACCGGCAGTTTGACGAAATGATTCTACCGCACCGTCCGTAACCTCCTCCCGACGAGCCTTAGCGTTGTCATTCGAGATGTTCAGGTTGTCGACCTTCGGAGCTGTCAGCAAAGTAGTCGCACAAAGAAGCAACTTGAAATATGGCTCCCACAAGTTCCATGCCAACTTGAACATCTTCGAGAGAGGTATTCCCAATTGGCACATGGCATGTACTAGTAATTTGCCCGGCCAGTCCACCCTACAGAAACAGTCAGCGCACTATTCCCATATTCGTCACATATGGCTTTGTCTCACCAACCAGAGAAGCTTGATCATCGCCTGGGTCAATATCCAAGTCCAACAAACCGCTGTTACCGCTGTTACCACCAAAGCGCAAGTCGCCTGATTTCGAGATTGTGCCCCGAAAGATTCACCCGCAACTGTCACTGCTCAAGAGTAGGGTATGAAAACCATCAACTGGAACTATCAAGAGTACTTCCATAAACTCGATTTTCCTCTGCCTTATGACGCACTGTCGCGGGTAGCTTGCGGGCGGCGCCATTCTGTGCTACAAAGTATTCTCATGCCGATTCGCGAGTCATGATACTGCCAGTTGTCAAAAGCACGAACTTGAATGGACTCTGAGCTTACCTCGCCAGCGAAGGTTAACCAGCTCTTTGACAACTCGATGGCTCGCACAATTCGAAGTTACAGTTTGGCCTTGAAATTGTAATGGATTGCTCTGCTTTGTGTGTTGACTGTTAAACGTTAAACACACATGTTTTCTAGCTATCATTATCCCTGGGCCTCTTGCAGAAGAAGTTGAATCCTGGTCAATGCTGAGAGAAGGGAAGATGGATGTCGTGTTCTGCTTTTCAGGCACTTGTGCTTTCGAGCTGCTAGGTTTTCTTCCTGTTCAGCATGAAGGAATTGATACCTTGAGATGGCACAATCGTCGTAGAACTAAATAGATTCTGCAATGCCACATGAACCATAAATACCCAGGACGAGTCCAGCAACCTCAGCGCAGTTTGAAGAGGGATTGTTGTTTTACGCTAAAGGGTATTGTCAAAACCCTAGTTGATTTTCCGACGGAACCTAGCGAACTTTAGTTTGCGTCTGAACCGGAAGCAGGTGTGAAGGCGTTGTGTTGTGGTTTGGTTGTGGTGGTCAAAAACAACGGAGTCACAGTGACCGTGACTCCGAAAACGAACTTGGTCAGCCAATTGGGTTTTCCCCCATTAATATTGTGGGTTGTCTGCAACCACGTCCAGTTACCAGGGACCGATGGCCGCCAACCCTCTTCCACCTCCGTTCATCACCATTGAAGGCATCATTAACGCTCGTTCTGTCGGAGGCTACAGTGACCCACCCACGAAACCGAATCTCCTCTACCGTTGTGCAGACCCGTCCCGCATCACCCCGACAGGCAAGATCCAGCTTCAAGCGCTTGGAATAAGTGACGTGTTCGACTTTCGCGCGGACGATGAAATCGCAAGCTACAACACGCCTGCACCCGACGTGGCTGGGATTACCTTTCACCGAGTGCCAGTCTCGGAGAAAAGGGCGTTTGACCCAATAAGTTTGGCTGCGCGGTGAGTTGTCCTATCAGTTGTTTTGTAGGACTCCTCATTCTCATCGCACAAGGATGGAGGAATTTGCCAACGATGAGCGAGGGGTGCGCCAATTATCAAAAATGAAGGCTATCGATTGAACCCATCTATAGACCTTCGTGAGACTGAACAACGAAATTTTGGAAAGCGCAGGTCCTGCTTTTCAAACGGTGCTTCGCCATATGCTTGATAACCCAGACAAACCTTGCATGGTCCATTGCACCAGTGAGAATGCTATCCGGTCGTGCTAGATCATGCTCAAAGTCCATCTAGTCGGGAAGGATAGGACTGGGATATTCACCGCTTTGCTTCTTATGGTGAGCTTTTTCCCTCTTACTTCCAAATGTTGACGAAAAGGCAAGTTGCTCGGCGTTCCAGACAAAGACATTGCGGCAGAATATGGACTCACAAGCGCTGCTCTCGAGCCTTATGCGCCGCTACTCATAGAACGGTTCAAACAACGTGTCGGGAACGTCGAACATGATAACTGGGAAGGGCTTTCGCAGATGATCAGTTCCAAGTGGGTTTTCTGTTGCTCCACCCTCAGAAAAAAACTTATACCCCCAGACCTGAAAACATGGAAGCCATCTTGCAAATGGTCCGCGAGAAATATGGCGGCGCAGAGGGATGGGTCACAACACACACTAGTCTTACGTCCAGCGATGTTGAACTGCTACGTCAAAACTCTCGATGAAACCACACGCATTCAGGCCATAACTTTTTGTGACAAGTACTTATTAGTTGTCAATTTGTTTGTGATCAAACCTCTACTTCCTTCATGCGCACCCAAACCCCGCCTCGTATATATGCCGTCAAGTGGCTCTTGACAAAAAGCCGCTCCTTACGCTTCCATCCCAATAGGTCCTGTTCCGGGTCTTTCCATTCGTTTGGTGGATGGCTTTCGGGTGGCTGTGCATCCATGTCCAGCGAAACGTCAGAGAAATTTTGCAGTAGGCGGACGAGGAACACGGAAGTCTCGTGGTAGGCGAATTGTTGGCCCAGACAGATGCGCGGGCCGGCGCTGAAAGGTAGGAAGATGAAGGGGTTGGGGATCACTGATGAAGGGTTTATTGAATCAGAATAGGCTGATAACAAGTGCGTTGAACTCACGGTATTTGTGCAAACGTTCGTCGATAAAGCGCTCGGGGTCCCATTCGAGTACGTCTGGCCCCCATAAATCCGGTCTACGATGCATAGCGATGGTTGCATAGGGAACTCTAGAAAGCAATTGAGCCCTTGGGCTACAAAAATGTGAGTTAAGAGCTTACTTGGTGTTGGCGGGAATATAGAATGGCTTTGCCCCAGGTTTGAGTGGTGGAAGGATTACGGGTTCAGATGTGCATCTACAGGGAATCAGAGAGTGCCAGCAATATCTTTGCGGCTTACCGCATGTTCAGCGGAACGGGTGGATGGAGTCGGAGTGTTTCTGAAAAGTCCATAATGATGTTGGGTGGGATTTGGAGCCGAAATAACACACCATTCAACACTGCACGCAAATACTTCATCTCGCGGATATCATCGGGTGTCGGCGCTCGAGTTGGACCGACAGTCTCCATTATTTCGGCGCGCAACTTGGCCAAAACATGGGGATGGTCGGTGAGCATGTAGATGACGAAAGTGAGCAAACTAGACGTTGTGTCGCGTCCTGCGAGGCCAATATTGAGGATTTCGTCGCGGAGAATGGTTTGATCTGTGGTCATTCAGTTATGCTGAGCATGAAGAAGAAGGGTAACAACAAACCTTGGGTGTAGTGGGACAAATGCTCAACCAGAGTTTCGCCCTCTTGAACCTCACGGTCGTCCTTGATACTCTCAGCAGACAGCTTCTCTACACCGGCTTGCTTCCCATTAGCAATCGCGGCTTGCAAAATTGGATCCAAGAAACGTCGAATAACGCCCATCTCCTTCGTGACTTTGTTGCTCCAGAACTCCATCAACGGCCACGCAGGGCCTATTGGTCCTCTTCGTATCGTCGACTCCTGTGCACGAGTTATGGCACCAGCAAACTCCAATGCAGCTTCGTGGTCTTTGTCTAGAACTGTGGTCGATCCAATAGGTGATATGGCGGTATGTGGATACGGCAGGCCAGCTTCAAGAGTGCGCGGGTCGTAGCCGAAAAGGAACTCGCCAGATGCGTCCATTGCGAAACGCGTTATGACATCCTGAAAGTCGACCGCGAACCCGTCACGAAGTCGCTGTTTGATTTTGTCAATGGCGATGAGCGAGTAGCGATCGAAGAGCGCAAAGTCGCTGACGCGGTCGCGCTTGAAGAAGGGGCGTGTCATTCCACGGTGGAATCTGACAAAATTGGATAAGTTGGTGTGTTTTTTTGCTGGAATTTACGACAACATACTTCCATAAGTCGCCTAAAACAAATGAGAATGGTGAACCCAATATGACATAGCACACGCACCATCCGCCAGAAAGACACCCGTGCCCAAGAGGTCGCTGAACATGTCGCGAGAGTCTGCCCCCTTCTCAAAACTGGAAAATTGGGTTGCGAGTATTGCCTAACACGTCACAGTCAGAGCTGTACTGGAACGTAGTTGTGTTCTGACTTTGATATATTCTGGCTCTGCAGTTATCATCTATTTTCCGCATTAGCATTGAGGATTGACAAGGAAGAATTGCCACGCACTCGATTCTCAAACAAAATGCGTAGGTTTATTATTGGTTCCCCAAGCTGTTGACTGAGAACAGAGAAACCTTCCCCAGGGTACATTTTCTCCGCATTGACGACTGCATCGCGAAGGACGTCGACACCGCCAATTGCGCTGGGTTTGGTCCGCGGCAAAACAGCCCCGTTGGCGCGCGCATCGCGTCTGTCACGGAGAATCGCCCGCCAAATTCGGAAAGTGACCGTGAGTGGGATGCTGGCCAGCAGAATGAGGCTTTGCTGCCATGCAGGGAGGTTTGGTGGAAGAATGTCAATGTCAAAATACCGCTGCCCGAAAATGCGCGTGACAATTACCGCCAAAGGAGGTAGAACGACAGCGGGAAGGCCTCGTGCGATGAGGAGCGGCCCTGGCGGAAGCGGGGCCATGATTTGCGTCCCTGGAATAGCCATTTTTATGCAGCGTGGATTTGGTCAACTGGATTCGTAGCTTCCCGGATACCCGGACAATAACTGAACACTCAATTGAGTTGGCTTAGATTGCACGGCTCTGGTGGATGTGCCGAGCGACTTCATCATCCGCGGCAGGGTATTCGGGACTATTCGGAAACCAGTTCGACAAGTTTCGTGAAGAAAAGAAGGGTCACACGTTGTCGTGACGTCGCAACGCCGCATTGACCCGTTCACGCAGGTTCACGCAGGTTCACGCTTTCCAATTCACGTTTTCGTTTTTTGTCCTTGAGGCGCGAGTCCCCAGCCCCAGGTCGTTGTCCAGCCCACAAGAGTCCCCCACCATATATCCCACTCATCCGACACACAGTACTAGTATGTTTCTCATTGAAGTTCAAGTTCTCCGAGTCTTGTAGTCTCGCTCGCAATCCCTTCTTCTGACCCGTGAAGATAGTCATTCACGAGAAACCTTCCGCAATAGCCACCTCAAACACGAACATGTACTCGAGATCCACCCGCGTCATTCAAACAGAGATATCGATCCACCGATTATTCTCACCGCCCCCCCCATATTTGCGTCACTCTCTGCAGCCCCTGGTAGAAATGAGGGGTTTGCGAAGGTCCTGGCGAAGTATCTGGATGGAGCCAGGGTCGGGGAGGCTGGGGAGCTGATCAGAAAACTTGAAGAGGTCGAAGAAGGGAGATCAAGGTGGGGATTCAGTGCTGCTCTTGCTTTGTTTTTGACTCGGACTTGCTTGCTTCATGCTTTTATCGATTTAGTGGAAGTTGGCGCCCGGCAATCACAAGCAAGCCTTTCTTCTTTGAACTTTCAGCCCCCGGCTTCAATTAGAGCAGCGACAACCACGGTTGCAATTTCACTTGTGAAAAATACTCAAGGACAAAGGCCTTTCAGATACGATGACATGATAAAACTGCCAACAACGTAGTGATTGAACGCTCACCTTCTTTAGATTTTCCCTTGCTCGCTTTAACAAACGACGCAGTGAGTACATACTTATGTTCGACGAGCCTGGCGCACTCAGTTGAATCTTCTAGTTCTATCCCCTTTCATCTTACGCGAACCATGCCTGCCACTGCCAGCTCGTCGAGGAAGCCGGGCTGTATGTCACTCTTTTATACTGCCAGGCTACTCCGCTCATCCACCCCATTGCTAGGCCAGTCTATTATTAGTATATTCCATAGCAAAAGCTTCCAGAGGAGATCCTCCATCACCAATTCACCGCAGGCATGTTTGCTCTGGACGCCAGCGACCTCAAATGTTGATATATCTGCAGACATTTCCAGAAACAACTGGCTTTGCTCGCCGGGGTGAAATTAAGCAGGATGTCTTCGGTGACGGACCGTTGACACTGCCCACACCCGTAACTTTCTCCCGGGAGGACTTGCGTGTGCGGCACAGTGCTCCGGACTCCGACCCTCCACTAAGCTACACAGACAGTGTAGCCGAATTGATATTCGAAGACCGTTCAGACGCCAGCAGCGACAGTGAGGATGTGACAATTGGTGTTGACGAGTCCGACCATGAGCCGGAGCTGCCTTTAAGCCTAGCCAATCCGCCTGCCATGGAATTAGACGAACCCGAAGACGATTTCACTGGCAAAATAGAGGTATCTCCCCACAAGTAGCATAGCATAGTACTAGTCAAGAGAAGTCAATAGTAGGAGTAGTAGGAGTCTTGAGTCTTGTGTCGTATGCTTCCACATCTAATCTAATCATTTACTAGTAGATCACAGCCTAATTGACGGGCAATTAATTACATACTCGATCCTCCTTTGTACTCCAACCACCATGTCCAGTAGCAAACGGTGTTTCTCTAGCGATGGCGCGCAAATCTACGCCGACGCGGCTGGAAATGCACAGAACCCGAGCATGGTCTTTGCCCACGGATTCGCGCTCAATGGGGTCGTATTTGATCAATTGTTTGCACATCAACTTCTGCTGGACAATTTTTATCTAGTACGTCGTACTACTAGTCAAGCCACGATGATAACAATTCTCAGGTGCGATACGATGTTCGCGGGTATGGATGAAGCAGCAAGCCAGATGACTCAGCGGCCTATCAGTCAGCTCTCTACGCCGATGACTTTTCTGCGGTCTGTCAAGCGTTTGGCCTGGTCAAACCGATATTCGTTGGATGGAGCGCTGGAGCCCCTATCATTGCAGACATCTGTGCCCATATCTCGCCTTGTCCAATTCTTGCTGCTGTGGCGATGTCAGGCGCTCTTTGCCCCGCAACATCAGAGCAGACCCTCCGTCCGCTCTTGCTCGACTTCATCGCCAAATTCCGCTCGTCTGACGCCAAGACGACACTGGCGGTCCGCCCCGCTTTCGTTGATGCGTGCTTCGTGAACCCTGCTTCGGTTGCTGTTGAGGTCAAGACCGCTTGGATCGGCGCGACTGTTGTGCATACGCCGAATATCACTGAGGCTGTCTTGAACGGGCACCAGCCTGGCGCGTGTCAAGATGCGCTGACAAAGCTGGGCGGCGAGGGCTTGCCTGTGATGGTCTTGTATGGCACCGAGGACAGCATTCAGGACGGCGATGTTGCTGTAAAGCTTGCAAAGGAGTATTTTGTTGATTTCACGGCTGTATCGGTGCTTGGCGCGGGACATGCGGTGTTCTACGATGCTTTGAACGAAACGGTGAGGCATCTTGTCGGCTTCGGTTTGCGTGTTTGTACAAAGAAGTAGATGTTTGTAGAAAAGTCAGTCAAGAATCTTGAGACTGCTATGTATCCATATCCGAGGACCAATGCGGCAATGCCAAGCTTGAGGGAGACAAACGTCGCGTTGACGACAGAGGATCCCAAAAGAGTGTTGCCATTATGGTCTAAGCGTAAAGGAAGGAATAGACAAATGAAGAATGACAAATGAAGAAGGTTGCCGAACAGAGCGAGGCATTGCTTTGTTCTGGGATCAAAGCGTCAGGCTCTTTGTGCCACTGGTGCTATATATACGCGCCTGGTACATCGGTATGAGCCCTCCATTTACGCTCTGAACACCTCTCCCTTCCATGTTCCGCAAACTCTCTGATCTGTTTGGCTACTCCCGACAAAGTGGCGCGCTCCACAATCCCCGTGAGGGTGGCCAGAACCAGCAATTCGTCATTGTTTTGCCACCTCAATCGCCATCTTCGAGCCAACGCGAGCGCAAGCAAGCACGTCAAAAGTATCAAGTACACGAACGCAGGGTTGTGCTGCCCCCAATCAAGCTGCCGCTTACTCCTGGATGGAAGTTGAACGGGAGCGATGACGGATGGGATTCTGAGGAGGAAGTTACTTCGTACTCGGACGAGGACTACCCACGGAAGGACACACCGTATTTGCCTCCCGATGCCGCGGATCACTTTCTACGAGTTCCAACACCAGTCCTTTCGGCACACATCTCTGTCCTGGACGGATTCGCCCCGCGGGTGACCCCGTATGTCTGCGCAGTCAGGAGCGTCTAGGCCAACTTTGTAACTGAGATTGTATAAATGAATATGTACTTGTTCGGGCCAAAGGCCGTGCTTCTGTCTCTAACTGCATCAAGTACAACGGCGGTGGCTACTGTTTCTTCATCAGCAGGTACACACACAAATCTAAAGACAACTCACCTGTGTCCCGCGCGAAATCTCTCCGTTTGCACCATCCAGCAAGAGCAATTATTGCTCCGAAAATGTCAGATGTCGAAGCAGAGCGCGTTGTTAGATGCATCGAGCGCGGCCTAGCTCAGCGCAACGCGAAAGCCATGGCGTTAAAGGCGAGTTCTTTGCGCAAGTCACAGCAAGGACGCCCGGGCCGGCCCCACGTGATCGCCGACAACCTTCTCTTCCGACGGCCATCTTGAGACAGACAACATCTAATCGAATGGTTAAGCAACATTAAGGCAAGACAAACGACACTCACCGGCACTCAACAGCCCCAACGAACCAGAGCAAACAGCAAACAGGGCTGGCGGCAAATGAGCAAGATGCACTACTCGGAAGGAACGACTCACCGTGACGGCCAGCCGGCTATAATTCAGCAAGGAGGCACTACTGCGACGTCTCCTGAATCAAATCCGGCCGCGCCGGCCTTTCTGCATCGCCAAACGTGCCTGCAGCCGCCGAAACTCGCACTCTCGCCGACTACTGCTGCTCCACACGCCAACACTACATTCCTACATCGTTTACTGCTACTCTCCTGCCAGAAACCGCGCGCCAACAACGTTCTAGGCGAAAACTCGGCGCGCAGGCCCGGTCTCGCCCACTACCCGCCAAACGGCGGTCTTGACGCCAACTCCCACCGCTCTCACTGCCAAACTCGCTATAGAACGGCTTCATTAGCAAGAACACCGGGCGGGACTACCCAGCAAGCCGCTCCTGCTTCATTCTCGCTTGTTGCGCCAGCAGCATCACAGCCTCGACCCAAAACTCGCCGAAGCTGCTCGTCCAACCATTCGCCCGCCAGAAACCGCTCGCGGACGACCACGAAGTCGAATCTGGGCGCGCAAGTCCGACTACTCGCTAAATGGGGCCGGTTTGGCGCCTATTCCTGCCGCCCTCGCTGCCCAACTCGCTTCAGAACGGCTCGATTAGCAAGAGACGCGGGCGGGAGAGCCCAGCAAGTCACTCCCGCTCCCTCCTCGCTTCTGGCCCCAGCCCCGAACCGAATCAAGAGCAAGAACACCAACGAGCACGTTGGGAAAGACAGCGCCCGGGCAACGCGGCATTCTCACGCTAGGAGCGGCGAGCCCGACGCTGAGCTCGCAACAACGCCTCCTCCGCACCACCCGACGCGCCTTCTGTACCCCAGTCCAACTCGGCACAAACTCCGCCATCCAACGCGCTATAGAGGGGCTTGACATTAGCAAGATTTGGCAACCAAGACGGCGATAACACACACGGTGTCGGTATCACCAACTTTGGCGGAACAGCGCGAGGTAGCGTTGTTGCCGTCCTTTGCGATGACCGGAGTGGTCTCCCGTCGTTGCCCGACTCGAAGACGCGAGTTGCAGTCCCAACAACGGTGTCGTGGTCATTGTCCTGCTCAACTGTGAGTGTATTCAAAGTTGGATAACTTAATGCTCACCGTTGTTGCAGATATCGTGAACGGCGACCAAGCTTGGTACCATGACTGCAACAAGGCAAGTTAATGTCTTCCTGAAGAAACTGACAATGAACTCACAAGCGCGCAGAGGGCGGGATCAACACTCGGGAGAACACGGTCGTCGTTGAAGACGTGTCCCCTGCTGAGTCAAAACCTAGGCTGTCGTCAACCCCACCTCCCAACGACTCTCCCCAATGACCAGTTATTCGGGGGGGCTCACGGCCGTCGCCTGTCGCGATCTGTAAGGAATATTTGAAGTGCAAAATGGCGATACTTAGTCACCGTTGTTGCAGGCGTTGTGCTTCGACAACAGCGGTTGTGGGACGGGTACCGCAACTGCAATGTGGTAAATCAAGGCTTGCGGGAAGAATGGCACGACCGACTCACAAGATCGTAGACGTCGGGATCCGGACAACGGTGTTAACGCGACCTCGCTATCGGTTGGCGCCCGATTCAAGGTGCAGTCGACGTGGGAGTTGGTGAGAGATGAGGTGGGCAACGAGGAAGTCGGCAAAGCTGGCGACGTCGTATGTAGTTCGCGGTCACCTGGGATAGTGTCAGGAGAATAAATCCATCAATCACGATGAGACCATGCCCGTGCAGCGCAACTTGAGCTCGACATTGCTCGCAACGACGAGGTCGATGGTGGTCGTCGAGATTGTGCACTTGCGGAGCGGATGAGAAGGGAAAGTGAGGGAGAGAGGGAAAAAGGAAGAAGGGGGAATGATGGGAATGGCGGATTTGGGCTGGGTTTTATACCCAGGGCGCCACGCAAGCGAGCTCTGAGACATGTGAGAAAGTTCTCACCGGATGCACGGATCGCGCAGGGCTGGACTGGGCGGTTTCGCCACTGTCGGAATACGCGATAAATGCTTGGAAATGGATTTTCTGAGCATTTGTGTGCTATCGTGGCGGAATCTGGGCGCAGTACAGCACTGAGGCTTATGGAGAGCCTTGTTAGAAATGTTCTTGTGCCTTACGGTGGTGGATAGCACACTGAAATGCATGATGAATCGAAAACATTGTTGGGGGCAAAAACAGGAAAATACGAACCATCCGTAAGGCGGAGCGCCCATATCCTAGGCGAGTGACAGACGGGATGATTAGACCGTGATATATGGCATGTTTCACGCCGTGATTCCCTGAGCTTACCGCTGAGCAGGTGGGAAGCGCGGAAAGACCATCTTGAATATACACCGCGTATACCGCCAGCAAGGGGAATTTGAGGAGGGGAGACGGCTTGGAACACCACCCATGGGACATGGGTGAGTTGCCAAGGGAATCGGTTGAGCCCCAGGCTCAGACTCCCAGGAATGAGCGAAATCACGCACCTGGGCAAGATCATATATAGGTGGGACTCATTCGCCTCAGATGAAAGCATAGGCAGGCAGAGTGCTTACGTAAGCACTTGATCCTAAAATTGGAGCCCAATCGGAGCATTTCTAGGTATAGAGCGGCGGTGAAATCACAAATTTCCCTTTTTGGTCGCAGGCGTTAGCACACGATAAGGTCACGTGACCGCTCGGCGGAGCGCAGGTTTGACACTCTTACTTGAGTTTTGGGTGTGAGTTATGCCCGGAATGTCATTAAACTTCAGCAGATAGGCGAGTCAATGACAGCTTTGAATTGATTCAAAGCAAACTTGATATTATACTAATCTGTAATTCTCATTGTGGGTCTTAAGCGCCTGATTTTTATATCTATTTTGGCTGCCCCTGAGTATCCTCAGCTTTAGGATTTGTGGAACTCAAATTCCTCAACTTGTTGAACTACTCAACTTCCATATGGAAACGGTATCCAGGAATGTCTATACTTAGTTTTTTGTTGACATTTCTAAAACAGATTCCACTCTTTTTGAAGCACTTTTTGTAAAAACACAAGATTTTGGAGTTGCTATATTAAGATTCTTTATAAATGTAAAAGCCAATATAGTTCTTCACCTGTCAGAAGCAATACTTGAGAAACAGTCCACCAGAAGAAGCAGCAGAGCCAATATACTAGGAATTCAGAAACGTGAGAACTGACATTAGCATAGCCACCAATGTCAGATCACGGACAATTTGATGTCAAAGCTTGTGCAAGGCCCAGAGCACCAATACCTGGAAGTACAGTCATGAAAATTGCACAGAAGATTATATGGTATTAGAGGACTTGTGTGACCAGGCCACTAAAATGAGCATCCAGGAATTAGAAAGATATTCAGGATCTATCTTTCAAAACATTTCTACAGGCAATCTAGCTGAGGGTCAGAGACCTGACCAAGAAAATGGAATCAGAGGGAGTAGTGCATATGATCTTCAATCTGACACTTGCCTGATGGGATCTGACCTGGAAATTTTGAGTTATAACCAAATTGATGTTTTGAGAAAAAAACTCATGGTTTTGCTTGTATATAATAGCTCTGTTGAAATATTTTATATCACTGATAAGCACTTGACCTTGTCTCATAAACCTGTGCATGCGCATGACATCCTTTTGATTCTCCTTCTCAATAGAGTATAATAAGTAACAAATTGAACTTTTTGTGCATATGATAGGATAAGCTTGTGATACCATCAAAACCTGTCTATATGATCATTGCCCACCAGTCACAGCTAAACAATTTTATTATATTTTTACCTACTTTCTATGTTTGTTAAAATCACTGAGAGACAAATATCAATTTTGACATTTTATTGCATTTTTATATACTTTTTGTTAGGACCAAAACGATAGTTAAGCTAAGAATTCAACACATATGTTGAGCTAAATCAATACCACTTTTGAGCTTACTCGCAGTCAGGATTATTTGTTCTGAATTTATTTTTATCTACTTTTTGTTTTATTTTTAATGTAGCTTAGTTCAATAAACATAGCTTCAAGGCTCAGCATCTGATTAGGTCAGGTGACTGAGATCCAAAGTTATGGTATTTTCTTGGAAGTTAATGTTACCTACTTTTCATTATGCTTATTCCTTGCCAAGATTGCTCAAACACCAGATATTTATTAATAAACATTTTATTTGATTTTTACCCACTTTTTATTGTGCTTATTTCTGGCCAAGTCGTAGTTTGGTGTTCCATCAGTAATTGTAACGACCCAGTTTCTATCCAGTTCTTAGCCCATTTTGGCTAATGACACCCTATTGAATATAAATCTGAATGTCAATTTTTTCAAAGTATAGGAATTTTGTACAAAGGAAAGTTTTTTTACCCACTTTTTTTATTCCTGGCCTATAGCAATTTTTGTTGTAACTGAACAATCACACATTGGCTATTTGATTTTTCATGACTTTCTATTGAGCTTATATCCAATCAAGAAAGGCTTATTACCCACTTTTTATTGGGTTCCAGTTCCCTAAAACCAATCATCACTGCAGGAGTTCGGGAATAAACGGTGCCCCTTTCGATCCATTATACACCTAAAATCAGTGTACCAAAAAAAGAAAATTTTTTATACCTCTATTTGCACCCAAAAGAAATTGTTCCAAATTTGCCTGCTTATATGAGAAATAGATGCTATAAACAGACTCAGTTTTGTCCCCCCGGTTTGGGGGCAGATCAAACAGCCTTTTCTAGACCAGTTTTTGTATCAAAACATAAACCTAAAAATATGGTCCAGGGCCCTGATATATATCATATAAGTGAATATATGTGAATATTTTTGGTTCATGTTTTGATACAAAAACTGGTCTAGAAAAGGCTGTTTAATCTGCCCCAAAACCAGTTGACAAAACTGAGTCTGTTTATAGTATCTATTTCTCATATAAGCAGGCATATTTGGAACAATTTCTTTTGGGTGCAAATAGAGGTATAAAAAAATTCTTTTTTTGGTGCATTGATTTTAGGTGTATAATGGATCGAAAGGGGGCACTGTTTATTCCCAAACTCCTGCAGTGCATCATGGAGTGATGGCAAGTCAGCTTACATACTAACGATCAATATTTTCTCCAAATTTGATTTTTTACCCACTTTCTATTGGGACAAGGATTAATTTTGACCATGGAAGTCATCAATATTATAAGAAAAGTGTTGATTTGATTGTTTTATTTCTGGCCAAGATCCGTTTTGATGTTGACATTTGATTTGATTTTTTACCCACTTTTTATTGGGCTTATTGTTCGTTTTGGCTGGATCATTTTGTTCAAAATTCAATTGAGATCAGCAATTTCCTCCAAGAAAACCTTGACTAATACATATTTCAACCTATCCTTACTTACTATTTGGATTGGTTTTTGATGCAAATATTTTTACTTTTTATTGGGCTTATTCATTGCCAAGTCCTGTTTTGGCCAATACTTTGTTCAAAATCCAATTGAGATCAATTATTTTCCTCTATCATATATGTACCCACTTTCTAGATTAGTTTTTAAGATACTTAACAGTTGAGATGCATCTCATGTGATTTATTTTTTATTACCATATCAGGAAGTGTTAAGTTCCACTTGCCTATTTTGGAAGATCTGTCATAACTGCCATTCTTGGAATCAGGCAGATACTGTTGAGCACCTTGAGCTCTAAGTAATGAACTTTGTCTCAGGCTGGAGTTGAACTCAGGACTTACGACGAAGATGAAACGGTCTAGGCCAGAACGTTTCATCTAGACTATAACATAATATTTGCAAGGTCCGATCAAACATAGGTGACGCCAAGTAGTCACGCCTAACCGCTCTTTTCTCTTTCCCCCCACGTCGTTGTGCTGCTGTGGGTGCTCTTGCTCTGTGTTGTAGCTGTTGACTGACCAGAGCCTTAGTTTCCTGCTTCCCTCCCCTCTCCCCCTCCCCACCCTCTCCTTCACATTTTTTTTTGTTGCCGTTGCTGCCCTGCCCTCGGGAGGGGAAACCCTGGCCCTCGGTAGAAGGAACTGCAGAATGGGACTGGCTACCCAGGGCACGCGTTGGAATGGCTTAATTGACGCGATTTTGGGTACATCTCAATTTTTCTCCTGCCAAACCTATGCCAAAAAGTGTAAAATCACGCAAGTCCAAATTAAAAGTAGAAACACGTGACCGCGTGGACTTGGGCGTGGGCGGAGGTGGGGCCGGCCGGGCGGAGGTGGAGCCGGCGTGCGATCTGCGTGCAGCGCCGAGGTCGAGGAGCCATGTGCGCGTGCGTGCGGCGCAGCGGTGTGTATCCATGTCCAGTAGCAAACAGTGTTTCTCTAGCGATGGCGCGCAAATCTACGCCGACGCGGCTGGAAATGCACAGAACCCGAGCATGGTCTTTGCCCACGGATTCGCGCTCAGTGGGGTCGTATTTGATCAATTGTTTGCACATCAACTTCTGCTGGACAATTTTTATCTAGTACGTTGTACTACTAGTCAAGCCACGATGATAACAATTCTCAGGTGCGATACGATGTTCGCGGGTATGGACGAAGCAGCAAGCCAGATGACTCAGCGGCCTATCAGTCAGCTCTCTACGCCGATGACTTTTCTGCGGTCTGTCAAGCGTTTGGCCTGGTCAAACCGATATTCGTTGGATGGAGCGCTGGAGCCCCTATCATTGCAGACATCTGTGCCCATATCTCGCCTTGTCCAATTCTTGCTGCTGTGGCGATGTCAGGCGCTCTTTGCCCCGCAACATCAGAGCAGACCCTCCGTCCGCTCTTGCTCGACTTCATCGCCAAATTCCGCTCGTCTGACGCCAAGACGACACTGGCGGTCCGCCCCGCTTTCGTTGATGCGTGCTTCGTGAACCCTGCTTCGGTTGCTGTTGAGGTCAAGACCGCTTGGATCGGCGCGACTGTTGTGCATACGCCGAATATCACTGAGGCTGTCTTGAACGGGCACCAGCCTGGCGCGTGTCAAGATGCGCTGACAAAGCTGGGCGGCGAGGGCTTGCCTGTGATGGTCTTGTATGGCACCGAGGACAGCATTCAGGACGGCGATGTTGCTGTAAAGCTTGCAAAGGAGTATTTTGTTGATTTCACGGCTGTATCGGTGCTTGGCGCGGGACATGCGGTGTTCTACGATGCTTTGAACGAAACGGTGAGGCATCTTGTCGGCTTCGGTTTGCGTGTTTGTACAAAGAAGTAGATGTTTGTAGAAAAGTCAGTCAAGAATCTTGAGACTGCTATGTATCCATATCCGAGGACCAATGCGGCAATGCCAAGCTTGAGGGAGACAAACGTCGCGTTGACGACAGAGGATCCCAAAAGAGTGTTGCCATTATGGTCTAAGCGTAAAGGAAGGAATAGACAAATGAAGAATGACAAATGAAGAAGGTTGCCGAACAGAGCGAGGCATTGCTTTGTTCTGGGATCAAAGCGTCAGGCTCTTTGTGCCACTGGTGCTATATATACGCGCCTGGTACATCGGTATGAGCCCTCCATTTACGCTCTGAACACCTCTCCCTTCCATGTTCCGCAAACTCTCTGATCTGTTTGGCTACTCCCGACAAAGTGGCGCGCTCCACAATCCCCGTGAGGGTGGCCAGAACCAGCAATTCGTCATTGTTTTGCCACCTCAATCGCCATCTTCGAGCCAACGCGAGCGCAAGCAAGCACGTCGAAAGTATCAAGTACACGAACGCAGGGTTGTGCTGCCCCCAATCAAGCTGCCGCTTACTCCTGGATGGAAGTTGAACGGGAGCGATGACGGATGGGATTCTGAGGAGGAAGTTACTTCGTACTCGGACGAGGACTCCCCACGGAAGGACACACCGTATTTGCCTCCCGATGCCGCGGGTCACTTTCTACGAGTTCCGACACCAAAAAAAATTCCTCCTTTCGGCACACATCTCTCCATAGACTGTCCCGGACGGATTCACCCCGCTCGTGAAGTGGATGACCCTGTATGTCTGCGCAGTCAGGAGTGTCTATAGGAAAATTTAACCTTGATTTTCTTCGTCAGATAGAAGTCCACATCGTTACGAACGTTGACGCCTTTATCCGGTACTGGGACATGCATGGCTGGGACAGCCTCTTCAAAGCGCGGTCTTATGTTCACGCTCGAGCAGCAGAGATGCAGCGCCTGACGCGCATGGGGAATCAAAGAGCGGGGGAACAACAACGTCTGGAGTTCTTGCACTCTCAAGACCTCGCGCTGGCATATGCCCAGCAAAAGTTCGCCGAAATAACGCATTTCGGTGGAGGTTTGGGGCAGGGGGATCCATAGAGAGCCTGAAATGGATTGTAGACAAGAGTGGTTCCAACTGCCAGAGCCATGGCCAACCTTGGATCCTTGTAACTAGTACTGATGTTGTAAAAATGATATGTTGTGCTTGTTTACTGCTGTTTACCGTCGATTGTAAGTCACATGACTCACATCGCACTTGACTTCCGACCAAACATTTCTGCGACCCCCGCTTCGCTCAGTACATCTCTCTCCCTAGACCTTGTAGAAATTTCTGGGCACTCTATGCAACATACTGCTCTTGCTTCTATCTCCGCTGCTACCTACTCCGTACACTCGCCTAACTTGAAGCCCCTCCGCAATACTACCAAGGCCGCTGTGAAACGCGCTGAGGCTCTGATGTCGCGCAAACCTGGCTGTGTGTCTCGCCGGGATTTTTGGCACTCCTTACTCACCGCTGTCATCTGTATTTCACAGGCCAAAGCCGCGCCTGGCCAAATGCACCATTCCACTCAAAGACTTTCCAGCGCTCTCCAAACGTCAAGAATCAGCAGCAGGTGTGTCTCGCTGTGCGTTATATAATCTCCAATCAAGCCCATGAGGCCTTGGCCGATTCGAAATATCAAGGAGCGCCGAGAGAGTATCAAGAATCGCGTTTTCAAGCGGCCTCTGGTGCTTCCTTCCGCAATTCGAGTGACACTAGATGAAATTCGCTTTCGTACCGACCTCGAGCTTACTCCTGCTTCTTTCATGTCAACAACCTATGAACCCGATACAGAAACCGAATACAACGACTCGATCTCCGACGAAGATGACAACACAGACTATCCAATACCACGCTTGAGCTCAGAGAACCCTTACAGTTACACGCAATATCGCCTGGCGAAGAGAACCGACCGCACGAAGAAGACCGAAAAGGTGCGCAATCGCGCTCGTCTGTTCTTTCTGCTGACATATGGTAGGAAAACATTCCCGTCCATCCCAAGTCGACTCCTTCTCATCGGAATATCTCCTTGAAGAAATAGTGGCCTGGACTGACTCGGAGATCACATGTACAAATCGAGTTCTTGGATAGATAGTGCTACATAAGTGTACAATAGAAGGAATGGACGGGCTTTATTGCTGCAACTGTGGGTGTCTTGAGATGTATTCGTCAGTGTCAGAGGGTTCTGTGGTGAAACTACCCACTTAGACCGTTTGTGGCACACCAGTGCGTCTTTATCGAACGTCCGCCACCGTTTTGAAGGGGGACATTGCATACAATGCATCTTGTCACGGTCTTGGGCAGGTAGAAGTGTTCTTGGAACCGTATTGGGGTCAACATCCGGATGTCTGGCAGGTGAAGATCAGGCAAGGATAACTCTCAGAGTGTTTAACACGGACTTATCGACCAGGTGAGTGCACAGACCAGCTGTTTTGACCAAACGATTACAGATTGGACAGCGGGTTTTGCCGTTGGGGTTAGAACGAGACGGTATGCATGCGTATTCACGAAGAATAAGACCACGGTGCTCGAGCCATACTATGCGACATTCAGCGAGTATTGACAGTGAATTCGGTCATACCTGATAGAGTGATATAATCGAGGTCGCGTTCAAAGACTCGTAAGACGGTGCGAAAGGTGTTGGAGTGTTTGAGGAGGTTATTGAAACTGACATTATCCTCGGCGATACAGAAAGTCTTAATTCTATAAACAGGGCCTTTTATGAGGTATTGTATAGAGGGAGAAAAAACACACACCGTTCGTAGTTGACTTTCCGAACGTTGGCGGCTTCAACCAGATACAGCTCTTTCCATGTGTCGAGTTGCTTGCCGTTCTAAAAGAAGAGGTGAGATTTGGCTCTGGTCCGCAGTTGTTAACCGCATAGTACACTCGTAAGAAGATCTTGAGTCCGGGCGCGTTTTCCTTCCTCCAACTAACAACAAAGTCTTCAGCATCAGGTAAGCATGGTCAGGCCGGGGCGGAGCACCTGACGGACTTGGTAGATCGTGCAGTTCGAGGAACTTGAAACATGATATGGTTGGCCCGTTGGCATTACTAACTGTCCTCCTTGTTGTTCTGCTTTCTGGATGGCCTCGCGCAGAGCCCGTCGAGTGTATACAAAGTATTGCTCCTCATTTGACACCAGTCGTAGTTGCAGCCGCGGAAGCCAGGAGAGGTATGATGAACTCGGTGCACGGGGGCTGCCGCCAGGCTCAAGCAAGAGGTATTTTTTGCTGGAAATGTTAGTCAACAGTCAGGGCTTATCGGAAAACCACGCACGAGAACAGAAGCTTTTCACAAGACACCTGTGTAGAAGATAAGGTGTAACATTTTGAAAGAGAGGAGACGAAGGATGCGCACTGAACAAGCTCAGGCTCGCAGTCTAAGAACGCATGTGAAGGGCAGCTTGTCTGTCTGGACTTGACAACTCTGGGAGCCGAGGGGTTCATGAGAATACGAATGAAAAGAGGTGTTGCGAGAACATACGTCACATTTCCCACCACCAAAGAGCCAGGTAGCATACGCCGACACCGAGTAATTCCCACTCGTTTCGATGCCCACTGGACAAGAAGGAAGAGCTTGGCAGTTCCCCCGCGAGAACGCGGTAAAGGCAAAGTCCCAAATCCAGGGGTGGGTTTCAATTACGCGCAGGAGGAAGCGAGAAGTCTGGCGCAGCTGAGTGAGATCAAACGGGCTGCAGTTTTCAAGGATCTGAGCCGATGTCAATGCACGCTTCATATTCAAAGCAGGACACTGACTACAAGGCCCACGTCCAACGGGAAATTGTTGAGCATGGAGAAGGTTTCGTGCATATCGAGTCGAGTATGGATAGCAAGCAAGAGGGAAGAACGGCGCGGTCACGTGACTTCATCACAGCTTAGAATACCTATAGACAAGCGCAGCCCTAAAGACCGCTCAACTTCAGAAGAAAGAGGAATGATTACAGCTAGGGCAAGTACAAAATACTTGGTACTTGGTCGCACTCTTGGTTAGCTGTTGCTGTAAGCCTGAGCGCCACGACAAGGCGGTGCGACATTGCCCAGGGCTCTCCACTACATGGTTCACAAGCAACAAAATAACCCTCGTCCACACGATGAATCCCATATACCGCTACTCCCCCCAGTCGAAAGAGTTTGGTGCAGGCTCAGCAATGACGCGCCGTTCCGACCGACTCCGGGTCCCCAGGCATGGTCTATTGGTTGACTGATCGCCACAGAGCAGCAAACGCCGAAAACGGCTTGGCTATCACCGGCAGATGCCTGGGCCAAGAGAGCGGAAAACCAGTGTGGTACGGTAACAACATCTCCAAACCGCGACACGAGTTCGCGCATGTCTGGAAACTCGCTTTCGCCGTAGCACCAGTCACCGTTAGTGCAAGCACTGTCCCTTTTCTGTTGATGACGACCCGCGATGCAAGGTACTCCAGTCAGGACGCTCATTCGTTGCCTCTTGATGTCGAGTGGCGAAGGGGAAAGGGCATGTTGGACACCGCAGGAGGTGAAGATAGGTATGTCCTTGATTTACGAAAGCGTTAGATTGCTTCGTGATCGAGAACAAACTCACATCGCCGAGTAACAAATTCATCCTCGAAATGACCCACAGTGATATGCGAAAGAGTTTGGTGAAGGCTCGGATACGATACGTTGCCCGACCGACTGCGGTTCCCCGACCATGGTCTATTTTCTTTCTGATCGTTGCCGTCTAAAAGGGAGCGGAAAACGTGTGGCCACGGTGACAAGATCTCCGAGTGGCAAAACCAGTTCGAGCCTGGAAATTTGCCTTCGCCGTGGTACGCGTCTCCGTTGGTCGCCAGGACCGTCCCTTTTTTCTTGCAACGAACCGCGATGCTCGGTACTCCAGTCGGGCAGCTCGTTCGTTGCCGCCTGATGTCGAGTGGCCGAGACGAGATGTTGCAAGACATATATGCCCTTGATTTGCGAAAGCATCAAATAGTGACCAAGAACGAAAGAAAGAAAGAAAAAACTCACGTGGCTTACATCCACAAACGCAGCTCAAATCCACCACGTCGAAGAATACACCAAGCACTTTAGCGAAGGCAAAGATATGAAGCGCACCCAACGTGTGGTTGCCCGAGCATCATCTATTTGCCTTCTGATCGTTGCCGGCCAAAAGGGGGCGGAAAATGTGTGTTTACGGCGACAACATCTCCTGCCAGTAAAACGGGTTCACGAAAGCTGGAAAGTTGCATGCGGTAGCACGCATCTCCGTCGTCGAAGCGACAGTCCCTTTTTTCTTGCGAACGAACCGTGATGCACGGGACTTCCGGTTGGGCAGCCCATTCGTTGCCGCTTGATGTATGCATCTGTCGAGTGGCGAAGAGGAAATATAGCAAGTTGCAGCTAGGTAGAAGATAGATTAGCTTGAAATGAACAACGATGAGAGCGAACGAAAGCTCACACTGGCATCGTTAAACCCGGATAGTGGAAGTCAAGCGGAAAGAGCGCAATATGTGACGAGCATGGTCACATTCGCTTTTATTTCTCAAGATATGAGACCGCCGCTTCAAGTCAAACGCCGCACCCGCAAAAGACGTGAAACCGCCGTTTCCAGAATACTAAACTCCACCGGTTTATCTTGGCAATCGGCGCAGAGATGATTCGAGGAGTGGTATAGAGCTGTAATAAGTCGATTGGGGTCGGTCAGAGGGAGATTCCCCACGTAGTAAGAAGTAGTTGAGGAGATAGCGCAACAAATGGACTTCAGACGTTTGCTCAGTCAACGACTGCAACTTGAAGACAAGGCAATGAACTTGAGGAATCATGAAGGCCGATTAACAGCGCAGACGGTAGCTCTGCCCTTCGTGGTTTAGGCAGTGTGGCCTGGTGGTGAGAAATTGACACAGATTTCGAGTCAGAGCCTATGGGCCCGATTGTTGCGTAGATGGTCAGGAGCAGATACAGATGGTTTCCAGCAAGCCATACCACGCTTAACTACCTCGAAGTACTTATCGTCCCGTGAGCAAACAAGTACCGAGAAACGCGTCGTGCCCGCGTCCTTTGAGTGCGGCGGGTGCGAGGCTTAGACGTGGCTAAGATTTGCGTTGAATCCGTCAGTGGCGGGAGTTTTCATGACGATTCGAAAAATAGAGGCAATCTTGGATCATGTGCCTTGCTTGATCTTCTTCCCTAACGCCCATGGAGGCTCCGCCTCCGCCTCCTCCCCCGCGTTCCCCACTACGACCCCCACCCACAGCAAGTACCACAACGATAGAGACTGTACTTCAGAGCACGGCAACAACACCAGAGCCAACGCTTTCCAAGCGACAGCATGCTCTCCACGAGCTCCTTTCGAGCGAACGAGCCTATGCTTCAGACCTTACTCTTATCCTTGAGGTCCACATACCTCTTGGTGCGTGCTAGTATCTCCGCTACGCAACCCTTGCTAAAGACTTATAGCCCAGGGCCCCATGACGCCAGACGACATCAAAATAATATTTGGGAACATTGGGGAACTCGCCGAGCTGTCAGATGCTTTCTGTGAGGCTCTAGAACGAACGATGGGGAGTGCATTAGAAAAGGCCGATGCCACCGACGACCGGATAGGCGAGCTTTTCCTCCGTTATGCTCCAGAGGTCGAAGGACCCTACAAGCAGTACATCACGCGACATCCCTCCGCGCTTGCCCATCTCACTGCCCTCCCAACCACGCCCGAACTCACCGCCTACCATGCCAAGACGCGTGACCTCGCATCGTCACTCTCCCATGCCTGGGACTTGGCGTCCCTGTTAATCAAACCGGTGCAAAGGCTGCTCAAGTACTCGTTACTTCTTGGGGCCATAATCGACGCCACACAGCCCACCCACCCAGACCGACCACATCTCGTTAATGCACGGACTAAAATCGAGGAAGTAGCCCATGCCGTTAACGAAGGCCGGCGAAGAGCAGAGGTAGTTAAAGAGGTTTTGAACGCGCCGAAAAAGCCGCCCACTGTCCTCCGTATTAAATCCTTCCGGGCCCCAGCAGACGTCAACTCAGAGGCCGCTCGTGTTGACCGAATGGCTAGTGAGCTGGCCAGAATTGACGTGTTTGCTCAGCAATTGTCACGAGGTGCCCAGGAATGGGCCAGAGCGGCAGACGCGTCAACTCATGCTTTACTCACTTGGGCTCGAGCGTTTGCTGCCGCAATCGGGCTTTCTTCTACCGTCCGCTCCGAAGCATTCGATGCGTTTCTTACCACACTTGTGGAAGGCCTCGTCCCAGTCGCAGCCGGTCTCCTTCCCAAGATTGCATCCGACCTTCTCGCTCCGTTAGCTCGTCTGCTTGCTACTACTACCCAACCGCGACAGCTTCTTGCCAGCATGAACGAAAATGCCCCCCTTCATCACCATCTGTTGACCATGACAGTTTCCGCCAAAAACCGGCCACCACCGGCATTGATGGAAGCCTCTGCGCGTTATCTTGCGCTGAGAACCCAACTCGCAGCTGAGTTTCCAGAATACCTAACTTTGCTCCATCGCGGGCTCGCTGCGTTGGTTAGGCGCCTCGCTGCTGTTCAAGCTGCCTTCTTTTTCGACTCTCGGGAAGTTTGGGCTGGGCTGTGGGACATGTTACGAGTCGAGGGCGAGCGGAATGGGGGTGGCGAAGAAACCGTCGCTGTTTGGACATCACGATGGGGAGACGTTGATCAGGGTATCCAAACTCTCAAAATTTGCCAACCTCTTACGAGCGGACGACTCTCCATCCCACAAACCGTGGTTGTGGCTCCTCCGCCGCCTCCACCACCTCCTGGAGCCTTATCGCCCGCTGCGGCTTATGCACGTGCCCACGCTTATGCCGAGCCGATCAATACTGACTTTGGGACAACCACCGTTGGGAGTATCGGCAGTAATACTCTATTCGAAAGCCCAACATATGTGAATGGCCACCAGCCGCCCTCGCCACATTACGAACGGAAGTCTTCTGGTTCGGCAAGCTTCCACAGCGGGAGCAGCACGAAAGCGCCGTCCCATGTGTCGAATGCTCTTGCGTCTTTGGAGCCTGCTAATCGGCGGAGTGCCCCAGCATCGTCATCCTCTGCTGCGGGCGCGTTCATGCAAGCGTCGCATAATGTCTTCTCGCCACAAATGGTCAGTGGGCCATATCCGCTGTCGCCGAGCCATGGGCGGCCTAGAGGTGGTAGCGATGCAACTAATAATGGCTGGACGGGGTTCCCTGGGTGGAATGCCCCGACGACAAGAGGGAAAAGTCCGGGGCGGGTTGTGGGGAATGGCGCGATCAAAGCCAATGCGAAGGTCAAGCGGAGCAACAGTCCGACGCCGACATCAGCTACGGCGAAGACCGCACGAGAAGGCGGTGCTGAGTTGGGGGAGTTTGTGTCTGATTTGGGGTGGGATTATGGCGGGATGATTCTGCCGCCGAAGAAGATGAAAGATGTGGAAAGGGAGGAAGAAAAGGCGAGAGAAAAGGCGAAGGAGAAAGAAAAGAGAAAGGAAAAGAAAGAGGAGGAGGAACGGGAGAAGGCGAGGAAAAAGGAGGAGAAGTCAAAGCAGAAGAAATCAAATGACGTGAGCTCGCGTTTGGCTTTGTTGGAGGGAGGAGGATATGGGACCCGCGATGAATCGCGGAAAAAGCCAGAGAAAGACAAGGGCATGATCAGGCGAGCGAGCGACCTTACCCATGGCAATTCGAGTTCAGGGAAAAGTCGCACGTCGTCTGCAACACGCCCATCGTCAAGGAATAGGCCGCCTTCAGTCGACTCATTCATACCATATTCGGCTCCACGACCTGCCCCATTACCGCCCGGAACTGCTAGAGGTCGGTCCAGGGCGCCTTCCCCTGATCAGCATCTCGACGATGATGACTTCAGAGCGCGTCACTCAACGTGGCTCGCAGCCCCAGTCCAATACTCTTGTCGGGTGGTCCACCCATGTACCCCGCCATCAGCCGTCTCGTATTTCGGCTTTCCATTCTTTGCCTTGGAGGAACATGCGATCCTGGGAGTGCTGCACGAAGCTGGCCATCCTAGCACACATCCGAGATTACCGCTCTATGTCGACGACGGGGCAGACTGTCTGCTGCTCTGCCGCGACTCTGCGAACGAAATCGGCTGGGCATTGGCCAGCTTTCTTGCGCCGCTCGCTGCCGACTGAATCAACTAATGTAACCTTCTTTTCTGTCCTGTTTGTTGTAAGTACTAACTCATCTGGTTGGCCGGTTCTCGTAGGAGACACAGCGCAATGTAATACTATCCTTACCCACACAATCTTTCCTTTATACCACCAACGTATCATACTAGATGTAGAATACCACTACAATCATATCTTACTCATCAATCATTGCTTGCTCTGTACATCCCAGTTTACGAGCGCAACACAATCGAAGCCTGTCTAAGCCTGTCACGTTATAAACATGACCCTGGGCTTTCAGCTTGACCAAATTGCCCTCCCCCATGCACGTATATTCGACCATTGATCGACTGAGTTTTTTTGGGCATCTATACTGTTAACTTGGTGCTATTGTACACTGTCTAGCATAGTACTTGGACCAGGATTCGACCGACCCACACTGGCGATAGTGATTATTTGTCGCGACGTTCTTACGTGGCGACAGGCACCAGTCAATTATTAACTCATCACATCTGCTGCCTGATCCTTCCTCAGCTCGGGCTCTAGTATGAATTCAGTGCATGATGATCGCATCATCCACAGCTACACCGAACACAGTACATAACTTAGCTCAGCGCATGCCAGCGTTTGCCTTACTTTTCCAGCGGCTTGGGCATCTACAATCATGACATCCCTCTCGCCTTTTACTAGAGGGATCCGTGTTGATGCCCAACAATGCTGCTTTCACCAATTTCTCGCTTCCTCAGCTCGTTCTGGGTTTATCTTATTGCTTCGTTTTGTTCCGTCCCCAACGCCTCCCAGTTAGTGAAAACTTGATAGCTGTACTCATGCCTTCTGCGTCCTTTACAGCCGCTTGCAGAAAGGTTGGGCACAACGGATTTTTTTTTGATGATCAACCAAAATTTTGACCAATTTGGGTCCTGGGCTTCCAGCAGCCATTTCTCACTCAATAATCCATATTTTCCCATAGATTTTTGAATATTAAGTCTACCTCATTCAACCACAGGCCCTAATATTATCGGTACTACACATCATATGTTTACTTGCACATCTGTGTCCTTAATTTTGCTGTATCCCATAGGCCTGAGCTTGACTTTGGGGCCTGAGTTGACTTTGCTTCGAGTTGGTTAAAGGTTTGCTGGCACTATGTGTTCTTGTTCTGGGACCAGATCTCAGCTACTAGTAATTGGGGGGATGTAGGGGTGTAGTTTGTGGCTCGGATGGAGAGCATCGGCTCGCTATCATTCAGACATGTACAGACCTATTTTCGAGAGTTTTGTGTTTGACGCAAATAGTAGCCACGTGGTTGCCATGTGACCGTTGGCTGACCAAAATTAGCGTTGCGGAACTTCTTCCATCTTCCCCAGGTCCTTCGGAATACCTTTACAAGATGCCGTTTTCTCTCGCCTGGCAATACATTTCTCCTTATGACGACCTATGAACTTGCCCTCACCCTTGGCCTTTTCGCCACTCTCTTTGTTGTCTTCACCCTCAAACCGCGTAGGCTGACAAACCTACCGCCGGGTCCTGGTTCGTTAAGAGCATACAGTCCGTTGTAGACTTGGGCTGACGAATAAGCAGCACCGACTAGCTGGCTGGTCGGCAATCGCAACCAGGTTCCGCAGTCCAAGCCGTGGAAATGGTTCCAAGAGCTCAACGAACGCTACGGGCCTGTGGTTTATCTTCAGCTAGGCCGGACCCCAACGGTCGTTCTCGGAAGTGCGCAAGCAGCGTGGGACATCCTCGAGAAGAAGTCGCCGATAACAAGCGCGCGCCCGCGATTCATCATGGTTTGTCTGCTCTAGCCTCCAAGTATTTATCACCTGCTAATCCCACTCGCAGGGCCAGGAAATCATGAGCAACAACATGCGCGGGCTCATGGCGAGCAGCGGCCCACTTTGGAAGCGCTGGCGGAGGGTGCTTCATGGCGCATTCATGCAGAAGACAGCCGACACTTACAGGCCAATTCAGAGTCTCGAATCAAAGCAGTTGATGGCGGAACTCCTCAAGACACCTGCTAAGTACCGTGAGCATCTTGAGCGGTATGCAACCTCGGTCATTGTGGTCATCACCTATGGTCGCCGCGTTCACAACATCTACACTGATGAGGTCGTCTGTCGCAACCGGGAGACGCAGCAATACCTCATCAGCATCAAGTAAGAGTTCAAATTATTAATGTTGCTCGAATCCTGATGTCTTCAAGTATACCGGGTAAATATTTGGTCGAAAGCATCCCCGCACTTCTATACCTCCCCAACTTCCTCACGCCTTGGCGCACTGCTGCTCTCCAACAACGCGCTAAAGATATCAAATACCTCACTCGTTTGGTGAACGAGGTCAAATCTAATATGGAAGCTGGTCGCGCGCAACCCTCGTTCTGTCGGAAACTGCTAGAAGACCGAGAGAAGAACGACATGACCGATCTTGAAATCGCGTATACGTGTGGTATGCCTTGATTTTCACCTTTGTAGTTGTATTGACTAATTGGCAGCAACTCCCTTTGGGGCTGGCGTGGAGACTAGTGCGGGGAGTCTCTCCTCATTCATGCTTGCCTGCGTGGCTTTTGGACCAACCTTCATCCCTCGCGCGCAAGCCGAATTGGACTCTGTCGTTGGTTTTGACCGACTTCCCTCTTTTTCCGACTACGACTCGCTCCCGTTTATACGTGCTATCGTGAACGAGACTCTCCGCTGGCGGCCTGTGGCGGTATTAGGCGGCACTCCTCATGCAAGCACTGAAGACTTGGTCTATGAAGGAATGTACATTCCAAAGGGCAGTACGATCATTGCCAATCTTTGGGGAATCCACTTGAACCCAGTTGATTTCCCTGACCCGCATACATTCAATCCTGACCGGTTTATGGAGGCGCGCGACTACCCGGGACCATGGCAGCACTCAAGTTTCGGGTATGGCCGTCGAGTTTGCCCGGGAATGTACCTTGCTGCGAACAGCACTTTCATCAAGTATGTGGTTCATTTATTCCAGTCGTTTCACGCTCATCACACCGTAAGTATTGCGCGAATCTTGTGGGGATTCAATGTCTGCAAAGCACGTGACGACTCGGGCCAAGAGATCGAGGTGGACACGTTTGCGTATACGGACGGGTTCAACAGCGTCCCGTTGCCCTTTCCCGTTTCTATCACACCCAGGAGTCTTTCACATGAGGCGGTTATTATGCGCGAAAACGAGGTCGCGCAGGAGGAGATGTGTGCTTATGATCACTGAATCCTGATGTTGACATTTAACGCTGGCAAGCCTGCCAGCTGGGCCCGTCGAAGTAGTCAGTACTTACTGTAGTATTCCCTTGACACTTTTTCTTTTTTTTCTTTTCATGATTCATTTCTCGGATGCCACTAATGTTTATGAATGAAACTCCGCGCGGTGGTTTCACAAGAGCGAATCCACTCTGCAACAAATCAAAGTGTGACCAACGCAGTCACACATCTTACTCTTTTCTCTTAACCGCCATTGTTCGCATAAGAGCTCCCTTCTTCAAATATCCTTTACATGCTAGCTTCTGTCCAATCTTCATCTTCTGGTTCCTACGCTTGCGACTGTGAAAGACTTCGCCACTCAACATCAAGAGGCAACGAATGAGCGTCCCGACTGGAGTACCTTGCATCGCGGGTCGTCATAACCAGAAAAGGGACAGTGTTTGCACTAACGGTGACTGGTGCTATGGCGAAAATGAGTCTCCAGGCATTCGCGAACTCGTGTCGCGGCTTGGAGAAGTTGTTACCGTACCACACTGGTTTTCCGCTCTCTTGGCCCAGGCATCTGCCGGTGATAGCCAAGTCGTTTTCGGCGTTTGCTGCTCTGTGGCGATCAATCAACCAATAGACCATGCTTGGAGCCCCGGAGTCAGTCGGGACGGCGCGTCATTTCTGAGCCTTCACCAAACACTTCGACGGGGTAGAGGAGGACTAGATGTGGCTCGTAAATCAGCGCTGTAAATTCTCTCCCCTTATCTTCAGACTTTACCTGAACCCTTTGCAAATGAAGCGCATAAATCTGGAACCACATTTCGCCACGCGACATCAAGCGGCAACGAACGAGTGGCCCGACTGCAGATTAGTACCGTGTGTCGCGGTTCGTTTGCAGCAAAAAGGGACAGTCATCGCGACTAACGGAGACGCGTGCTACGGCGAAGGCAAGTTTCCCGGATCGCAAACTTGTGTTATGGCTGGGAGACGTTGTCACCGTGACCACACGTTTTCCGCTCCCTTTGGCCGAGCTTTCGGCTGGCTGCGACGATCAGAAAGCAATAGACCACACATGGGGACCCGCGGTCGGTCGGGCTATAACATCGTATCTGCGCCTTCGCCAACCTTTTCGCTTTCGACGGAGTTGCAGTCAGGGATGAGTTGCATTTGTGAATCAATGATGTGAGTTTCCGTCTTCCTAGTGCTGGCAGAACCTCACGTTTTCGTATGTGAATCAGATTATCGCAACCTCTTCACTTCTCGACATCAAACGGCGACGAACGAGCTGCCTTACCGGAGCACCGACCATGGCGGTCCGTTGCAGCAAATATGGGACAGTCCAGGCGACTAAGGAACACGCGTGCTACGGCGAAGACAAATCTTCAGGCTCGAAAAGGTTTTGCCACTCGGAGATCATGTCACCGTAAACACACGTTCGCTTCCGTTCCCTACGGGTAGAGTTTGTCGGCCCGCTGCAACGGTCAGAAATAATAGACCATGTTCGGGGAACCGCAGTCGGTCGGGCGCGCATCGTATCCAAGCCTTCACCAAAATCTTCGAATTTCGTCGGGGTGGAGCAGAGGTGTTTGGGGAGCGGCCGTATTTGTCACTGTGGAGGGTTGTTTTGTTGTTCGTGAATCATGTCGTGGAGAGCCCTGGGCGATGTCGCACCGCCTTGTCGTGGCGCTCGGGCTTGAAGCGAAAGCTAACCAAGAGTGCGACTATGTACTTGTGTGGGTAGTATTCAAGATTATCAATGCTCCTCACGTTCTGGTTTCGCGCCGCTTTACATTTTTTGGTGCCACTTCAGCGGAAGTCTTGACAAGCTTACGCTGAACAGACAACATATTCTCATTCATTTATTCTCATTCTAGTTTGACTTGAAGTAAGTACGACAACAGGAGCTTTTCGGAAGGATGGTATTTCAGTATTTTTTCCAACTGACCGTGACTTTGGGTTCGAGTTTGGGCCGTCGTCAGCAATACCATTTTGACACAGGCTTTTTGAGAATGTGCAATTTAAATTCTCCAGAAGCCTCTGTCAATGTCCGAATCTAAGATGTGGTGGCGTAGGAGGCTCATGTGTCCTTGGGTCCACAAGCTCCAAATCGGCATTCAGCGGCCAGATATTGTTGCGGAAGAGATTGTTGGGGTCGTACTTCTTCTTGATTTCCACCAGGCGTGGCCAGTTGTCCCCGTAGGAGGAGATAACGCGCGAGGCGGGCTCGTGGCGCCCAAGGAACTGTAAAGCGGGTTGAGTGGACGAAGACGATGAATGGAGAGGAGGTACACTAGGGAATGGTCCACCGCATTCAACCGGTTTCAACGAGTCGCGTATCCACTAAGAAAATGTCAGACTTGTCTTGCATTACCTCTCACGTACCTCTTCAGCGGAGTCGATGCACCTATCATCGTCAACGGTCATTTCCCACTGGTGTAACGCGGCAATCGTAAAGGCCGCTTCGCGTTGCGATTTGGGCACGCAGTTGTCCTCATGATCTAATATGGCGCCGCCAGCCAGGTTCGAATAGCCATGCTGAGAATCATCATGAAAAAGTTGCTTGAGTGGGAAGTATAAAAAACCGACTGCATCCAACGGGCGTGCCCGCGAATTTCAAGACCGTCTCGTTGATGATTTCGTCGGGAAGAGACGATATTAAAGCAGACCTAATAAACCATTGCCTTCCAGCTAACAATAGAGCTGAATATGACACAAACAGATCAGTGATTAAACGCACGTTTTCCGCGCAGTACCTGGGCGACACTGTCCTGCTGATGCAGGAAGCTTTTCTCGTGTACTTCGTTTAGGAGACAGCGCTCTCCGTCCCAAGAAGACAGGGCTTGGAGGTATTCTTGGCCCTTGTCTATCCGATTTTGTTAGCCGGACTTCCTCCATGCAACTGAAAGGTCTTACCCTTGGGTCCGATGTAGCACATTTGAACGACAATCAGCGAGTCTTTTCCTTCCGGACCAGCAGTGAGAAGTACGTTCGCATAGAGCTCTCGCGGAGCCCCTTTCACACAGTCGCGGAAATGCTTGATGAGCGAGGGTGCAGTTGCGCTGTGGAATCGACTGGATATAACTTTGAGACTGATACCTCAAAGTGGAGAAGGAAAGAGTCCTTACTAAAGCAAATTTCCAGCAAAAACGACAGGTACCGGGTAAGCTTTGGCTTTGTATCGGGTCACGACACCCAGAGCGGGCCCAGCACCGCGAGCAGCCCACCAGAGATCTTGAAGCGATAGATTGGCAACCAGAACTAGGGGACGATGAGCAGACACATACCTGGGTGACTGTCCTTATTGACAATGACGATGCGCCCGTCCGCGAGAATCATCTCCATCTACTTGATAATGAGCATCGCATTTGAAACATGATATGTTCCTTCACTTCAACCAAACTGTCTATGCTCAGACTGTGGAGCCGACTGAGGAAGCCGAAACCGCCCAAAAGCATGACTCCGGAGCCCACCGGATGAGCAGAAAAGGGTATATGATAGGGAACCGTGAGGTTTGTACCCGAAAGCGACTCCGCTGGTAACTGGTTCTCGGCTGTAAAAACATCGACCTCTTTTTGTCGCTTGCCGGCGCCAAAAGTGACGAAAGCATGGGGGTAAATAGGCTGGGCCTGCGCAGCCAGATTGAGCGGTATGGGAGGGAGATTCGAGTTGGTGATAACTCGATTGCCGGCACCGGAGCGTTGCTGGGCCCATGGGTCTGGATGGCGGGGTGGGTTTGCGTTTTGGCGGAGGGTGGGCGGTGCAGCTGATTCTGTCTCTTTTGTATCATCGAGATAGCCGAAAGGGTCACCACCTGAGGTAGCAGTAGGGCGTTGTGCTGGGTTGGATGACGCTGATGGAGGGGGAGACCGAGAAGGAGAGGTGACAGTGGTGGAAATTTGAGTCCTCGCACTGCGTGATTCGTCAGAGTTAGAGCTTGATTCGCCGGAGCTCGATGAGATATGGCGGGAGCGTGGGCTATCACGGATAGGCTCGTCTAACCGGCGACGAACTGGCTGGGGCAAATCCCACCCTGGTTGATATGGGCCGCGCAGGAAATCAGCAACACTTTGGGAGGCGGCATCGTAGAAACGAAGAGCAGAGTCCTCTTCACGACGCCGTTTTCCAGATGGACCGTTATCCCGTTGTTTGTTTGCGGCATCCTGATCAGTCAAAGGCGTGTAGCCCCTCCCATTGGGAAGTGGGGCCTGGAGCAACGTTAGCATCAACGACCAGGCTGAAAATACGCTTCAAAACCTCAATATGAAGGTCAGTGAGCTTGGATAGGTCGATTATGATGTCGCCTGGCACAAATTCCACTCAACATCCGAGAATAACTGGTAATTAGATGCCCAACCTCCAATAGCCCAGCCTCCGGTTCCATAACCGCCGGCTTTGACGCTGACGAGAGCATTAGAACTACCGGAAAGGAACTTTGAGCAGTACTCGCCTGGGGGAGAGCGAGTGCTTCGTGCAGAACACAAGGATCCTATGAAACAGAAACAAAAATCAGTCACAGGATTGGACCCGCGTTTTCGACCACAACCACCTACTTGCTCACATCCTCTGCGTCGAGCGGACATACAATCGCTTTGGCGACACAGACGACGTTTCCGTTGAAGATGCTCGAGTATTCAACGAACCTGTCATCACAAAATTGTCAATCCAGGGGCACTTTAAAATTTTCGCGACACTTACTCTGCTTCGTCCCGGACATGAATAGGCCCGCGAATCGACGCACCGAGTTCCTCATAAAGACTCTCTGAGAGGATTTGACTGGCGACGGCTTCAGGCATCGATTGGGGTGGTGGTGGTTGCTGGGAAGGAAACTGTCCGTCTTAACGGCAGGCACCCAGCTTGCAGGGGCCACTTTTAAACAAAATTCTGAAAGTGGCTGTCAGCTTCGCGAAGACACGAGTCCCAACGTCATGATCAATGTCTGCGTGCTTATTCAATGATATACTTACTCTCCAACAAAAAACGGGGAGCGGCCCGACCCAACCTCGGAAGAGTGCCAAGTTTCGTCTTAGCTGCTATGCCCCCAGATATTCAGCTGGTTCGAGCCCGATAGGCTTGTTCTCCGTCTATGAAAAGCTTAAGCTCGTCCCTCAAGACTCGCTTCACTGAGGTACCTTAACGACTGTACGGACTGCCGACTCATCTCGATTGCGGCATTGTCAAGTTCCGCCGATAAGTAGAGAGAGTGCATGGCCATGTGGGAAAGCACGACATTGAACAAGGTAACTCATTCGGCATTTGCGATAGATGTCTGATTCTGCCAAAGTAACGCTCGCACTCAATATGAACAGACAGACCAGCCGGATGTGGGCGATAAAGACGTAGAGGGCGTACGTCAGGGCATGCAGCCCTTTGTCTCCATCCCATTCGACAGTCGCACTCACGCGAATGTGGGTCTGTCAGGAGAAACTTGACCACGCGACGACCTGTTGAGTAATAGTTCACAGGAGAAGGCGAAAGACCGATCAAGTTGTTGTGGAGACTTGCTGAAGTCTGGTCGAAAAGACACGGTATCCTCAAGGCACGCTGACTTTGGTCCAAGAAACGCGCAAGATTGATTCAACACATGAATATGGCGTTCATAGCGGGGTCCATACCAATCAAGTTTGGCCTCACATCCCCTGCGCCAAGACCCTCAATCAGTCGCTCCTTCCATCCGTACGCTCTTGACCGACTGAGTCGTTCTTCTGTCAGTTCGACACGTACTGTGAACGCCGGGGCCTTGGCGATACTGTCAACTGGGTCAATCAATTGGCAGACAACGCAGCTGAAAATTCAGGTTGTAACACGAGTTGGGCGCGGGCAATGGATTCTTACGGCGCGGGGTCCGCTGCTCCACGGACGTCAGTGTCGGGTCGACCGTTGACGACAGACTTGATCGCTTGCAGCATATCTAAACCACGAAACTTTGGATCGTTCAGGGTGGGGGGGAGGAGAGCTGGTACACGACTCACCATTACATCGACCACTTCCAAATCGTATACGAAAGCATCGACAACGTGGACGAGCTGAGAGACATGCGATATACCGGTACTACGGAGATACAATAACAAAATTTGTTGGCGTCCACCTAATGGGTTTTCAGCAAGCGAAAGTGCGTCAATGGCTAAGACAGATAATGAGAATTTGAAACCAACAAGTTACGAGACTTGCCTGCCGACTGAATCTCTTCCATGTGCAGGTCGCGCCAGCCCTTCAGAGCTTTCAAGTTGACATGCCATCGGCGGTATAGGCCTTCATGGGGATCAATAAAGTGAGGGAAATAGTAAATGTAACTCACTCTCGTTTTCCGGGATCGGTACTGGCGGAAATGCACAGCTTGCCAGCAGCACTTCATGCCAATTTGTCGTAAGGAAACCCGCAGCTCGGTACCCATGGAGCTCCTTTGGCCACATTGGCGTTTGGAAAGTATTCCAGGCTAGAATGATTGAGACATCTACAAGTTTGGAATATTGGAGACACACAGTTCGCGTGGGGCGCAAATTCGACGATCTGGAACGAGAATGCAGCAGGCCCACCCACTTCTTTGGCTCGCTCCTGGCCGATTCTTTGATACTCGCGTGGATTGCCTTCGGTCTTGGTGTCCCTCAGTATTTCTTCATACTGTTCAAAAGAAAGTGGCGCTGCAGCGTGGATCGTAAACCGACGTTTCGCTCCAGGCGTCTCAAAAAGGAGGACAATAAATACTGGGGCATCTTTAACGGTCTGGAATGAAGTCCACGAAGCCCTACCATAGTCATCCGCGTTCTCAGGATAGTGGCACAAGTCCAGCGCAGAGATGGCAGCGGCAATAAGCTTCTTGCGATGTCTTCTGTCCCAAATAACTATATCTTCAATTGCCTTGCTGGCATCTGGTGGCAGAGCAGACTTCTCCTCGCGCCGTTGTTTGCTGTCGAAGTCGGTAAGGGAATTTGCGATAAAAGGATGAACCACACCATTCCGGTTTATGTCGCGGCCACTAAGCGTCATGAGCTCGGGGGTTCATTGGAAGGAATGGAAAATAGGTACATCCGATTTTTGGCACTGGGTGCTGTAGGCAGCATGAGGTCGAGACAGATTCGCGAGAAGATAACCACGAACCTACAATAAACTGTCATGCCTTTACCTCCCACAGCGCAAGCGGCACACGCCCTCAATTTACCGCCGTATTCAGTCTTTCTGCAAGCAATATGAGCGAAGAAAAGCTTCAGCACCGACACACACGTCTTGTTACACTGTAAAGGTGGATCGAATCAGAAAAGGAAGACGGAAAGCTGCATACGGAGGGGGAACAGCATTCTTCAACGAGCTTGTTGCTGTATCGAGGTATCATGGTGTAGTTTACAGAGTTTACAGAGTCAGAGACATGGAGGTAAAGATAGAGTTGATTGCCGTGGCAATTGCAGCCGAGCAAATCTGGGCTTGTTCATAGACTACGACATGCCACGAGACCGCTCACGCTCTCAGTCTCGAGAAGGTGGCGAAAGGCCTCAGGAGCGCCATGACCGACAGCGAAGAAGCTGCAGTCCCGCTCAGAAACGACGAAAACTATCGACATCTCCTGAACGAAGACACCCTCACAGAAGTCGCTCTCCACATCGCTCAGTTTCGCGTTCTCGGTCAAGGTCAAGGGAATGGAACAGGGATAGACGACACAGGTCGCGTTCTGTCAGCAGTTCTTCATCAGACGACCGGAAACGGCGGAAACACAAGAGCAAAAAGCGTAGTGCTAGTGAAGAGAGAGAGCGACGAGAAAAGAAGGAGCGAAAGAGGGCCAAGAGGGAAAAGGTATGTAGCTCACAACCCTTGCAGTTCACGATGACTGAAGACTTGTAGAAGAGACTAAAGGGCAATTCACAGTGGGGAAAGTACGGGGTAATATCAGAGGCAGAGTGTGTATCTTTACTCTGCACTTTCCAAGCTTACTCTATCCAGTATTTTCACCAAATCCCAGGAATTCCATACCTGGCTGGTCGAAGAACGGAAAATCAATCCGGAGACCATTTCTAAGGATCAGAATAGGAAAGAGTTTGCGCGGTTTATGGAGGACTATAACACTGGTACGCCCTACGACGTTTATCTTGTTCACCTCCCTGAAATTTTGCTTGCAGCTACTCTCCCCGACGAGAAATACTACAACATGGAGTCGTACAATCGTCGTATGACTGCGCTTCGTGGAGGGGAGTTGGCGCCGCCGGCAGAAGATTCCTATGACCCACAGGCCGACATGAAGGCAATCAGCTCAGCACACAAGAGGCGCAAATTTGCAGAGGAGGATAGTCTTCTGAACAGAGAAAAGTTGATGGAGCTGCGAAAAGTGCAGAATGAGCGCGTTCAGGTAGGATTATCACGATATCGCAAGGAAAATGCTGACAGTATGCAGGCTGGGAAGATGAGGCAATTGGGCATGGAAGTCTCTCAAAGTATGGGTGTCAGGATGGATGGGACAGCGTTTGAAGATTGAGAGTTTACACTACTACTACTACTACGAGTGGTAATGTCTACAAGCTTGGCAACTTGAAGAATCACTTGGCCGCGGCTATCCTTTTCTCTCCCTTCCACTACCTACTTATCTTAACGAAACCCGTTGTCTCTCAAGACGCCGCAGTGCGCGAATCTGTTTGATCGATTACTGAATACTGCGACCGCAGTTTTCGCGATAAGCAATGATCCTCAATTGTACTGTTACACCAAAGCCACTATGCAGGCGCTGATTACTTGCGACAGGTTATCGCTCGCAGTCGCCTCTGGGCCTTCGAATACAAAACGACACTGTATGGTGTGCAGTGAGTGACAACAAAAAGCCCTCAGTCTGGCGCTAATGGACTCAATTTCGGCCGGCGCCAGTTTTGGCGCAGTTGACCGCAGCGTGGGGCATGTGCTCAAATCACTGTCACCACCGACGTGAATAAAAAGAAACCAGCTCGCTCCAGGAACTAGGTCTTCTCTTTCCCTCCCTCCATGATCGTGACCGAGAGCACACCGAAAACTCCACCAAAATCGAACACTCCATTGTTGGGAGAAAGCAGTGCCCCTCCTGCTTACGCACCTCGAGGCCCAAGCGCCGGTCCGTCAGGACCTTATATCGTATACCAACAACAGCCTCTGTATCCTCAGCGACCTCCCCAGTCGGCTGGTAAACGTTTCTTGAAGGCGTTCTTGGTTGCTGTTGGAATTTGGGTTTTAGCATCAGCCTTACTAGGAAGCATATTTAGTAGCAGGGTGAGTCGAATCAGCTGCCCCACAATCCTCTTTCTAATTGACAGCGATATCGCCACTACCAGATGGTCGACCTCCAGGCTACATACCCTGTCCCAGACAACGTGGAACTCGACGAATGCGTCACTGAATGGACTACTGGGCCCACAAACCCCACTTCATCTACCCCTTACACATCTCTGGCATCTTTCTCGTTCCCCATCCCTTCCAAGACTTTGCTTCTGCTGTCTAAAGGCAGCCTCTCCGGTGGCCGTCTCAAAGTCGTCACCTCGGCGTCAGATGATGTCAAAATCACTGTGGCCATCCATTATGCTGACACACTTGCTCGCGAGCTTGCGAAAGTATGTCTGATTAACCGTGATGAGGGAGAGCAGGGTGTCGGTCTCTTTGTGCGTGGTCTTCGGTCAGTTTATGCAATGCTAATAAGGTTTAGACTCCAACAGAATGGCGAGGGCGCCCCTATAGTGTCTCATTTGATGTCGAGCTTTCCATTCCGCGCTCCCAATCCAACAATCCACAATTCATCAATGCCCTTCTAACGGACGTGAACAACTTCTCGCAAGAGATAGACTCCCTTCAAGATGTCGTCGTTTTTGATACGTTGACACTGCAGGGCTCGAACGGCGGCATTCGATCTCCCAGTCTCGTCGCAACGAACACCATAATAAAGACTTCCAATGCGCGAGTGGCCATCGGGGTGAGATCACTCTCACCTAATCGCAGTCTTATTTATTTATGCGATAGCATTTGATGTCGTCAACCGCTTCAGTCCGCTCTTCGGGTGGAGGAATTACGGGCACATACGTGACCAAGGGACCACTCAACCTCATCACCAGCAACGGCGCCATTGATGTCTCCATCTCCGTCACCTCCGACACAGACCGCCAAGTTCCTGTTCTCATGACCACTTCCAATGCGTATGTTATTCCTCTCATACAAATCCGAAGGTTACAGCTCTCTACGCAGCCAGATCAACGCCGTTGTTGACCTCATCTCCACCTCCAATAGTGGCGGCTCTTTCCTCGTCCAACCTAAAACTTCCAACGGCCGGCTTACGACGACGATCAAATCGCTTCCCATTGACGGGAAGCTCAAGCTGGAGGCACGCACATCCAATTCGCTTGCTCAGGTAGCACTTCCGCTGACCTACGAGGGCGGCTTCTCGCTCGCCACCTCCAACGCCGCGACACTTGTCCAGCGGAGAGGCTCGAGCGAGCGCGACCCGAAGTGCCCGGACTCGGGTGAATGCGAAGGGCAGCGCAGTCGTACTGTGAGCACGCGGATGGTGAGGAAGACTTCAGCGGCGGGGGTGGTCCATTGGGACGCGAAGAATGCACAAAGGGGCGATGTCAGCCTTAAGACGTCCAACGGAGGAGTTACATTAGTTCTGTAGTCATGACATACATGCGCATACATTCTCTTACTGTTTGTTGTATTACTAGCTCAATGAGTTCCTATTTAGGAAGGTCGCTTGCCTATTTTGGAACTCGCTTTCTAAAATATATGAAACTACCGTCTTCGTTTCTTCCACTCGACTAGCATTTGTTTCTCGGCCATATTTGTTTTTCGATCAACTTCCCCATCTTCTCCGCACACTTTATGTCGGATAATGCCGATGTTCATCGACGTCTCGACCCACAGCCGCTTGCCCTCGTCCACCGTCAGCGGCTCTGCACGGAGTGCCAGCCGTCGAACTGCGGGTCCGAACCAGTCCTTAATGTTGTACGTCTGGCTGAGATGCAGCGTCTCAACAACAGAAAGCGCGCCAAATACATATGGCAGGAGACGACAGCTGATGAATGGCGAGCCGTACAATCTTGGGATGTCGCGGGTAGGCAACTTCGAGTACGGAGATCCAGTCCGTGGCAGTTGGGCATTCATGCTCGACGTAATCACTACAAGAGGGTTATCAAGATTGAGGAAACTTGGTCTACATACGATTCGGAGGAGTAAAGCATCGAAAGGAACCGGTCGAGCGATTCCTTCCTCTGGCGCTGGTAAAATGCCAGGTCAAAGTCCTTGAATAGATATCGGTGTAGTTTGTATTCGGTGTCATCCACCTGGCGGTTGTTGTGATTTCAAGTATTGCCAGTGCGGTTTCAAACTTCGAGCTTACCACCAGGGAAGAATACCAGAGCTTGAGCCACGATGAGAACATGACAGCAAGCGTCCGCGTTCAGGCTCCCCGTTTTCCTCCGGGTCTGGCTTGCGACTATGATTGACGGGTAATGAGATGCATACTCTAGAGTGGAAAAGTACTCGTAACCTACGAGGACAAGGTATTGAGTGATCAGGCAGTTGGAGAGCTTGATTCAACACACCAGGCACAGGTATCACAGTCATAAGAGGAAGTGGGAGGAAATTTGACAAGCAGGTGACAGTTTGGTGAGTGTTGGCGAAAATGAGTCGCCCTCGTAAGCACTCACTGGGCGTTACCCAAGTGGGTTGCCAGCATGGCCGCGTTGGAACTTGGTGACGCTGGTAAGTAGCTAGCGCTGAACATGATCGCGCAAATTCCCCGCTCGTGTGTTTCCGTGCGCTTTAATTGCCACAGTACAGTTCATCGGCCTAGTAATCATGATTAATTCCTCAAGTTATTGGCACGACATTGGCGCTTGTCTTCGAGTTGCACCGGACTGCTGCAAGATCAAACTCGTCCAGGCCCACTGGCACACGGACCACGGTTGGCGTCTGCGGTCCATTTGTTGCGTTATTTGAGGAGATACTTCTTAGTTCACTCCTCGACATCTCTGCGCCGATTACCAAGATAAACCGGTGAAGTTTAGTATTCTGGAAACGGCGGTTTCACGTACGTTTGATCATGAAGCGGCGGTCTCATATTTTGAGAAATAAAAGCGAATGTGACCATGCTCGTCACATATTGCACTCTTTCCTCTTGACTTCCACTATCCTGGGTTAACGATGTGAGTTTGCGTTTACTCTCATCGTTGTTCATTTCAAACTAATGCATTTACCTAGCTGCAACTTGCTATATTTCCTCTTCGCCACTCGACAGATGGCCATACATCAAGCGGCAACGAATGGGCTGCCCAACCGGAAGTCCCGTGCATCACGGTTCGTTTGCAAGAAAACTGGGACTGTCGCTTCGACGACGGAGATGCGTGCTACGGGAATGCAACTTTCCAGCTTTCGTGAACCCGTTTTACTTGCAGGAGATCTTGTCGCCGTAACCACACATTTTCCGCCCCCTTTTGGCCGGCAACGATCAGAAAACAAATAGACGATGCTCGGGCAACTACGGGTTGGGTGCGCTTCATATCTTTGCCTTCGCCAACATGCTTGGTGTAATCTTCGACATGGTGGATTAGAGCTGCGTTCGTGGATGTAAGCCACGTGAGTTTTTTTTCCTTCGTCCTTGGTCACTATTTGACGCTTTCGCAAATCAAGGGCATATATGTCCCGCAACATCTCGTCTTGGCCATTCGACCTCAAGCGGCAACGAACGAGCTGCCCGACTGGAGTACCGAGCATCGCGGTTCGTTGCAAGAAGAAAGGGACGGTCCTGGCGACCAACGGAGACGCGTACTACGGCGAAGGCAAATTTCCAGGCTCGAACTGGTTTTGCCACTCGGAGATCTTGTCACCGTGGCCACACGTTTTCCGCTCCCTTTTGGACGGCAACGATCAGAAAGAAAATAGACCATGGTCGGGGAACCGCAGTCGGTCGGGCAACGCATCGTATCCGAGCCTTCACCAAACTCTTTCGCCTACGATGAATTTGGATTGGGTTTATTTCGTGGATGGTTCTAGTTTATTGCTCCGACTCGTGAATCGGCGATGTGCGTTTCCTCTCGTTATTTGTTGTGAGGCAAGCCTGACACTTTCGCACACAAGGCAGATTAATCCACCTGGCTGTTATCGTCACGGTATACAACACCTCCTCTCCAAGTAGCGACGAACGAGCTGCCCGACTGGAGTCCCGAGCATCGCGGTTCGTTGCAAGAAGAAAGGGACGGTCTTGGCGACCAACGGAGACGCGTACTACGGCGAAGGCAAATTTCCAGGCTCGAACTGGTTTTGCCACTCGGAGATCTTGTCACCGTGGCCACACGTTTTCCGCTCCCTTTTGGACGGCAACGATCAGAAAGAAAATAGACCATGGTCGGGGAACCGCAGTCGGTCGGGCAGCGCATCGTATCCGAGCTTTCGCCAATTCGTCGCATTTCGTCGGGGCGGAGTAGAGGTGTTTGGGGAGTGATCGTTTTTGTCGAGGGTTGTTTTTGTTGACCGTGAATCATGTCGTGGAGAGCCCTGGGCGATGTCGCACCGCCTTGTCGTGGCGCTCAGGCTTACGGCGAATGCCAACTAAGAGTGCGACGACTACTATTTCAGTACTCAATACCTATCTTTATCCCTACAATACACGATTTAGTGGTCCAGTCAACTGTGGATGTAAAAATCAAGTTGGAAACATTTCTGAAACGCCCTAGAGGTTTATGTCCGTTCCGACGGACCGAGTCCTCAAAAACTGACTTATCCTCCAAGTAGTAAAAACAATTCTGACTTTGGTAGTTCTGTTTACAGTGGTACAATACTTGCTAGCTGAGTCGACCATCTAATGTACAGTAAGAGTCTGCGGTAGCTCGTCATGGGAACCGAAATACTTGGAACTGAGCTCATACCTAGTTTGGAAGCTGGTTTGCGCCGTATCGGAATAGGTTGAGGAGCAGATCGGTTTGGAGGCAGTGATCTCAAATATGCTGGGCAGATGCTCGCACAAAGTGGGGCATTGGCTTGGGTATTGTAAGGTCGTTTTCCTATGAACCGCGTGTCAACAGAAGGAGCCGAAATAAGCCATGGAATTCGTACCTTGCCGCGGATGCTAGTCTTGCGGGGACTAACTTCTTGAATCGTCGGTTTAGAAGTCGGGTAGGTGTTGACCTGAAAGAAGCCACTGGTTGCGATCACGGGTTGAGGGACGGAAGAGTGGTTGAAGCTAATGGTAGTAAGGGGATGGAAACCGTCGTCGGCGTCGTCGGCGTCGTTTATAGTCGACTCGTCTGAACTACTGGTAGAATCGCTGTCCTCGCCAAAGTCTGATTTGTTGCCAGCGCTGGTGTCGTCTGACGGTGGAGATTCTGGCTGAGGCGTATTGAAACGAACACGCAAGGCCGAGAGATCAAGGTTGGGCCGAGCCAGAACAAGTGGTACTTCGGGTAGCTTGAAAACGCGCTGTAGGATCTTGAGTCGTCTGCTGTGTGCATCGTCCACAGGGTACTGAGAAAGTTGTCGACACGTTAGCGAGGGTGGGTGGGGGAAAGGACAGACGTGCCTGAGCGGGGATAGAGACAGACGAAGTGAGTCTTTGGAAGCGCTTGGAGTGCCATGGACCGTGGTCGCGAGACTGGCCTAGGGAGCGGTGAGCGAGACAGCCCGTCCGCAGAAGGAGTCCAACGTACAGCCCGCCTTGCGCGTCCGCTCCGGGCCACTCGGTGGGTTCTGTGGAACAACACTAGGCGAGACGATTGCGCGAGCAGCAGCGTCGATGCTGGACATTTGATTGAGCTTCAAGTTGGGGTCGGAGGGATCGCGTTGACGGGGTTGAAGCTAGTAACGGAAAAGCGAGAGAGGGCTTCAGCTAGCTAGCGAGCAGGGAGTTGTCGAGGGTTTCGCTTTGAGAAGGAAGGTTGAGGGATGGCGAAGGAATGAAAGAAAGAGAGTTTGCTTGCGTGACTGCCAGTGGTACTGTCACGGCGGCTGGTTCGGGTTGGACGTGGTTGGACCTGGAAAGGGCATATGTGCTACCAGTGCGTCCCAGAACGGTACTTTACAATCTTGACGATGCATATAGCTCAATACGTTTTGGAACGCGCTGGCGGTGACTAAACCCGGCGTGGTAGACAACTTGCAATTGGTGGTAGAGATTCAAGTTGGCGTCAATAACTCACGCTGCCACGCGTGGGACTCCCAGTACAAGAAACGTTGTTGTTACCCTCTCGGTTTGTGCCAGTGCATATATTTTCTGAGCTGACTACTGTGTACTTACATGTCCTTGCGCTTGATTTGGGCTGATTATTATTATTATTATTATTATTCCGAGGGCGAATATCAACGTCTCAACAGAACGAAATGGCTCTTGTTACAAATCCGAGTCGAGTTTTGGTACATTGTATTGTGAAGAAATGGAACTGAGGTGAGTCATGAGGGACACCAGAAAGTCAATCCACGCACTTGGCCGCAGCGCGTGTGTGGTACACTAACGCGTCTTTGTCGTACGTCCTCCATCGGTTTGAAGGGGGACAATGTGCCTTGCTGCGGTCTTCGGCCGGTCTTCGAATCGTACTCAGGCTATGTCAGGTAAAAGGTAGCTTTCGAAGCGTTGGACACGGACTTGTCAAGGAGGTGCCACGGTGCACATTGCACAGGCCAGCTGCTTGGACCAAACGACTTATTATTGTAGGCACGGCATTTATCAGGCATTGTATCCAGGGGAGAAGAAACACGCACCGTTGGTACTTTCCGAACGATGGCGGCCTCGATTAGATATAGCTCTTTTCATGTGTCGAGTTCCTGGGAGGTGAGATTCGGTTCCGTTTGGTTGTCAGCCACATACACTCGTGAGAATATCCTCACTCAGAGGCTCCTGGCACGTTTTCTGCCGTCGTTCTAAAAACAAAGTAAGCAATATAATTATGTGCTGGCTAATCGGCTTCACCTGAACGGCCGCGCGCAGGACCTGCCGAGAGTTGACAAAGTACTGTCAATGCACTCTATGGGAAAGCAGCCGTAGTTGCAGCCGCGGAAGCCAGGTCGGAAGCGTATGAACTCGGTGCACGCGGGCTCGTGTCAAGCATGAGGGACTTTTTTCCTGGAGACGGTCTTCAACAGTCATGGACGTGTCGGAACAACCACGCACGAGAACAGAAGCTTTTACAAGAAACGAAGACGAGACGAGACGAAAGACTGCGAGTGGGAATTTGGTAGGAATGCTTGGAAGAACGAAGAGAGGTGCTTATGAGGACATACGCCGCATTTCCCAACACCAAAGAGCCGGCACCGAGTAATGCCCCTGGCCTCGATCCCAGCTGGACAAGAAGGGAGCGGCCCGCAGCTCCTCGTAAATGCGGCGTCCCAGACCATCCGGTGAGTGTCAATTATGCGCAGGAGGAAGCGAAGTAGTCATTCCCCTCGTCTACAGCGAGCGGTGCAGCCCGGAACGCTGATGGCGGGGTGCCTTGGGTGGAATGTATATCCCGGCTAGTCGTCTGGGGTTTTAATGTTTGGGTTGAAACGACAATGGGTTCATCTTACATACATTGTGGGCCGCGTAGAACGACACTTCGAAGTTCGGGAAAAGGTACAGTAGCTATCTCGTGTTAGATTCAACCAGCGTCGCAAACAATCTGAAAGCCACGCACCACAAAGGCGTATCCGCCATCTTCCAGCCAGAAACGACAGGCATTTAGCCAGCCTCCCTCGTTTGCCCATGGCCAGCTTATCGTACATCATACCCAATACGCTAGCTGTTGGGAGCGAGGACACGGCGACACACGCGCCGCGCGTGCGCCTGAAGAGCTCGAGTCCGCCCATATGCATCCCGCCGCCTGTGATGGTAAGGGTGCAAGCGCGAAAGCGCCAGTCACATGATGGATTCACACGCGGCCACGCGGGGCGGCACCGGGCCGTGCATACTGCCGCACCTTGCACATGTGGACACCACGCGGTTGTCTCTTCCTTCCCTCCCCCATCTGCGCTGCAGCGAAACCACTTGCGATGAACACAGAGTTTGAAAGTCTAACGGCCAGCGTGATGAATTTGACCCTGTATGGTGGGTACTATGAGAGTATGATTGGCCTGTAAACCCTTATTATTTTCAGGTGGCAGAGGTGGCAGTGGTGGTCGTGCAAATGGCACAGGAGGTACTGGTGGTGTTGGACAAGGTCCAATGGTCCCAATAACCACACATTCTCTGACAATTCAGAGGTATGTCCATGTCCACCATGTAAAACAATTGTTTACATTTCTCAAGCTCAAGTGTGCAAGCACAATATGGTTATTCTCACCAACTATGTTAATCTTTCCAAACTGACCATGTTGGCAGACATAGATATCTTGCCCTATCAGGGATGCCCTCCTCCTAGTAAATTCTTTACAGGTCGTGAAGATATTTTGGCCCAGCTTCAAGCTTGCTTTGGGAGCAACAGCAAAGAAGGGTGTCATGTTGTTCTGCTCCATGGTCTTGGAGGAACTGGCAAGACAGAAATAGCTCTCAAATTCATTAGTGGTTCTGGAGATAGGTATGCTTTCATAAAAAAAATAAAAATGTTATATTCACTCTAGAAAAGATTTGCAGACCAGTTCAAGATTGATGCAAGTGATGCAGCCACAATCCAAGCAGGCTATCTCGATATTGCTAGGGTCAAGAATTTAGAGCAGTCAAAGCCTGCAGTACAGGACTGGCTCATTGTAAGGGCAACCCTGGAGACTCCGACGAAAGCCTAGCAGGGGAGGATCCAAAGCGTGAATAAAAGCTACGGGAAATACACGGAGGGACCGACCTAGCAGGGGAGGATCCAAAGAGAAGAAACTCTAAGGGTCCGCCTGCTAGGGCGCCAACTATATACTGGTCGTCCGTAACTGCCGACGTAGAGCGCAGAAGGCCTGAGCGGCGTCGCAGGCTCTGTCCCAAGGTGATCGTTGGGAGGGTCTTGACGGATCGGTGATTGTGCGGGCGAAGGAGGCCGTGGGACGATGGTCGGGGTGAGTCGGAGCGTCCGAGGGGGCGCCCGGTCGGATGCGCCTCGGATGCGTTCGGAGGGTCCGAAGGAGGCCGAGCGGGGTTCCCCTGACATCACCCCCCTTTGAATGCGGCGTCCCGACGCATAATACGGAAGGGCAGCGAGTCGAAGGTTGCTGAGGCGATGTGCCGTGGTTTACCCGGGTATCTCCGATAGAAGTCCGCAATCTTGTCTGGCGCAAAGACACGGTCGAACCGAACCCACGAGTCGTGTGAAGCATCGTAGCCTTTCCACCTGACGAAATAGTTAAGACGCTTATACCTTATCCTGGCATCCAAGATTTCCTCGACTTCCCATTCGGGAACTCCGTCCTCTAGTTCGGGGGGCGGTTCGTCGTAGCCGGGTCGTCCGTCGAAGGGGTCGTCCTGAGCGGGCTCGAGCTTAACAACGGGGAAGACGGGGTGGAGCTTGGAGTAACGCGGGGGGAGGTCTAGCTTGTAGGCACCTTTGCTAACCTCTGCGAGCACCTTGAACGGTCCAAGGCGCTTGTGGGAGAACTTCTCGGAGGGCCGAGTCGTTCTAATGTCAGAGGCGTCCAACCAAACCTTATCACCAACTTGAATCTTCGGAGCGTCCGAACGTTTCCGATCGTAGTACCGTTTATACTCGTCTTTGGCTTTTAACGAGTGCGGCCTTTGCCTCGGAGACGCCGTTAGCTATCCGATCGCGAAACTCGTTTACCGACTCCAACTCTGAGCGGGCGCCTGGCTCGAAACCCATTCGGGAAGCCGGCCAGTGTCCGTCATAAAGGGTACCTGTTGAGTGGAGGAGTGAACGTGGTTGTTATAGGCGAACTCAGCGGCAGGGATAAGCTCGTCCCAGTCGTCTTGTTGGTAGTTGGTGAAGATCCGGATGTACTGCTCGAGCTCTTGGTTGGTTAACGCTCGGTTTGTCCGTCGGTTTGCGGGTGGTAAGCCGTGGAGGTAGCCGGTTTGACGCCAATTAAGCGCCAAGAGTTCGCGTGAAGTCAGCGATGAACTGCGAGCCGCGGTCCGAAATGTACTTCTCGGGGTTCCGTGGTGCCTCCAGACGTTCCGATAGTACAAGCGGGCAGCTCCGACCGCGTCTATTGTCGTATGGCACTCAGTGAAGTGGGCGCTTTCCGAGGGCGTCGACCACTACCATAACCGCGTCATACCCATGGGCCTCGGGCAGCTCGACAATGAAGTCTACAGTGACAGTGTGCCAACGTTCGGGCGGGACTTCGGTCGGATGGAGCTCTCCATGCGGAAGCCTTCGGAGGGCCTTCGTGCGGCAGCATAAGTCGCAGGTCGCGACGTAGCGTCCGATATGGCGAGACATCTGCGGCCACCAGTAGTTGCGCGAAACCAACTCTAAGGTCTTGAACCGCCCGGCGTGTCCGGCGACTGCGTATCGTGGCAGAGCTCGATGATGCGCCTCCTTAGGTCCTTGTCTTTAGGGACTACAACCTTGCCGCCGGAAGTACAGGAGGTCGCCGGAGACGGCCCACTCGTCCGAACGTGATGAGCGGGGGCCCCGAACTTGACCTCGGACCTTCAAGAGTTGCCGGGCCGCAAGCGCGACGGGCTCCTCTAGGTCAGGCTCACCGGATAGCGCTTCCTTGATGTCGCGGACAAGTTCGGAGCCAGGCCCAGAGACGGTGACGGCCTCAAGCGCGCGAACGTGGAACAGTTCGGGCGTAAGAGGGTGACATCCGAGTTGTCGCCGGAGATACCGTGGTCGGGCCGGGCGAGAGAGCATCGGGACGGCCCATCTGGCGACCTGGGGACGTGGTGCAGCGTAAAGTCAAACCTGGAAAGGTACAACGACCATCGGGCTTGCCGACGGTTAAGGTGCTGTGCCTTTCGGAAATACTCCAAATTCTTATGGTCAGTCCAGATCTCGACCGGATGCGCGGCGCCCCGAGGAAATGCCGATACTCCTCGAGTGCGCGGATGATCGCGAGCATCTCCTTGTCGTGAATCTCGTAGTTGCGCTGGACATCATTTAAGCTTTTGGAATAGAACGCTACAGGGTGCCACTTCCCGTCCGGGGCGGATTGTTGTGAAAGAACCGCCCCGTCGCATAATCTGAGCTGTCTGCTTCAAGTCGGAAAGGCCGGGAGTCGTCCGGGATCGCTAAGACGGGCTCTGAGACGACTGCGTCTTTGATAGCTTGAAAGGCGGCGGCTTCGGCGTCTCCCCAGGTCCATTTCTGGTCTTTCTTGGTGAGCGAAGAGGGGTTGCGCTAGGGCCGAGAAATCCCGAATGAACCTGCGGTAGAAATTAGCAAACCCCAGGAACTGCTGGACGTCCTTCTTGTTCTCGGGCGGAGGCCATGCGGAGACTCCGGCAACCTTAACGGGATCCATTTCGACGTGGTTGTGAGAGATGATAACCCCCAGGTACTCGATTGACGATTTCTCAAGTCGCACTTCTCCTTGCGAAGGTATAGCTTGTGCATTCGGAGTCGCCGAAGGACTTCGCGGACGATCTCGCGGTGCTTACGGAGGTCCGAATGCGCGATAAGGATATCGTCGAGGTAGATCATGACGTCTCCTGAGAGAATGAGATCCTGGAAAATGTCATTCATCATCTTTGGAAAGTCAGGGGGAGTTCGTCAGGCCAAAATACATCACCAAAGGTTCGAACAACCCTCGGTTGGTCCGAAAGGCCGCCTTCCACTCGTCTCCTTCTTTAATCCGGACGTTATTAAAGCCCCAGCGAACGTCGAGTTTGGTGAAGTAACGGGCGCCCTTAAGCCTGTTGATAAGGTCATTAATCAACGGGAGGGGGTACCGGTTCTTAATCGTCATTGCGTTGAGGGCGCGGTAGTCCTGGACAAACCCGAAGTCCTCCGTCCTTTTTCTTAACGAAGAAGACGGGGGAAGCCATCGGAGATTTCAAGGGCGGATACGGCCTGTGGCAAGTCCCTCCTCGATGAACTCGTCAAGTTCGCGCTGTTCAAGGGGGAGATCGGATACACCTTGCAATTAGCGGGCTTCGCGTCGGGGACGAGTTCGATAGCGTGGTCCCAAGCCCTCCGCTCTGGTAACGTGTCGAAGGACTCCTTGTCAAAGACGTCTTGGAACTCCTTGGCCCAGTCCGGAATCTCCGAAGGGGGGGGCCGAGTTACGGGCGAAGGCCTCTGCAAGGCGTTGGGACACGGTGCTCCCAGCGCGAATCTCCTCGATTGGGCGAAAGGAGGTGTAGAAGATGCGGTCGCCGTCTTCAAGATGCTCGTCGTCGTCGTCAAGGTCTGGTGAGCGCTCCGGAGGGTCCGAAGGAGCCCCCGAGTTCGTCGTCGGCATCGTCTGGGCCAGCGATATCGATAGCGCAAACGGTGGGGAAGGCGCCCGCCAAGTAAGCGCGATTTAAGGAGTCGGAGGCGGCGAACCTCAGCGCGCTCGGTCCGTTCCTCGTCGCGGCAGGTGGAGCAGCTTCGGGGGCAGCGGCTCATTTTCACCTCCTTTGTTTCCCAGTTGATCTCGGGGTTATGCTTTTTGAGCCAGGAGTACCCGAGTATCAAGTCCTGTTTCCCAAGGTGGGTTACAGCCAGCTGAACGCGTTCGGAGTGTCCGTTGTATCGTAGGACCAGGTCCGCGATTTGGCGAATAGACCCAGCATCATTGGGGGTGCCGTCGACATTGTAGACCGGTATGGGTACTGAGAGATTTCGGACTGGCACGTTGTTTCGGTTGACGTATTCTGTGTCGATAAAGTCCGAAGTGGCTCCGCAGTCGACCAGACCCGAGAGGGAGAGCTTGAGCGCGTTCGCAGTGGACTCAAGTTCAAGGGGGAGGTGCAGCGAGTTAACGCCAGGAGCGGCAGAGATGGTATAACTGCCAGGTAGCTTTTTCTCCCAGGCAAGTCGGCGTATCCGAACGGGGGGCTTCGGAGGGGGCAGGGGGTGCGTCTTTCGTTTCAGGCTCGTTGTAAGGCAAGGGAGTTGATTCATCATACAAACAAGTGAAACGATTTATGGACGCGAACGAGGGCACACCAGTCACTCGTCGCGGGGGACAAAATCCTCTGCCGGAGCCTCCGAATGCGCTTCTGCTAAGGCCGCGGTGTCGGACAACCGCGCAAGTAGCTCTCCTAGCATCTCATCGCCAAGTTGCTGGATCACCTCGTCGAGGATGTCCATATGGCGAACATCGGCGGGGAGCGGACAGTCCCGAGCCAAGTGATTGGGGTCGCCGCATCTGAAGCAGGCTCGACGAGGGGCGCCCGAGCCCTAGTACGATCCAACTCCATAGGGACAGGAGCCGGAGGTACCGGGACGGGGCGCGGGCCGCGGGTGGCGCAGGTGCGGCCACCGGGCGGATGGGGAACGGAGTTGCCGAACGAGTGATGGGGAAGGCGCCGCGGAGCTCCCCGGCGGTCCGCGGGGTAGCCGTTCCCTTAATGAGCTTCGCTCGCACCAGGGCTTCATACTGTCGGAAAGCCCGAGTGCGCCAGCCTAGATAGTCACGGAGGTCTGGGGGGTCGTTCGAAGAGGTGATGCCGTTGTTGATCAAAGGGTCAAGTCCGTGGCGGTACTTGGTTACCTTAACCAACGCGTCTTGAAGCCAGCGAGGTCCATCAAGTCCTCGAAGTCGTCGGTATATCCGTAGACATCCCGCGTTCCCATGTGATAACCCCGCTTTCCAACTTAGCGAGCGCGAGGTCCTGTTCGTTCTCCTCGACGAACCGAAGGCGAAACTCGGAGAGGAACTGGCTCCACCGAGGGAAGGGGAAGGGGTTTTTGCTCCCATGACGCTCTGCCCATTGCTGAGCAGGTCCCTCCGCCATATAGGACATGGCGTAGCGGACGGCCTTTTCTTCGCTCGGCTCTCCGTTAACTACGAAGGCCTCCGGGGCAAGCCGAGCGTAGGTTTTGACCGCGTATAGGAAGGCGCGGCCGCGTTTGCGATCTCCGTTAAACGCAAACGGGGGGTTTGGTCGTAAGACCAGTTTTGAGGCGACAGTAATGTCACCAAATAACGCATCCGCGTCGGGGGCATTCGGAGATGCCGAAGGCGGTTCGGGAGCTGCCGGAGGTGGTGCGGCAGCGGAAGCCTGGGAAGCAAGGTGGGTGAGGAGATTGGTGAGGTTGTCTAGTTTTGCCTCAAGTGCGTCCATGCGCGCGTCAGCGTCCGGAGCAGCTCCGGTAGACATAGCGGGCGTAAAGACGACAAGAGCAGAGGAGGAGGGGTCAAGTGGCAGGGGCGGTGACGAGGGGGGTACGGACTCGTACTCCGAGCCTGAGTCAGCACCAAACCTGGCAATCTTGACCGGTTAATCCCGTAGAGAGTTTCTTCTGCTGTAAGGGCAACCCTGGAGACTCCGACGAAAGCCTAGCAGGGGAGGATCCAAAGCGTGAATAAAAGCTACGGGAAATACACGGAGGGACCGACCTAGCAGGGGAGGATCCAAAGAGAAGAAACTCTAAGGGTCCGCCTGCTAGGGCGCCAACTATATACTGGTCGTCCGTAACTGCCGACGTAGAGCGCAGAAGGCCTGAGCGGCGTCGCAGGCTCTGTCCCAAGGTGATCGTTGGGAGGGTCTTGACGGATCGGTGATTGTGCGGGCGAAGGAGGCCGTGGACGATGGTCGGGGTGAGTCGGAGCGTCCGAGGGGGCGCCGGTCGGATGCGCCTCGGATGCGTTCGGAGGGTCCGAAGGAGGCCGAAGCGGGGGTTCCCCTGACACTCATCAAGAACAGAAGTGAATGGCTTCTCCTCTTTGACAATGCAGATGATGTGGATATCAACCTCAAAGCTTATTTTCCTCAGTGCTGTCATGGCAATATTCTGATTACATCACGTAATCCAGAAGCTGCCATTCATGCACAGGACTCAATCAAAGTGGCTGATTTCAATACAAAAGAGGCTATTGCTTTATTGTCAGAATTTGCCCAGATTAGTGACAAAGCAGCTGCTAGAAGTATTGTGAAGGTGAAGGAATTATAGTAAGATAAACTAGGAGCTGATGATTTGCAGGAGTTACATTATTTCCCCTTGGCCATTGTGCAAGCAGCAGCATTTATTCGTCAATCTCATTTGCTTAAAAGGAATCCCCTATCTTATATAGACATCTATAGAAGAAACAAGCCAACTCAATGGAAAACAAAATCTATCCAGGCTTCTGGGGACTATGAGAAAACTGTATATGCAACATGGAAAATCAGTTTTGATCATCTTTCTCAAGCTGGGAAAGAAGTGATGCAGGTATTCTGCTGGATGCATTACAACAAGATTAGTCCAAGCATCTTCCAAAAAGCTGCCCAATACAACAGTTCAAACCAAAGAAAGGCAGGGCATCTGGAGATGTTTTATAGATATGCAGAGAGGTTCTTGTCCCAGTTCAAGGATACAAGCAGAGCCTGGGATGCTTATAGTTTTGAGAGCACTTGCTATGAAATAGAAAAATACTCCTTGATCACAGCCCAGGATAACTGTTACTCTATGCATCCCTTAGTCCATGAGTGGACAAGAGAAACTATAGCAAATATCTATGCACAACAACAAATGGTCATAACTATACTGGGAATGGCTGCTGCTCACACAGTTGATTTGGCAAATCAATTAGTGCTAGCAGTTCACTCTAAAGAATTGAGTGAGATAGTGACAGAAATTCCATGGAATTTTCAAATCCAGTTTGGTGATATATATATGACAGCTGGACTATTTAAGCATGCACAAACCATGAGAGAAGCTGTGGTAATCAAATATCAGAAGTATGAGAAGGAGAATGATCCAGCAAGAATACTTGCAGAAGCCCACCTGGCACATACATATATCAAACTGGGCAAGTATGAGAAGGCATGTAGGCTTGATGAACAAGTTTTGAAGAAACGCAAACATCTGCTTGGTCCAGATCATCCAGATACTCTGATTTCCCAGGCTAACCTGGCCAGCACATATAGCTATCTGGGAAAGCATGAGGAGGCATGCAAGCTAAAAAAACAAGGCTTAGAAAGGTTTAAATATGTGCTTGGCCCAGAGCATTTACAAACACTCAATGCCCAAGCAAATCTGGCAAGATCATATAGTAAGCTGGGAAAGTACAGGGAGGCATGCAAGCTTGAGGAGCAAGTTCTGGAGAAGCACAAATCTCTGCTTGGTTTAGATCATCTAGACACCCTTCTTTCCCAGTCAAACCTTGCAAGTACATATGGTGATCTGGGAATGAATGAGAAGGCATGTGATTTAAAAGAACAAGTCTTAGAGAAACGCAAACATCTGCTTGGTCCAGATCATCCAGGCACCCTCCTTGCCCAAACAAGCCTGGCCAGTACCTATATTCGTTTGGGAAAGTATGATGCAGCATGTAAACTTCAAGAACAAGTTTTAGAGAAACGCAAGCATCTACTTGGTCCAGATCATCCTGACACTCTTCTTTCCCAGGCCAACCTAGCGGCTATATACAGTGATCTGGGACAGTATAAAAATGCCTGCAAGCTGCAAGAGGAGGTTCTAGAGAAGTTCAGGCATGTTCTTGGTCCAGAGCATCCTAATACCCTTCATGCACAGGCCAACCTGGCAGGTATATATAAGTGTTTGGGATAATAAGTAGTAGTCAGCATGGTGCTCTATAGTAAATATGGTCAATTGCCTGTAAATTTAAGTATACAATTTATGACAAAATTTATATTCCTATAGAATATCACTGTACTTGAATAGCAGTGAAACACAAGAAACACAAAACACCAGCACTAACAAAACTCCACCACAACACACAAACACAACAGAACACAAAACCAAAGAGCCTAGTACCAACACACGCGGGCCGAGTTTCGGATCACTCAGATCAGATCGGATCAAGAACGGATCACGTCGGAGTTTGAAGTGGGTGGGTAGTTTACTGATGCGCGCAAGTATGGGGGTTCCAGCTAAAGTATATAGCTGTTGCAATCCAAATAAACACGTTTAATGGCTCGGAACAATAAGGTTGGGTGATTAGGTAAGCGAAACAACAGGCGGGACCAAGATCAACAGTGGGCGGGACGGCGGGCGGGCACTCGGAACAACGGGGCGAACTGACAGAACTTCTTCAACACAAACGGCGATAACGGAAACGGCGATAACGGCGACAACAAATAACAACGGCGATAATCCACAATAAGCCCCGCACAGAGCTGGGCAGTCATATTCTCTACCCTATAGCCTACAAAAGCTGCAAATATATACCTCTAGGCGCACTGCCTACCCACTGCCTTCCAACCTGCGCAGGCCGCTATCTGGCCTGTGCCTGCAGTGCACGCAGCACGTACAGCGCGACCTCTAACCTGTATCGCCCTCCTGCTTACACAATTCTGCTTACGAGCTTGGGCCGCTTGATCCACCAACGTTTGGCGGTGTTCTGGACATGTTTTGACGCGGCTATGCCGGCACTTCAGGCTCCGGATGCCCTCTGGTGTCGTCCCAACTTGCCAGATGCGTGCTGGATGCATCCCAAAGGCCCCCAAGGCCTCCTCTTGCCCACTCATCTCTTGGAGCAGAACGGAGCTCGGAGCGGAGCTCGGTCTGGCCTGTCAACCCAATCGGGAAACACCGCGCCCCGGACCAGCGCTTGCCAGCCAAAATGGCGCATGCCCGATTGCGGTGGCTATGGGCGGGCTGTGGGGCCCGATTCCAGGGAATCCAGGCTGGCGCGAATCTCGCGCGCGTGTCAGCAGATATGCCTATTGCACCAATATAAGAAGGGTACATATAGTGACATGACACTACAGGGCATGTCAGCTCTATAGCAGAGGGTACATCACTTTGTACACCTGTGTAGCCTAATACCCACTGTATACTATCTAGTCCACCCCAGCAGGATGTTGCAGATAAGCCATGCTGCTCTGAGTATTGGTATAGAACCGAATAAACCTTAGAAAGGAAACTGAATAAATTTGAGCAGTTCTAATATTTTCACTAGTTTTTTGCACCAAGTCCATACAACTGGCTTTTATCACCTCACTCATAGTATGAATAATATTCAATAGATCTGGCATTTCCTAACATTGTATATAGTTTAGCTTATTAGTATATTTACAGCTATTATACAAGTGCATTCTAATATGAATAGTAATAAATAATAAATAATTCAAATCTCTAGAGACTTGGGTTGGACTCAGTACTCAGGTGATGTTGTTATATGTGTCATATAGCATGACAAATCTCCCCAAAAGGAAGTTTTTGCCATTTGACTGTCCACTTATCAGCAAATAGTAGCGGTCACGATACCCGCTGCGGGCTCGTTGCGAGACACGTCGCAGAACTCGATGCGGGAGAGTGTGACGGGCTGCATCACTCGCTGCGACGAGCCCCCGTCATGACTGACCCGTTGTACATCTCGATATAGCACTCGTTGTGGGTAGCATTTGAATTTGAGTGTTTCATGAGTCGGGCCATGTGACACCTTCTCCGAGCGCCCCTAACTCTTTCTGTCGCCCACCACTTCCCTCCTGCTGCGATGGTGCGACAAGACACACGTGGGGCGCGTGCCAAAAAGCTAGTCAAGCTCACTGGGGCCTATTTTCGGACTCGCAACCGCCGCCGCCGTCGAGAGGCAGCCCAGTTAGCTCATCTGGAGGCTCATGGTGTTTCTGCACGAGCTTTTGCGGAAGCTCACACTACTCTCATGTGGTATACTTCCTCGCCAACAACCCCGCCCATCTTATATCGACACTCTTGCCCACGATTCTGCTGAGGACTGGGGCTCCGATTACGACAGTGACTCTGATGCTTCCTCTGCATCAAGCAAGTCCGACTCCGAGAGTGATTCCGAGTCCGACATCGATGACCTGCCAGCCCCTCAACGAGCACGGCCACGCATACCACATCCTGAACCCTTCTCAGTCATGGGTTGGGCCAGCAAGCAGATCGACGCCATGTATGCACGCCGTTATGAGAACGAGCGACACAAGATCGTGCGGTCGGACGACCCAACGATGCGTGTAGCGCTGGACACCTGGCGATACGATGACCCCGATTCCTTTCGGACAGACCTTCGTGTCTGGCCGAAAACATTCAATCGCCTGGTCCAGAAGCTAGAGAACAATGCTGTCTTCCACAATGGCGGCCCTAACAAGCAGAAGCCCGTTGAGGAGCAACTGGCGATTGCTCTCTACCAGTTTGGACACCACAGCAATGCTGCATCACTCACGTCAGTCGCAAATTGGGCGGGGTACGGAAAGGGTACCATCTCCAAGTGCACAACACGTGTTATCAAGGCCATCCTTGCAGAGGACCTTCTCCGCCGGTATGTGCGGATGCCAACAGAGGTTGAGAAGGAGGAGGCGAAGAGATGGGTTGCCAGGAAGGCGGGCTGCGAGGGGTGGCGTGATGGATGGTGCATGGTCGATGGCACTCTCGTACCGTTCTATGCTCGACCTCACTATTTTGGCGAGAGTTACTTTGACCGCAAGCAGAATTACTCACTCAATGTTCAGGTTTGATGCCCTTCTTTGTGTACTATCTCCATTAATACTGTTTTCAGGTTGTCAACCTTCCGAATCTGCGCATAGTCGATATTGGATTTGGCCATGTTGGAAGTACGCACGACACGACCGCTTTTGGCACTACCAAAATCTATCAGCAACGCCAATTTATTCTGAAGCCAGGGGAATGGATTTGGGGTGATGCTGCCTATCCGGTGAGTGTTTCTAGGTCATTATTCACATCCTTACATGTGTAGATCTGCGACTGGGTTGTCTGCCCATTTAAAAAGCCTGAACGGGACGAGCCCGATAACACTCTGTTCAACAACCATGTCTCGTTTGTGCGTGTACGCTCTGAGCACTGCATCGGCTTCCTCAAAGGGTGCATGCAGTCACTCAAGGGTCTACGGATTCTTGTCCGCAGCAAGCCGGACCACACCTATGCAACTCAGTGGATTGCCTGCTGTGTTGCAGTCCATGCCTATGCCATGCACCATGAAGCGAAGATGGCAAAAGCGGAGGGCAAGGATGACTACGAGGAGGTATGACAAGATGCATTTGTTGCCCAGGGAAGGGAGGAGTTCACGGCTGAGAACCCACGTCCAGTTAATGAGGCAAGGGCACTCTCCGCCTGGGCAGCACATCGGGCACGTGTAGCTGCTGGACGCTCAAAGAGGGAACAACTCCGGGATGCACTGCTACAGGCGCGAACAAATCGTTATAATCATAGACATATGTAAATTTAAAAGGCAAATTTAAAAATAGGCTGCGTGTAGTTCGTACCAAACTGCTCGTTCACAGCGTCGTCGCCGAATCTCTCGCGCAACTCAAAAAGTTGAGCTGCGCGAGCAAAATCCTCCTTATCTTTCTTCCGCGTCTCGCGAGCCAGCAGTGCCCTGGCACGGACACCCAATACCTCTGTTGAGTGTGCCCTGTCTGCATCAGCACGCGCCTTCTCCGCCTCTGCGTCCTTGGCAGCAACAGCGAGACGCTGCTGCATGGTCTTCTCCTCCGCCTGTGCCAGCCCAGCCATATCTGATGCAAAGCGTGGCTTCTTGGCTCCAGGCTTCTTCTTCTTCTCGGATTGCTTCTCCTCTCCAGGGCAACGAAGCGGCTGATCATCCTCGGATGATGAGGAGCTGATAATGGAGACACCAGAGCTTGAGCGAGCATGCTTGCCGAGAGTGCTGGGGTTTGACTTGGACTTGGACTCGTCCTCGTCCTCGTCATCAGAAGGGATAGAGAGAGGGAGAGGTGAGTCGGGGCTATTGCTGTGGCTCTCGTCATGGTCAGGGGAGGTGATGCGTGCACTGCGAATGACGTTGGAGCTGATGCTGTCGCTGTTGCCAAGGCCGACAGGTTCATCGTTGGGACGCCCAGCGATGAGCTCGCGCATGCGTCAGTAGAATGGGAACTTCTCAAGATGAGCACCTGTAGCACTGTATTGAGAAGTCGTTGTTTCAGTAGAGACAGCCACGCACCCCATGCCGAACGCTTTGGGTCGTCCTCGTCAAGCTCCGAGAGCTCCTTTTCAGTCATCTCATTGCCCGCACCCGTCTCCTTCATCATGTCCTTGATGTGCAGAGTCTCCTTCCGCAACCTGTCTGGTGTAAGTGGCTGACAGAAGATATCGAAAGAACACTCACAACGTGAGCCGGTTCTTGATCTTGTTCTGCACTTGCTCGCGTGGTTTTGCCGCGCCTTTACGAAGAATCGCAAAGTGTGCCTTGAATTTCTCACCCCACAGCCCCTCAGCCACTCTGAAGAGTGCCTCCGTCTTCTTCAGCCCTCCACCCTCCGCTGTCGATGTGTTGGAGCCACAGTCTGGGAACAGTTTCCCCTTGATCAGAACATCGTCCTCGATGAGCTTGATCATCTGCCAGGTGAGCGGCACCTTATCATCGCCGCTGAAGCTGGTTTACAAAGCATGAGAGCTTGAAGATGCTGGTTAGAAAAAGAAGCGTACGGATCCTTGCCCAAAAAGTCACTCGTGACGTCGACTTCGTCAGTTGATGGCTGAGGCTGGTCAGGCATGGCAGTAGACGCCGCTTTGCTACTGCGAGTGGACCGCGGCGCCGGTGTGGGGGCAGAGGGCTTGACCTTCTTGGTCATGGAGGAAGACGGAAAGGGGCGTTCGGCACATGACTCCGGAAGGCTGACTCGTTGCAACGAGTGCCCCAGCGAGTTCAGGACTCGCTGGGGCCGACTCGTTTTGATGTGTTTTGCAGCGAGTCGGTGTGACACCTCACGGCGTGTCTCGCAACGAGCCCACAGCGGGTATCGTGACTGCTACTAATGTCACAAATCATCACAAAATCAAAGTTGTATAGTTTGACTATATTGTAAGGGCAACCCCGGAGGCCTGAGATCAAGGTCCTAGCAGGGGAGGATCCAAAGCGTGAACATTGATAAGCGAATACAAATGAAGCTGACCTAGCAGGGGAGGATCCAAAGAGAAGAAACTCTAAGGGTCCGCCTGCTAGGTAGCTGACCATATACTGCTTGTCCGTAGCTGCCGCTGTCGGGCACAGAAGGCTTGGGCGGCGTCGCAGGCGAGGTCCCAGGGCGACCGTCGGGAGGGCGTTGACGGATCGGTGATTGTGCGGGCAAGATGGAGGGAGTCGGAACCGGAGTCGGACCGGAGTCGGGGCGCGTCTCCGGGCCGAAAGGGAGGTTCCCCTGACATCACCCCCCCCTTTGAATGCGGCGTCCCGACGCATAGACCGGAACGGAATCGAGTCGAAGGTCGCGGAGGCGATGTGTCGTGGCTTGCCAGGGTACTTACGATAGAACTCCGCAATTTTCTCCGGGGCGAAGACGCGGTCGAAGCGGACCCATTGGTCGTGCGATGCGTCGTAGCCTTTCCATCTGACGAAGTAGTTCAGCCGTTTATACCTCACCCCTGCGTCCAGGATTTCCTCTACTTCCCACTCCGGGACTCCGTCCTCGAGGTCCGGAGGGGGCTGGTCGTAGCCGGGGCGTCCGTCGAAGGGGTCGTCTTGAGCGAGCTCAAGCTTGACGACGGGAAGACCGGGTGGAGCTTCGAGTAGCGGAGGGAGGTCGAGCTTGTAGGCACCTTTGCTGATCTCCGCGACTATCTTGAACGGTTCGAGGCGGCGATGGGAGAACTTTTCCGAGGGGCGAGTCGTCCTGATGTCAGAGGCATCCAGCCAAACACGGTCGCCAACCTTAAACTCCGGAGACGGAGTCCGTCTCTGGTCGTAGTAGCGCTTGTACTCCTCTTTGGCCTTAGTGAGCGCGGCCTTGGCTTCAGCAACACCAGTGGCGATCCGGTCGCGGAACTCGTTCACTGACTCCATGGCGGAACGGACTCCGGGTTCGAAGCCTATGCGCAGGGAGCCGTCCCGTGTCCGTCATGAAGGGGACCTGCTGCGTGGAGGAGTGAACATGGTTGTTGTAGGCGAACTCCGCGGCCGGAATCAGCTCATCCCAGTCGTCCTGCTGGTAGTTGGTGAAGATCCGCAGGTATTGCTCCAACTCCTGGTTGACGCGCTCTGTCTGACCGTCCGTCTGTGGATGATACGCGGTGGACGTGGCGGGCTTGATGCCGATTAGACGCCAAAGTTCTTGGGTGAAGTCCGCGATGAACTGCGAGCCGCGGTCGGAGACGTACTTCTCCGGAGTCCCATGGTGCCGCCAGACATTCCGGTAGTAGAGGCGGGCTGCCCCTACTGCATCGACCGTCGTATGACACTCCGAGAAGTGGGCGCGCTTTCCGAGGGTGTCAACGACGACCATGATCGTCGTACCCATGGGCTTCGGGAAGCTCTACGATGAAGTCGACGGAGACGGTATGCCAGCATCCGGGGCGTTTCCATGGGGTGTAGCTCTCCGTGGGGCAGTCTCCGGAGTGCCTTGGTGCGACAGCACAAGTCACAGGTCGCAACATACCGGCCGATATGGCGAGACATCTGAGGCCACCAGTAGTTCCGGGAGACCAACTCCAGGGTCTTGAAACGACCTGCGTGTCCGGCGACTCGGGTGTCATGGCAGAGCTCGATGATGCGTCTCCGGAGATCCTTGTCCTTTGGTACGACGATCTTTCCTCGGAAATGGAGAAGACCGCCGGAGACAGCCCACTCGTCAGAACGTGAGGAGCGGGGGCCTCGAGCTTGACCTTGAACCTTAAGAAGTTGCCGGGCCGCTAGTGTGACGGGCTCCTCTAGGTCTGGCTCACCGGAGAGGGCATCACGGATGTCATGGAGGAGTTCAGAGCCGGGACCGGAAACGGAAACGCCCTCGAGTGCGCGGACGTGGAAGAGTTCAGGCCGCAGAAGGATGACATCGGAGTTGTCGGAATCGACTCCGTGGTCAGGTCTCCGGGAGAGGGCGTCAGGCCGACCCATATCGCGGCCAGGCTTGTGGTGCAGCGTGAAATCGAACCGGGAGAGGTACAGGGACCACCGGGCCTGTCTCCGGTTGAGGTGCTGCGTCTTCCTGAAGTACTCCAAATTCTTATGGTCAGTCCAAATCTCGACAGGGTGCGCGGCGCCCTCGAGGAAGTGTCTATACTCCTCGAGTGCGCGGATGATCGCGAGCATCTCCTTGTCATGGATTTCGTAGTTGCGCTGGACATCATTTAAGCTTTTGGAATAGAATGCTACAGGGTGCCACTTCCCGTCCGGGGTGGATTGTGAAAGAACCGCCCCCGTCGCATAATCAGAGCTGTCCGCCTCAAGTCGGAAAGGCCGTGCGTCGTCCGGAATCGCCAGGACCGGTTCCGAGGTGACCGCGTCCTTGATCGCTTGGAACGCGGAGGCCTCCGCGTCGCCCCAAGTCCATTGCTGGTCCTTCTTGGTGAGCACGAAAAGAAGGCGCGCAAGGGTCGAGAAGTCCCGAATGAACCTGCGGTAGAAGTTAGCAAACCCAAGGAACTGCTGAATGTCCTTCTTGTTTTCCGGAGTCGGCCAAGCGGAGACGCCTGCGACTTTGACGGGGTCCATTTCGACGTGGTTGTGGGAGATGATGACTCCGAGGTACTCGATTGACGATTTTTCAAAGTCGCACTTCTCCGCTCGAAGGTACAACTTGTGCTCCCGGAGTCGCCGTAAGACCTCCTGGACAATCTGCCGGTGTTTCCGGAGGTCGGAATGGGCGATCAGGATGTCGTCAAGGTAGATCATGACGTCTCCGGAGAGGATGAGATCCTGGAAAATGTCATTCATCATCGTTTGGAACGTCGCGGGAGAGTTTGTCAGGCCGAAATACATCACCAAGGGCTCGAACAGGCCTCGGTTAGTCCGGAAAGCCGCTTTCCACTCGTCACCTTCTTTGATCCGGACGTTGTTGAAGCCCCAACGGACGTCGAGTTTGGTGAAGTAACGAGCGCCTTTGAGCCGGTTGATGAGGTCGTTGATCAGCGGAAGGGGGTACCGGTTCTTGACAGTCATCCGTTGAGAGCACGGTAGTCCTGGACGAGCGGAGTCCGCCGTCCTTCTTCTTGACGAAGAAGACCGGAGACGCCATCGGAGACTTGGAGGGGCGAATCCGGCCCGTCGAAAGCCCTTCCTCGATGAACGCGTCGAGC